CGAAGTGTGTTGTCCCTGTTGCCTAGCATATCAAGATATACAAAAACAATTCACTTACTTTGTGAGTGGGAACTGAGTCATAAATCCATTTTCTGCCACCATGTCCCTTCCACTGATATATCTGCCGAAACTTGAAACATATATATATTTATGTATATAGATTCAGAGTGGTTAAAATCTCCCCACAGGAATGAATTGCAAGAGGGAAGACTGCAACCCCCCACAGTCAACTTCCCCTTCATGTCGTACAATATCCCAGCAGTGCAAGCCTTTCGAGCCTACATTCCACATCTTTTGAGGTACAATCAGGTATACACTTTCTACGTAGATTTGAGTGCCATATGCCATACGAAATTGTTTGATCAAGGCCGCAGGAACGTTTTTTAAAATGCTTAAGATGAAAGTATTTCAAATTTGTCCCGAACATGTGTACTTCTTGTACGAATCTTTTACGACCCGATCTGCTAAAATACGCCTCAAGCGTCAAGGAAACAGATTTTTCTTTTAAACTCCCAACGGGGGCGCTTGTCGTTTCCTTTATTGTTTCTTGACTACAATATTATCGAGAACATTGTTAAACATCGTTGTGTAGAAGCTGTGGAAAATACTTCTAGTTATCCGACGTTAAACACAACAGTAACGCGATGAATTAATTAAGAATACACATGGATCAAGCAAATACTTCCAGACAGGATCGACACATCAATGTTCGGCACAACCATGTTTGACTTTACCATACAGCTCAACATTCACACAAACCAAGGTGTTGTGACGTTGTAAGATCAAATCTGTTCCACAAACCGCTATGTCTACTTCGAAATATAAAGTAGTTAGTGTAACCCTGAATACTGTCTGTTTGACATCTCTGGTAAGAACAGTGCAGAGCAGATCGTTCGATTTCAATTGTATTATATGTTTATGAATCCCTATCTGGTAGTGGTTATAACAGGTTTTAACGTATCTATTCATAAGCATGGGCCAAAGGGTTTACTTGTTATTTATTTTGGTTTTCCCAGAGTTACAATCGTTTCAGTGGTACACCAGTATTGCCAGTACACACAGCAACAGCAATATATGTATATCTCGCGGCGAATGATCTTGTACGCACTCAAAGATTTCTAAACTCCGTTTTTTAAGTGTTTATAGGATGTTTTAAGGGTAGTCTTCCAGTTATTGTTTCCATTTGATAACAAAAGATTTGAATCTATATTGCGTATTGTGAAGAATGTAATGGAATTATCTTTTTGTTGAGTCAGATTATGGATGTTTAGGTCTGCCACAGCCAGGTATCATTGTCAACACCAACCGTTCGACGGTACTTGCCCCACAGTGTAAAATTGCTCTTTTTGATTTGGAAAACCTTCGGACGATTGTTATCCACAAGTCTTGTTATATTGGGGCAATTCATCCATAATATTGTATCACTGGAGTTCAATACCGCGTTGTCCTATGACGATCCGGTTTAGAATAGGTTTCAGCAACCCCAGCTTGTCGTAAGAGGCGACACACGGGTTTGGGTGGTCAGCCTCTCGGTGACTCGGTGACACATGTCATCGTATCCCAATTGCGTTGATCGATGCTCATGCTGCTGATCACTGGATTGTCTGGTCCAGACTCGATTATTTACTGACCGCCACCATATAGCTGGAATATTGCTGAGTTCGGCGTCAGCAAGTGTTTTTCTGTTTTCTTCTTATAGAGTGTGCGAGTGAGTTAATATTTATCGTCACATCAGCTATATTTCAGCCATATCGGGACGAGAACACTTTATAATTATATTAAAGATCAATAAAGATAGAAATTAAAAACCTGGTCACAAAGAACAGTAAAACTACTAGTGCATCACAGATATCCATCTAAAACTAGTAATTAAATCTAAAATATTGGGTGAGTGAGTGAGTGAGTGAGCGAGTGAGTTATTATTTAACGTCACATCGGCAATATTTCAGCCATATCGTGACGAGAACATATGTGACATTGAAATGGAATAGATGTATATTATAAAAACCTGTCGACGAAGGACAGTAAAACAACTAGCATATCACAATTACAATCAAAACTAGTGTGGAAAATTAAAACTAATTGCACTATTTGGACAATACAGTATAAAACTGGCTATAGATCGCCAACGATTGAAGGTAGATCACCAAACTAGAGACCTAGCTGGATTTACACCATCCCTTCAGCCGTCAGCAATTTAACAAATCTAGCAATATATTAAAAAGACACGTATTCTACGATTAAAAAAGTGGAAAGTTATAATGTACTTTGAATGTTTCGGGACTTACGTACCCTCTCAGGAGGACAATAATTTTACAGTACTTTAACCCCCTTTGAGGGTACAGCCACTAACAATCGGAATTACTATTTTAAACTTCCAAACATTAAATATAAATCTATTTACAACTCATTCATCAAATCTAAATCTTTTAAAAATGCAATAATTAATTGAGAACTGACATTATTAAAAAGATCCTTCATAGTTCGTGATTTGAAATAGTTATCCCTTGTGATGGAATATTCAACACAGTGAAGCTGATAGAGATATACCTGGTGAAATATCTATGGTATTCCTGTTTTTAACTACCCCAGATATTTAACAATATGATGCATTGACTATGATCGTATGATAAATGTCTGTCTTTTGTTGTGTATTATCGAACCTTAAAGACTCCGTGTTGTTAAACGAACGGGGCAAGCTTTGTTTAATTTTAATGGTGTTATCAGTTTAATTGTTTGATGGGCATTCTAGATGTTAGTGACTCAAAAACGAAACATACAACTCATGGATGGCAACTTCTTATTTATTGCATAGAGCCAAACCAAACAACAGTTGCAATAAATAAGAAGTTGTCATCCATAAAGTCGTGTTTCATGTTTGGTGTTATCAGTTTGATCGCATACCTGACCGTAAAGAATACACAATGTGAAGAGTAAACAATGCGTGCATTTGAGAGTCGAACCCCAAAATAGGTCAATCGAAACAGAGTAATTTATACCTACCCGAGTGTGCCTGTTTCAATAACTTAATACCAATAAATTTCAACGTACTTAAGTGTACACTTGAATGTTTGCTACGTTACAGGTTCTTTAAATCTTTCAAACTCATATATTTTTCAGAAAAAAGAATGGATCTATTTTAATGTCATTGCGAAAACCACTTAATGTCAAGTGTATACAAGGGTCATCGATATTTATTACTTATGGAATTAGATTATATTAATGCAAAACAAATTCAAGCATTCCAAGAAATCCGTGAGAAGGGCTCCTCAGATAAACGAAATTTCGATACGAGTATTGCAATCCAATATCAATATTCGGATCATATGTAGTAGTTATTTCATTCTAATACGAGAGCATGGTCATAATGCACCATGGTCTGGTCGCTGGTGTTTGGTCGATGAATTGTCGAAGGCGTAGCCCAAGACGCAAATTCATCATTATAGGATCTTTATATAGCGCACATATCCACGCACTAGTGCATGCTCAAGGCGCTGGTATTTTCTCCTTCAACTCATGGATGTCAATCTCAACGGCACATGCTATTATCAATTTCAACAATGGGGAGCATACAGCTCTTGCAGCCACAAGGCGCACCGAGTTATTGCGTCTTTCTCATCCTTACGAGGTACCCAATCACAGCTGGTTGGACTGGGACACATAATGACAGTACTTTGTCCAAGTTTACAAAGTTGCTCTACCCTCAACTAGGTGTTTGCACGTTTTCATGTGGCCACCATCTGGTCATATACCAACGGATTCGTGGGTTCTTTTAAGTGCACAGGGTTGTGTACTGTACACTAGGGTTGTGAGAACACTGAAAGAGTCTCGACACAAAGTTGACTCCAAGGTTTTTACACCCGGCCACAGGTGGGTTCGATCCCGAAACCTCAAGCTCGCTGGAACACTAGCCTGGTGCCTTAGGCAGCTAGCCCACCACGCCCCACAATCATCGACCAATCAACAGCGATCAGGCCGAGGTGTATTTGGACCAAGCTCGAGTGAATAGATGAAGTAATTGCTTTGTATCACGCCCTCATTCTTCATTCAATTTTCGGAATCTGCGCGGGATATTTGAATTTAAAATCATTCTGTTTTAGACGCATTACATTGTCACAAATAGTTGACGAAATTGAAGGTGCTAAACTCTGGGATGATACAATCATCACTCCCTCACGAGCTGCCGATGTAATGTAGTGTTTCCGACAAAGTTGTCATTATCTTCATTAAGGAGTAAAACAAATGTGTTTTAGAAGGTTTACATCCATTTGAGACAGACAGTTATGTTTGTTAAACGTAACAAAAACTGCACAGAGCCAATCAGAGAGTTGTTGTCGAAGGCAGCTCAAAACCGTGGTGTAACTATGCAATTCGCCACGGCTGAGATCAAAGACAGCAACTGTTTTATTTGAATACACGGCGTTTCAGAGCTAATTCTTGCTCCTTCATCTTCATTCACCTGATAAAGGAACAAAAATTAGCTCTGAAACGTCGTGTAAAGAATAAAAGAAGTTGATATCCATAAAACGTGTCATGTATTCATGTTCGTCCAACTTCTAAATGCCTTTCAAAAGATTTGTTTTATTTGACTTTAAATGAAATGTGATACTTATCATGAAGACATGTAAAGAGGATTGTCCGTGCAAGGAAGCACAGTTGTGCGAATTGATTCCTTTTGCTTCAGTGCCATGCCCCATATTTCACATACGTCATCTTCAAAGACGTCCAGTATTTCAAACATTGTTTTCTCAGTCTGTTTTGTCAGTACTCTGGCATTTGAAAATGTGTCCTGAACGTTTGACTATATAGAGTACAATTATGATCAGAGCATTTTGGACACATGCACTTAAATGCAATGTAAAACAGGCTACATTTTGTTAGACTTTATCCGTGCCATATTTTACATGTACATCTGGAGATAAGAAAGTCGAATCAGACCATGATGTCTCTTGTAGTTTTCGCACCGGTCATGTAACATAAAAAGAATAAGTATGCGATTATTGAATAAAATTATATTTAATTACACGCAGACTACGTGCAGCATACGAATCAAGTAATCACAAAAAGAAACGACGACTTTTCTGAACAGCCATATTGACGTATAATACGGTATGCTACTGTCGAAATGTAATCAATACAGACAGTATAGATTAATTACGCATTATTGGGGTTTCATTCATCTCCAACGGTTCATACAGTTTGTTTCATCATAGAATATATCACGTCGTATTGTCTCACAGGCTTCGCCAACATCAGCTCTGTTGTGCGTTATCCTAATACCGTTCTACACCACGCACTATGTAATCACTCACTAAAATAGTTTTGGTTTCTGATTACACTGATATATATGTTCTGAAAATATTAACTACGCTATGTAGAAAAACACCCTCGAATAGTTTCAATTTACACTGGTCTGCTATATGAAAATACACTGCATACAAACACACTTGTTACAGGAAAACAAAGACCACGAGATATGATTGGTTATTTCATGATGCTGATGCCAATATGTTTGCACCCGTTAGTTTCAGTTTCTAGTGAAAGAACCATAGTAAGTTTCATAAGTTCCAACAGGTGCTTGAGCTGTTATTGTCACGTGAACCTCTGATGTGATGCCAGGGACGTTGACTGTGACGTCATTGTGACGTGTAGTATACAGATGCATGTAGTCGCTGTAGCCCTTGTTGGAGCCGACGCTGATAATGTAGGTCAGGTGGTCTCTTCTGGGATAAAACACATCGCCATAGAAAAGCCTCACACTGTCAGACCTCCACTGAACTAACGCTTTTCTTCCTGCGTATGTAAACATAATAAAACAATAAACAATGGGAAAACAGACAACCACTCACTGATTATTTACCTTTACTTAAAATTCCAGTGTTGATGTTTGTTATCATATTCTACCAAGCTTCTGTAAGCATCATGTACAGAAAACGACGATCAGTGCACGACATCTATCTATTCGATCATGTCAGCAACGTTACTATGTGCCTAAGCGACTCTCGGTTGAGTTAGTTAATGCTAGTTTTGGTCGATATCCCTAAGGTGAACAGATCATACAAATGATCCTACTACTCCTTCGGCAGATCATACAGTGAAAGAACTCAACGTCTTCACAAGATGGTTCTTAGGACAAGGACGGACTAAGGCAAACCAGAGTGTATATTGTGTACCATGGAAATTATATTCTGATTATCAATGTTGTATGGCATTTCTTCAGACAAGAGGGAATAATATTTTACATTGTATGTCCAAGTAAATTCAATAATATGAATCTATCACATGGCAAGTCGGCAACACTCCTCATGACAGTTCCACTGTACCTGTGAGTACTGGCGCTGTGCTGTCTACTGTGACAGATGCTGATACAGCTTCACTGACTTGCTGCCTCATGTTTACTGCACGAACCACGGCTGTGTAGCTTTCCCCGTCCTTCAGGCGCACACCTGACATTTCACAGAATCTCAGGGTGGTGTTCATCCATACTTTGATGTCTGTTACCCGACACTGGTAGTGACTGACGGTGTCCTGGTCTGGCCAAGTCCACTGAAATGCGAGAGAGGACATGATAGACTGGGGGACGCGTTTCCCATGCTGGCTGTACCTGTTCTGCACCACAAATTCTACAACACTACCAGCAGCGGATGGTGGCCTGAAGAGAATTTGTAGCTCGTTTGATGAGACGAGAGTGTCCAGTTCCACGTTGTTAGTGCACTGTATAGTCATGTACAGCCTGACCCCATGGGATGGATGTGGGACCGTTATCTGACATGATGTACCGCTCTCGGAGGTAACCCAGCTATGGAGATCAGATGACAGCCTCATGTGACCTATAAACATAAATAAGATATTTTTAGCAATACGTTCCCGGGATACATATAAGAAAGAAAAAATCAGAAACATCATGGATAATGATAACACAGTGCCGTTTAGAAAGTGGTCAAATGTAACATAGGTTATATTTGGGATTACACTTTCTTAGTAAAGTACAGATTCTAGTACTTTTGTTGGGTTGAGTCCCATCCGGGATTCGAACCCACACCCTAAGAGTCAGGCCCCTAATGGCCAGCACACAAACAAACTCAGCCGCCTAACCCGCTCAGCCACCGCAAATTCCACAAAAATGGATGGGACTCAACCCAACAAAAGTACTAGAATCTGTACTTTACTAAGAAAGTGTAATCGCAAATATAACACATGTTACATCATGGATGATGTTAGCATGGATATGTAGATCGTTGGTATATATTACAACAAATACTTACCAAGAGCACACCAGCATGTAGAGATTCCCGACTCATCATCGTCAGCTGACCAGGATCCAGATGCGTGTACTATTGGAGAAGGTTTGCTACCAGAATAAACCAGGTAGGCATTTACATCTGATATTGTGGGTGGAGTTTGGTCGAGTACAATCGGTTTAGAAAGATAATGCGTCCTCAGTCCAGCACCATTCTCAGCGATGACTGTTGTGTAAACTGGCGTCCCATGGGGACAGTCACCTCCACCAACTGGTGGAAGCCAGCTTCTGCATGGCGAAGGGGCTGAAGCTGAAACCCTCCTGGTGTTGTACCAACTCCAATCTGTATGTTCATTAAGCCACTTTCTGGGTCCATCATCCTGGTGCAGATACCTAGTAGTGAGGGCGTCAGTTGTCGTGCTGTTATAGCATCTGGTCCATCTGTTCTCTCTCTGTCTGTGCATTCCTCTATTTCTATATCTGCATCCTGGAACGATTCTTTACTCTGAATTGTGACTTCTAAAAGAGCTGAGACTGACACAATTTCTGCATCAAGTGTAAACTGGTATTCCGCACAGTGCAATGTATGGTTGTATCTCAGGACAAATGGGATCTGGATATGGATGCCACCCACTGCAAACAGAGCCTCTTCATGATCCAGATGATCCCGCTGAATGCAAACCTTCACGCGATAATGTGACCCGGTATCTCGAAGTAAATCAACCTTGAATACATTCAAGGAACCAGATCCAACATCAGTTTTCTCATGTGTCATGTTAGTGATGGAGATATTTGTGAAGTTCTTACACACAAATCCATATGGAGGGGTAACATCAACTAACACGGGAAGGGATGTCACTTCGTCACTGAGATGCCCAGCAAAGTCCTCTGCCACTACAGAAGCCGTGTAATATTGTCCATGTTCTAGGTTCAAGTCATCAAAGAGACCTGAGTTCCTGAGTGTCACCGTGGTGTTGGTAACAGTATGTGATGAGTTGTCTTCCCTCAGGTAAACATGATATTGCTTCACACTGGAATGGTGATCCTGGAATCCGTGCCATGAGACACCGAAGGATGAGTTATCAGACTGTGTCAATCTACTTTGATGATGTTCAGTGTTGAACACATTTCCACCAACTGGAGTGTCTGCATCTATCACAAAGCCATCTGAGATGACAGTGGCGGACATGTTCAAGGAGTTGATGGCGCGAATGCCAACATAATACTTGGTACCATGAGTCATATTTACCACTGGTAGGGAGATGTTTGTAGTCAGTCCTGCACTCTGATATGGCAACAGGTCTGAACCTGGAAAAATAACACATAATAATATCATGCTGTGGCATGAACACAAATATGATCATGTGAATTTACTCCCAATATTTTATATCCAACACGAACATATCTATATCAATCAAATATAGAGATAAACATAATATGAATCATATGTATAAATGATTCACTTACCATATTTTGTAACACCAGCCCAGACTATGTATTCCTCAATGCTTGTCTGTGTTTCCTGGAACAATCCTTGCCAACAGGCAGTTATGACAGTCTCATTGCTGTCGAAGACGTCAAAGTCTCGACTGCATGTTGAATCTGAATCCTTCAGTGCTCTACCTCTTCTCACAGAAGGTGGTGTATGGTCGACTCTTATACTCGGGGATGTGAAGACTCTGTATTCAGAATCTGAGTACCAAGCTCTGATGTAGATGACATAGTCGTCTCCGTGTTCTAGGGCTCGGCCATATGGCAGACAGTGGACTACCCCAGTCCTCCTTCCTACATCATACCATATACTTTCCTCATTAGTTTTAAATATTCCAGACCCAAAAGGCCCGTTAAGCAGCCCCATGCTCCACTCATATCGCTGAATGTCGTATGTTGTATCCATCTCCCAATGCCCGGCAATACAAGACAGAGAAGATGTAATGTACAGGCCAGACTGGTTATGGGCTCTTGGATATATCTGGACATCCACAAGCCTGTGTGAGGTGACATTTGACATATCACGACATGTTACGGGCATGGAAGGTGGATTACACTTCCGCCCAACCACTGCACATGTACAGTCATCAGTACAGTAGTGAGTGTCACAGGAGTGACGCTGTAGTTCCAGTGTTCCCTCACGTCTCCTCTTGTGATCTGTTGCTACAACTGAGACGGTAACTTTACCAACAGGACTCAGAAGATGTGCATCATTCTCAGCCCAAATAGATAAAATGATTTCCCCTCCACCAAGTAACTGTGTTAGCTGGATTGTGCTTGACTGCTCCTTCACAGATGGGTCATGGTTGACTGTAACCGTACCATTTGTTAGTTCGCCACCTTCATACGACGTTCCAACATTTAAATGATAGCAGGAAATGTTTGATTCTGCATCTGAAAACCCATACCAGGTAAGATTGACAAATGTTAGTTGAGATCCATTGACACTGATAGTTTGCCACGTTAATGGTGGCTTAAAGCCTCCCACTATCGGAGAAGTAGAATCAATCAGAATGTTGTTGCTGTGTGACGTTGTACACAAGCCTGCACGGTTGCAGGAAGTCACCGACAGTTGGTATTTGTCTCCATTCCTAAGTCGCTTTTCCTTCGGCAAAATCAGTAAGTACGAGTTCTGTGGTCCTAAGGTAATTTGTTCTACTGCTACGGCTGACTCGTGGTGAGTTTTAAAGCTAAGTATGTGCTCATGTATTGGACTCCCATTATCAACAAACTTCCACCGTGAATACAGGACACTGTTATCCCACTGTGTGGGGATGTTTTCGGGACCATCTGGTGATGTTGATATGAACACTGGTTTATCAATGACTTCTGGTGCAGTGTCATCAACTTCAAAACTGGGGGAGACAGTTTCGACAAACAGACCTACAGGGTTGTATGCTCTTACTGTCACAAACAGAGGAACAGAGAGTGGTAGATGCAGCCCACTTGCCAAGTAAGAATCTGAGAGGGCAGTGTTGGTGAAATTCATTATGTCACAAAAACCCGATCTCTGTCCAATACAGCACTCAAAATGGTGGATTCCTGTCTCAGCATCCTCGAAACCAACCCATTTACTGTGGACATATGATCTGCAATGGACGAATGGTATTGAACTATAAATGTGTATAAAGTTCCTAAACATCGTAAGTAGTTGCATAGGCCATATATATAATTGGCCCTGTACATAAACTGCATATTAACACTATCAATATGGTATAGCAATTAACTGTCATTCCATTATTTGCATATGTAAATGAAAATGTGAAAGATATAGAGGCTTGTACAATAACCTATGGAAAAATCCTAATGTGGATGTACAGCTGAGAAAAATATGCATTGCTTGATAGACTAAAAAAAGGTTTCATAAATCATTCACCTGTGACCGTGGTATTTGTTATGAGTGTCAGTGTGACCAACAGTAACAACACCAGCTGCAGGAGCGGATCCATCCATAACGACGCCATCAGAAGATTCAGTGACACAGAGCCCTGCATTATTACACGCCTCGACTGTACTGTAGTACTTCGCTCCAGGGATCAAGTCATGTGTCCAGTTATGATCTGAAACATATTCACACACATTAAACATATGATGTGTAGGGCAAGTGAGATGAGCATAGCGTAGTTATGAAAGAGTTCGATCGTCACACGGTAGGCCTCAATTCCTCCAAACTGTACAATGGATGAAGCCAATTTCGGGTGCCCCATCATTTTGCTGTAATTCATTGTATGGCATTAGTGGTTACATGCAACTTAACGTTATGTGAATGTCCTTAGTTAACACTTATATAGTTCTTTAGTTACTTGTCCGAAGTCCAACAGACAGGAGAGGCTTGACGTCCAAAACGCCTGGTGAAGTCCCAAGTCCTATTCTGTAGCCCTGTATTCCAGAGTGAGGGTCGTGAAACCCAGTCCAGTGGCAGCCTAGCCCAGTTGTGCTGGTTTGATAGTCCACCTCATCCTTAGGTAAAAGACAAATGATCAGTTTGTTAGAATTATATACTTTGTATAAACCAATATGGATTCAAAGACGTACCATCCAAGAAGAACCAGCAAGCACCCCACCCAAAGATATGAATCAAAATGCAATAAAAAGCAATCAAAATTATGTTGAACAACCACGTGGAGGTCATGATATATCTCTATCAATGAAGACAAAGTACCCAAGCAGCAAGTCGTGAAATTCGTGCCATAAGCACCTCGTCGATTGTCATTGAAAATGGGTTATATTTTAATTTAATGACATTTTACAGACTAAAACCACCCTCACCTTACTTCCAACATACCCATCTCGAACAATACCAGCATGTGGTTGGGAGTTATCAATGACGAATGACTTGGATATGCACAGAGACCGAAGGTGGGCGTTGTTGGTGGCCTAGAATTCAAAGAATTAGGAATTATACAGTAATTGTGTATCAACAATGTGTACGTTGAAGTTTCCACGTCCGTTATTGTTAAAATAAATCCTCCTACTGTTTACCTGAATTCTGATTTCATAGGCATGCCCTTCAATAAATGTATTATCAATGTGAATAATTGTAGATTTCGTTCTTGTTTCAAACTGTAGAGGTGGCGCTTCTGTGTTGACGGATGTGAAAATATTCAGATGGTAGGACTCGATGCCACTTTCGGGGTCGTGGATATCCTTCCACTGGATGCGAAGTGTCTTTGTCCTCAAAACCTTCTTATGCGGGTACAGTCCTTCAACCTGAATCGTGCCACATACAGGTGGTGTAAGATCGCCTACTATTTCAGGAGAAATACTCTCTGTCGTATGACCAACATGATCTTCAGCTGAAAAATATCAAACGGACTAAAGGAATTTTCTGTGTAAACAAGAAAAATAATGTTCTTTTGTAAGGTCCTTGAACAAAAAGTGTCATGTATAATGTAAATCTGAATTTTAATAATGTTTTGGACTGCTGGTTTGTTTTCACGAAGCTTTGGTATCATTACAATTTGATAGTGAGTCAATAACACATGTTCATGACGAAGTGATTCATCTGAAAATGACAATGATTTTGCTGCGTTTGTTTCCTTCAGTTTCATCACCTTTGATTGTGACAAAGTACACTTCTCCAGTCTTGATGGGAAGCCCCTCAGCTTCAAACGATGTGCAGTCGCCAATCTTTGTCCATGCCATGACATTTTGACCACGAGGATAGTTCCCTTCAAAAACATGAATTGTGATGAGCAATAGAAACTATGTGTAAACAACAAGAGAACAGAACTTTGTTATATTATGTGCTATATTCTCTCTCAAATCAGACATGAAATTATGTATGTTTAAAATATTTAAACAGCTTCATACCGATAGCAATTGAGTACGATTTGATTGCATGGGCATATACAACTCCATGTGGCAGCTTGTCAGAGAACCCGGACCATGTGATGACCATCCTTGAGGGATCGGTGATGTAGCCAGATACTGCGTTAGTTACACTGACGGAACCTCCAACAGGGGGAGTCTTGTCCACCACAAATCCATTTCCGCAAATGGTGAAGGACAATAGTTCCTTTTCTGTATTTTCACTGACATTGGCACATATGTAATAGGATTCGGAATCGTCAAAGTCAATCCTACCAAACCTGACAAATCCAGTTTGTGTAAATTTCCATGTCAAGCAAGATATATCAGAGTCACAGTCATACACTGGAACCTGTTGGATTCCCCTCATGATGAACCAAGTGACATTGCGGCCAGCTGTATTGGTGATGACAGCACTCACTCTACTGCTGCTGTTGATAAAGTCAACATCCAGTTCATGTAGCAGCTTTAGTCTTGTGCCAAGTCGTTCACTGTGGAGAATGTCTTCGATATTGGCCAGTCGCTTGTCATCTGCAGGCAGCTCAAACAGTCCATGCTCACTATACGACGTAGCGTATGGGTTCAAACTCAGCTCAGCACATTTGGAACCAAACTGCCCAGATGGACAGATGACTCGTACACATGTGAACAGTTTTTGATAGGAGTGGATCGGTAGCTTCAGGCATCTAGAGGTCTGAAATCAGAATGAGTATGCATTCAACTATCTATTCAAAATTTTTTGCTTTCCTTAGGAAATATGACTTACGATAAGTTGAACCAGCACAAAGGCTATCAACTTGTGCCAGGTGCGTCATTGATATACATTGTGCACTGTTTTGTTAGTAGCTTACATCATTAGACTCATTATCAGCATATTTACCTTGACATTGCAAGAGCCAGGATCTTCTTGCATCCACGTTGTAACTGGGCTGATATCTGATTCGGACTTGATGATTGCCCATTGAATGATGCAGCTCCCAGATATCTTTAAGGACTCTCCACAGTCAATACTTTCTACTTCAACAGATATGTTTGTACAATCTCCAGTTTCATCTTGAATGACAGAAACGATATTCCCAATCTCTGGAATTTCAGATACTGACACACCATCAGACAACTGTTCTGTGATACAAATGTGTCCAAAGCAAGGCGATATAGAACCCAAATAACGGTGTCCATTTTTCAGATTTAGATTTTTGAAACAATGTGCTGTGCCTCTTCCTGTTTTAACCTTTGTCTCGCTGATGATTTTGACACATGCTTCTGAAGATTCATTGTTACATGTGCTTTGAAGTAACTGGAGATGATAATGGGTGGCAAAATCCGTGTTTTCACTATTGCCCTCCCAGTGTAGTGTGTAGGATGTCGTTGAAACCTGGTAGTCAGCATCTTGAACACATCTGTACATTTCAATGTTGAAACTACTTCCTTTTACAAACCTCAATTGGAAATTTGGATTTGTTGTTAGAGGAGAAAAATGTACATGATAAGTTGAATTATCTACCATGCTGCTTCCAGTGATGAATACATCATCTGAGAGAAATGAGAAGCCTTCAAAGGTTGTGATGTTTCTGACTACAGCACTGTAGTGCTGCCCAAAATGCAGTGGATTGTCGAATGTAACGTTAACGCTCATACTGTGAGAAAGGTTATGTAAATCAAGAAAGTTAACCAGCTTTTCATCATTTAGTTCACATGTTGGGCCATCATAGACAGAGATTGAATGAGGAACATCTGCCACAATCATAAATCCATCTGACGACGAAACAGTTTCTCCACCCGAACACTTCGCCCGAATAGATGTAAAGTACTTGACAAACGTCGAGAGAGTGGGTGACTTGATACAAGCTGTTTGTATATCCGACCCAGTGACACCAGTAAACGTTGCTACGTCATCCATACCTGCTGTTGACCCGATGCCTATCTCAAAAGTGACGTTTCTGTGATGTTTGAATCCAGACCAGTGGGCACAAGCTGAATAGTGCTGGTGGAAGTCCACGTCTGTCAAGGAGTTTACATCTGAAGGATCGACATCCACGACCAGAGCTTGACCAGGAGGGAATAGTGACGGAAGACGGATTGACTCTGTTCTTACAGTAGTGAAGTGGCCTGCTGAATTGTAAACATACAACTCAAAGAGACATCGTTTTCCAAGTTCTGAGTCCTGACGCTGCAGAAGGACCATTGGATACTGGATGCAGCCAGCATGTCCCTCAGCTTTACACACCTCACTTGCCCCAGAAGGAGTCTGCAGTATTGGTGTAACATAGTCCTCGTCCATTACTGTAAAACATCATACAACAACTTCACCATGCAGTTACCAACCATACAACATAGCATGGTTGCTTACAGGGGAAAATACGGCAGAAATTAATGTTTCCAAAACAAACTGGCTGCATAACCAAAAAACAACTTTATACATGTAAAAGAGTTTTAACTTGGTACGTTTATTCGTGACACATTGTCAACAATGTTCAACATTTGAGTGCAGACTAAGATGCCAAAATGCCAAGAGCCCCCTAAATAGCACATTTCGACAGTTTCCACTGCCGTTTCACAAGTCTGTTCATAGTTTTCAGAATTGAAACAAATGGGCACATATGAATCTTATTGCGTTGTTGAAGGTCATACTTAAGTTTGAGATGCATGCCTCCGGAAGGTGTCAGATTACAGACAACGTAAGTGGACAGATATCATATTGCTAACAAAGGTAATGTTGTGTCAATGCATTTAGCTAAAAAGAAATATTATGATGAAGAGAAAACTAACTATTTCAAACATTGCCATTAAAAAAATATGTGTTCATCTTGCAACTGAGACTTACCCGCCCGGTATGTGACTGTGAACTGCTGATGTACTTCTTCAGGGTCTGAGAATGTGTGATTGGTCCAGGTGACTCTGATGTGATCCCCAACTATCTCTGGAACTAGTGTCCCGTGAACGTCTGGGGGAGTGTCATCTATCATCACAGGACCAAGGGTTGCCACTGATGAGACGCCAGCCTTGTTTTCTGTCTTGATGAATATGTAAAACTCTGTCCTACTATCAAAACCAGTTTCATGACTATGGAAACTTGTCTTCCTATGAGTAGGTCTATAACTGGCTAGATCTGGCTTGGTGTATGTTGACACATCATACCCAAACCCTACGAAGGAATCGCGAATTTGGCTTTCGTTTTCAATTAGGCTCCAGTTCAGAACAACTTTGTGAAACGGCACATAAATTACAGTCTCATTCAGATACGGCAGATCCCTACATAGGCTATCAGCTGTCTCGTTGTCTATGTAACTTCCATATACTATAGGAAAACGCAGATTCGTGTGTAGGTTGTTAAGACACCGATCGCGACACATGTGTACCATTGGAAGCCTAGCCATTGTCATATTAGAGTTGATTAGCCATGGTTGATCAAATATGCATTGGAGACTAGATAAAGAAGATGCCTGGTGGAGGGTAATGTTTTCTATGATTGGTGGGGAGAGGTCAAATGTAATACCATCTGAGCAGATAACATCAGAAGGCTCTAGAGCATTGTTGACAGCAACAAGTGAAGTAAAGTACCTGCCTTCTTTAGGGAAAACTAGTGATACACTTTCTGTTGTTGCTTTTGAATGATGATATCGCTTGAATGTGTTTGCTTCAGTTCACCAACACTAAGACACTTGTCTGCTAAGCCTACGATGTAATATCGGATACCACTCTCATGGTCAATAAAACCTCGCCAGCTGATCAGCACATGCCCTTCACTGGTGTAATCTATGTCTGGACCATCAATGCTCCCTTCTTGAACGATGCCAACTACAGGAGGAGACTCATCAACCAGAACATCCAGGTGAGCAAAACTCTTTAGCATGGCCCCATTAGTTATAAAGAGGGTGAAGTAATACTCTCTGTTGTGTTGGCCCGTGTTCGTATTATTGGCTTTAAGAGAAGTCTTGCCTAGGTCCAGTGTATAATTCTGGAATTCACAGGGCCCAACAGATGGACAGTAACAATCTGGCCCTCGTGGACACCTAACCTGAAAACAAACAAATATTTGCTTAAACGTGACACCTATAGGGCATATAAACTATGTCGGATATGATGGAGCTATCACGCATTGTGATGCCTGTGAATTTCGTTTATTAAAATCCTACACAATATTTCCATTACCAACTCTAGTGATATTATATTAATTAAGAAGTGAATTTACCTTCATGTATAAATACTTGCATCGTATTTGGTAGTATTGGGAAAGCAAGTATTCGAACATCGCATGGTAGTTGTCCAAATAGTAAAACAAATCAACGTATCCTGTACTAACTTTTCTCATGCGATTTTATATGCATTCAGAGTAATTTTCAGAGCTGGACAAAAATGGTTGCCCATTTTCATTAACACATCTGATCTTCTTGAGTAAGAACATGCATGCAATATCCAGATAAGGCGATGTTGTTTTCGTAATATAAATCAAACTCAAAATACGCTCATTATGAATCCCAATATGAAATAAATAAATGTTCCAGTACAGTCCAATTGTTTCTAAATTCAACTGTGCATTACCAGAGCTTCGAGTTTCCTGACAGGAAGTGCACCGTTCCCGAGATCTGAGCCCGCATCAGTTGTTCCAAGCGCCCACAGCACAGATGTGATCCCACTGTGGACATCCCACGCTCGAAACTGAAGAACCATCGTAGAGAGATCTGTGTTGTTGTGAACATATACCTGACTCGTTCCATCTCTAACAAGCCAGGTATCAGCGATGTCAGCCACACTCCTGTCTATGTGCACAACTACAGACTCCACAATGGTGTTCATCATAATGTCCTGGGCCTTAACCCAGACTTCGTAGGTTTCACCATCCGTTAGATTCAGACCCAGGCTCAGAGATTGGTTGGTAAAATCTGGAACTGATTCCCATGACGTTTTTGAACCATTGTTGAGACACCATTGGTACTTGAAACTTGTGATGCCATGGATACTCACAGTACCGGTGACAGGTAAAATGCCCGTTACTTGATCATATACACCTGATATACCATTGCCTGTGTCTTCTTTCACATGGCAAAATAGTTATTCGTTATGTAATGATCATTATGATAACGTTCATTCCAGTCTAACTGAATGTTCCCATGGTAAATTTGCCAAGTATATCTCGTGTCCTTTGACGCAGATATGACCCTCAATACTCGAGATGTCGTAACCTCAAGTTTAGATGAATTATCGTACAGCAGAAAACGTCGTACAAATCTGACATTTCCAGCAACATCGTGGACTTCCACATATGTAACATACATGGCAGGCTCTGATGGGAGTGAGACTGTGATGTTCACACTGTTTCCGGTCAGCTGGCCTGATTTAAACACATGGTTAGCATAGTCCACATCTAGTGTATCCGGGTCGAGGTGTTTCATACCATAAACATCCACTTTAAAATACTTTATTCCTGAGGCTTGTTCTAGTTTTCCAGATTTAGGATAGGGATCTACCCAGCCTGACACACCAACAGTGATGTTAGGGGATTTAGTTGCTCTTGTGGATAGGCGCATGGGGTTGACAGAGGAACATGGAAATCTTGAATCTGTTGTACAGTGAACTGGGGCAACATCGTCATATCTGAAGCAGATGGTCTTGCTTTCGTCAAGGGGGGTGAACCGCTTGTTGCCAAGGAAGTGTCCATCGAAGTTTTTATAATCAAATGAACCTCCTGAATAGACCTTGATTACTCCACATAACCTGAAAGTACAGTTTCATACGTGTAAACCCTAATGACGTGATGACAGTAAGGTTAATAGTTACATTATCATTCCATTTTGTGTTGTCTTGACAAGTGGCAAGAATATCTCATTGCCAGAGACAGTTCTTTGTAATAAAGCAAACTGATTCAGTAAACATCCATGAATTCGCTTAGCTCATAAGCTCATACATTCTAAATGTATAATTCACGATCAATTACTTATAACGCATGTTTATGCATGTATGACTGCAAGATAATGATATCAGTATCAAAACACAGCAACTTGACACAGCATACCATTTATACATACATAAATCCCTGTTAACAATATCATTAGCACATTCATCCTAGCATGGGGTGTCTCTACATATCTCTAGTTGTTCTTCATCAGTAGTAACCCACGTTACCATTCTCCATTAAGCAGGGAGGATGAACCATTCAGGACTCTGTCACATGACAGTAGTGGCGCAGGTGTGGACGACGAGAGGGCCTTGCTGCAGTCGCCACCTCCCCTCAACGTAGTGGAAGACAAAATGTGTTCGGTACCTATAACATAGAAAGAAATATTAGGTTGGATCAACTCAGTTTTCATACATACAAATGCACAAACTTCTTTTAGAAGTTGGATCAATAAGCAAGGATGACAACATATGGATGAACAACTTCTTTATTAAAGTGAGAGCCGTTAATTAAGAAGTTTTTCATCCATATATTGTCATCCTTCCATACAAATGCACACTTACCATGTCAGACAGAAATACATGTACAATGGATGAGATAGTCAGACAAAGCGGGAAGGCTGCTGTACGTACTCATAATATAGTCAGAGATTTGTAATGGATGTGGAAAGGGTTTTGTCTCTTCTATATGTATGTCCGACATGCAGTTCGTCATGCCAAGGACCCAGCTTGGATTCCTCACGTGGGTACAATGTGTAAAAACTAACCTCACTCACTCCGACATGTAATAAATACAACCAATACTATTATCACAAGGTATAACGTACAAAACAGAGTGGCGACAACGTTGTGTAATTAACTGCCAAGTATTAGCCAACTATATGAAAATGATAAGGCTGTAGCTCTTCAATGTAGGGGCATTAGTGGAGAAACGGGTTTGTGAATAAACTGAGTGATAGTTGGTTTACTGGGTTGGTCTTTGGGCATTCTTACATATTACGCAGTTATCAACCATATCAATGGAATCGATGTTTCTGATAACACTCACTGGATTGCCTAATGCAGATTTGATTATTTACAATATTTACATATAGCTGTAATGTTCCTGAACGTTAACGCAACACACTAACAAATCGAACAACCAAGTATAGATTTGAAAATATTCTTGCAGTGAACCATTCCAGGAAAAATAAATGAAGACACGGTGACCCAGACCAGTAGCCCCATCCATGCCAAGACTGACGGTGACAGTCATCAACTTTCTGCAGGACTCTAGGAAATTCCTTCAGCATCTATTCGACACATTGTTATGGTTATCCAGTTCATTAATAGTGTGATACAACATCACCCTTTGATTGCGTTGGTCATACTGTGGCTAAGAAGTGGTCCATGGGAAACATGTCTCAACACGATATCATTTCAACCTCTTAGATGTAACTTAACTAAAAAATGGAGGCCTGCTTGAGAATATATGCGTTTCAGTACGATTGATGAACTGCGATTCTGTGATTCAGCTGCATAGTGTGAACATGAAGTAACAAGGATTGAAGGGAATGATATTACATTTTTCGAGGCACAAAAAGGAGGATATAAACAAATACCCGAATCGATTTCGCGGGGTCCGGCGAGAACATAGTTTAGTATTTCTCTATGAAAGTATGCTCAAGCAAACTCACAAGAAGTGAAAGACCAGTTGCTAAATATTTTCTGTATTTAACTGATATGTATTCATGTCGCTTTTTCACACAACATACCATTCTAAATATATCTACACTCTTCAAAAAGTGACTTTAACTATTAACTCACTGACTAACAAAAAAGAAACGCATCGGCGTTTTCAGAAGTTCATTTCAATATATTTTGACAGCAATCGTCATTAAGACAATTGCAGTGTTTGAATCCCGTTAATCATGCCGTGGCTGTGTATTTCGCGCAAACGCACCCCAAGATGTGTTTGTAAACGTTTGACATAAAAAATGAAAATGATACATAGAAAATGCATGCAGAAAATGTTTTCCACGTAATGCACGTGCAATGTGTCGGGCACATGAGTAGAGACATCGACTATAAAAGGCCAAACCAAATTCATCATTTCATTACGAAATTTACGACGTAAATGAAGATAAAATATGCCAAGATCGAATGCAACTGACCGAAATATCGCCATTGGACGTTTGGAGTCCCAGTCGACCATTGGAGGACCAAACCATCAGAAATCGTCTGAGAGAAGTGGGAATTCGAGCATATCGACCAAAGGTTGGACCTGTCCTGACAGGACTACACCGACAACGACGTGTCCAATGGTGCAACAGGATACAGACATGGAACCAGGGGAACGCATGGAACGCGTTTGGTTCAGCGATGAATCGCATTTCCTCCTGCAACGACGGGATGGGAGACAACGTGTCTATCGACGTCAACAAGAACGTTTTGCCCCGAACAGATTTGGCGAAGTACCTTCATGGTGTGGGGAACCATCTCCGGCACGGGTAGATCAGAGCTAGTGGTGGTTCAAGGCAATCTTACAGCAAATCGCTATATCGACCAAATCCTGCGACCTCACCTTCTCCCACCTGATCGAACATCTGAACCTGATCGATCATCTATGGGACGAACTTGATCGTCCGTAAACGTCACCATCGTCCTCAGACACTTGCAGAACTTGCCAACGCGTTGCAGGAAGAATGGCGAAGATTGCCCCAAACACAAATCCGACGACTTGTGCAATCCCTTCCAAGGCGGTGTTGCTTTGTGGATCGAAGCCCTGAACGTCCCATTGTACCCACATATGTGCATTTAGTGAACTGAATTAATGCTGATGATGACAATACTACATGACATCAGTGTGTCGAATTTCCTCCATCTATGTTCAGTAATCGACTTAAATACGTTCAACACATTACCTTTTTTTTGGCCTTTGCGTATATTCGAAGTGTGTATTCTCCAAATCCATTCCACGAAATACCATTATTCTATCAAGCGTTATTGCATCCTTGTAGTGCCTGTTAAATGACGATGATGATGATTATGAGGAGGGGAGGGAGGACGACGATGAAATATATAAAATCACACATTAAAGCAGATGCCTTTCGCCCATTGAGTTCAACACTCCAGTTTACCTGTCAGAGTCCTTCGTATCACTGTAAGGTTGCTGTCAACAATACCGATGTAGGTTCCACTGATATATACAGGCTGAGGCGATGTTACTTTCCTTTGAAAGTCAGCTTTAATACTGAAGGACATATACCCCGGTTGTATGTTGAGATACACGTCTGTCTTTGAATAACAGTCGGTCTTGTTGCCCATGTTGGTGCTGTTCTTCGTGACGCCTCTAAGGTCCTCTATTCCAACGTTGCAGGTGATTAAATCGGCCTTTGTGTCAACTACATGATAGGGGGAATAGATACAAAACATACAATACTTGTGTACACAGATGTCAGAAATACAAGCCTTTTTCAGAAAGTATAGTATTATTAGACCATATCACTCAACATTCTCATTGTTAGTACAGATTACTCGTCAAATATGTGTTGTTCCCCTTAACCAGCTAAACATGTGATGCAGTCATCCAGTCCCGAAATCCATGAATTACTGCAGATGCGACTTTACACATGAACTCACTGCGTCAGAATTTATGTCGAATGATAGTTTGTGTCTTCATATCTTGCTTCAACAAAATATTTCATCTGTCTGTAAAGCATCTCATTTCTCTCTGAACAAACAAATGAAAAAGGTCCTGTACCATCAAACTAATCACAGGCAAGGTTCGCCTTGGCAGTCCAGTGTTATGAGCTGGAATGTTGCTAAATTTATAAAAAAAAAAAATATCACTAAAAGCAGCTCCTACACTCACCGTCACACAATGCACTGCCATTCTTTCTGAATCCAGGTTCACAGGAACATGATTTTGTGAGACCATCAGAGCACGTTCCAGGCCAGCACCACCTATCCTTCACATACGAGCACGTGGCTGAAAGAGTATTAAGTTGGATGCAGTAAGATGATAATTATGCCAGGATCACCCAGTGAAGACAAAGCGAATTGTGTTATACAATATCAACACAGAGAAACCGTTTGATCAGGTCAAGCAGTTAATCTTTGACTACACCCATCAACTGTCTTCTGCGTGAGAAACAATACTATGATGCCACAAAAACGTATACAGTACAGGTTAACTTGTCTGCAGATGACTACGACAACGTTGTTAACGGCAGCGACTTCTGGCCACGTGACATTCGTTGCAGGGATTATGTGCCTCGACATCGCCAACAGAATATGAATGAATATCAATATGACCAATACAAAGGTAGTGGATACCGACATGATGAACAGTTCTAAATGACCATGAATAACGGTACAATTTTTCATCTCTCTATGTGTGCAACAATATTACTCATGCTTTTAAGTTTATTAACCTGGAGTATACGTGGTGTGTCTAGCAGCACGCCTCATGTAATAATCTAATACCATTCCTATTAATGTGGATGTACTATGTATCCAGGAGCATTGATAAATCCAAATAATGTTGATAAACTAAATGACATTCATGGGTACAACGTTATAACGTGTATGTGAAACACAAGTGTCTCCGTCAGGGGATCCGGGGCTCTAGCGCTATTATGTCATTCCCAGTCACGATGGAAAGCTTACCCTTTACAAAAGTCTGAGTACCTGGTAACTGCTAAGCGCTTATGTGCAACGGATATGCAGACATTTTATTCGAATGTATTGAAATGATACACGTAATTAATGAAGATTACCATCCAAACAACTGCATTTGTACGCATAAGTGTATTTTATTGCTTATTCCGTCACAACGCATGAAATGACCCTCATGGTGACTTCGTGCACAAAAAAACACATGCAAATGGCAGTTAATGTAGGGTGTATAAAAGCCCATGTGCTTCCTGCATTATATTCATTCATTTGTCGCCGAAAAGCTGTGTTAAAATGCCACGATTGAGTGCTGCCGACCGAAATATCGCCATTGGTCGTGTTCAAGCCGGAGAAAGTTTTGGAACTGTTGCACGGCACCTAAATGTTCACAAAACAACGATATCCCGACTTTGGAGCCGCTACAACAACTTCAATTTGACCAACGATCGCCTGAGAAGTGGAAGGCCAAGAATCACGACCCCCTTCAAGATCGGTACATCCGGGTCCATCACCTGCGTAATCGGCATGCCCTACCAACCGTGACTGCACACACAAATACCAGGTTTGAGGAGAGTGTCAGCTCAAACGATTAGGAACCGTCTGAAAGAAGCGGGTTTACGTGCCTGTAGACCAGTTGTTGGACCTGTACTACGCCCCTACATCGACGCCGACGACTCAGGTGGTGCAACAACGTAAGGATACGGACTTTACAAAACTGGAGGCGAATCTGGTTTCTTATGAATCACGTTTCTTTTGCAACGTCACGACGGAAGACAGCGTCTGTATAGGAGACGTCATAAACGTTTTGCGCCCATCTGCGTCCGACAGGTGGACAGATTTGGCGGAGAAAGCGTCATGGTTTGGGGAACCATCTCATACAACCAGAAATCAGACTTGGTGATCGTTCCAGGAACCTGACAGCCCAACGTTACATCAACCACGTGTTAGAGCTTCACCTTCTCCCGATTATTGACCAACAGACACAGATTTTTCAACGGGACAACGCCCGGCCTCATACTGCACGTGCAACAATGAACTTTCTGCAGAATTCCAACGTCAATGTCTTGCCATGACCCTCTAAATCACCAGACCTCAACCCTATTGAACACCTGTGGATACTCTGATCGACGCGTACGTCAACGTCAGCCGCCGCCACAGACGCTGCAACAGCCTCGCCGTTGCACTGCAGGAGGAGTGGAGAGCCATTCCCCAGGAAAGAATCCGGCGTCTTATCCGTTCTTGTCCAAGGAGATGCCGTGCAGTGATTGCAGCGCGTGGTGCTCATACGAGATACTGAGAAAGACGCCCCCTGGTGACAGAGTTTATATGTAATCTGTTGTAGACTTCTATCTACCAACGTATTAAATTCAACATATCTTAATGCTATAGATGAGTTAACGGATGCCTATGATATGCTTTGTCAAGAAGGAGATACTTATGTATTAGGAGATCTGAACTCAGACTTGTGTAAAACTGTTTTCTCCTCACGTGAAAAGGTACTTGAAAAGCTAAGTACATATATAAATCTTGTACACGTGTTACATACCTCTTGCACGTGTGGTCCGGACTACACATGGAGAAGTAAGGACAACCTGTACAAGTCTCTTATTGACTATATTCTTGTACCCTCTCATGCGGTAAGGTTTACTTCAGTGTTGTGTGCTTGATCAATGTGACTACACAATCTCTGACCACCTTCCTTGCTTCGTAAATATTAAACTACAGCATAAATCTGTAACTCCTACATTCAAGACATGTATGCCAAAATGGCACAAAGCTGACTCCACTGAATTAAATGCTTACACAGAGGAAACAGAGAGACTTCTCTCTGACATATGTATGCCATGTAATGAAGCACAACCTGCAGACATTGAGCTCTATAATGAACAGATTAGTAATGCCCTTACTAGTGCTAGTTCCCAGTGCATCCCCTCTGGAACATTTAGATCCTATCTAAAGGCACATTGGAAGAGTAGCGGCCTAAATGACGCATTACCAAATGCGAACCTGGCTAGCAGACGACAAACCAAGGGGAGACGATTTTTCTTCATATCGAGAATACAAACGTGCTAAGCGCGTTTTCCGTCGTTTATATTGGCAGGCAAAACGAAAACAACGCAAAAAACTATCTCGTGAACTTGAAATTTCTTCAGAAACTGATATTAATACCTTCTTTAAATCTGTGCGTAAGCTGAGACGCCCGCGGTCAACAGTTGACCAATTAGTGTTTAACAATACCCACGCGGACACACCAGAGGCCATATGTAACCTGTGGTGTGCTTACTATGCTAACCTCGCCATACCACATCATGCTGAAAACTTTTGACGATGAATTTAAAGCATCTGTGGATATCAAACTGGCAGATATAATTTCACAACCTAATGATTCTACTGCTGCTGACGCTGTACTATATGCCGACCTCCAGCCATTAGAGTTAAAACAACATCTGGTTAATCTAAAGCGTTACAAATCCCCTGGACCAGATCACGTAAACAATGAACATCTTATCTATGGAGGTGACGTGCTGGTCGATAAGCTCTGCGTCTTATTTAACGCAATTATGAAAGCTGTGAACGTTCCCAGTATCTTTAGACTGGGTATGATTGTTCCACTTTATAAAGGAAAAGGTGCAAAATGTGATCCCAAAAACTACAGGGGTATCACCCTAACCTCCTGTATAGGGACACTATTTGAAAAACTATTACTGTCACGTCTACAATGTTATATAAGTAATATTAATCCTCACTTTCCAGACCCTCTACAGTTTGGATTTAGAAACGAACATGGTGCAATTATGTCGACGTTTATGCTCAATGATTGCGTAACATATTATGTTGAGCGTGGTTCCCAAGTCTTCTCAGCTTTTCTCGATAATGAGAAAGCTTTTGATCGCATCTGGCATGGCGGTCTATTCTTAGAACTCCACAATTTGGGTATAACGGGTAAAATGCGGAATCTGCTATATCACAGCTACACCTGCAGCTCTTCTTTTGTAATGTACAACAGAAATAGCTCAGACTCAATTGAAGTAAAACAAGGTGTAGGGCAAGGTAGAGTCCTGTCTGCATGGTTCTTCCTTGTCTTCATAAACGATTTACTAACTGAATTAAGACTTAGTAACAATGGTATATGTGTATATGGTATTGATGTACCATCAGTCCTGTTAGCCGATGATACGACACTGTTAAGTACCACACCGTCTGGGCTGCAGAATTCACTTCATATTGTTTCAGAATTTGCTTCCAGATGGCGCCTAACATACAATGCATCGAAAACCACTGTTGTAGTTTTTCGGAAAGGGAAACAATCTTGTCCTGAGCTCTTATTCTCCTTTTGCGACACCTCTATTAATGTAAGTGTCAGTAAAATATGGTGGTATTCTACTCTCATCAGATCTGTCTTGTAAAGATAGAGTTTTCGCTAACTGTCAAAAGGCCAGGCAAACCATAAATTCCTTGCGCTAATTGGGTCTTAACAGTACTGACTTACATCCAGTTACATGTGTTAATATATGGAAAAGAATATTTTTACCTACAAGTTTCTATGGTTGTGAAACAATGCCTACGCAATATGACAAAAACATTCATCAGGTTGAAAATACCCAACGATATTTTGCTAAATGTATTCAAGGGTTCAACAGACGTATGCTAACAGATTTTGTATGTGCCAACCTAGGTCTCTGGACAATGGTTGGGTACATTGACAAGTGTAGATTATTATTCCTTGGAAGATTATGTAATAACGCTTGTAATTCATCAACGAAAGCACTGTTCTGTGCATTTTTAGCACTCGCTGTTCACTTAAATATTAGCTCACGCAGTATTTGCAACACTCTGTTATGTACAGCACTGGACTATAATCTACTGGACTATGTATTAACTTACGTGCAAACTGGTATTTTTTCCGTCAAAGACAGTTTGGCGCAGAATTGTTATAAGTTGTATCTTGTCTTATGAAGAAGCTCAATGGAAATTGAGACTCTCCATTAAAGAGGATATGTCCAGATATGCTGTAACCCATCAAACACTGAGTCTACATAGACTTTACACTCTAATGTATCTGTACCCAGAATATAAAGACCATATACAGCTTGCTGTACTAGTCGGTTCTAAAGCCAAATTCTCAAAAGAATGTATGCTTTCTAATAAGTACTGCTATGACCACGATGCTCACATAATTTTACATTGTGAATCTGCAATGAGCCAAAGAATTTTTTCATATGACACTACTTGACCTACTGGACGTAGAATTATATGTATTAATTGAAATGCTTGATGATGAAGATGCCCTTGTACTGTTTTGTGGTGCAAAACTTCACATCCGTGACCTTCATGAAACAGCATGGCAAAGCATCATACTACATTTTTCAAACTATATCTATTCTTTAATATATTCCTTGATGTATACTTTCTGAACTATCATTGTTGTAAATAACCGTGCTTTGTACATATCATATGTACATATATGTACCTGACGGATGTGTGTTTATGTAATCTTCGAATACTTTTTGGAGGAAATAATGACATTCATTCATTCATTCATTCATTCATTCATTATCAGCTCTATCTTTACAGTCGAGGCGACATTTAACTCACTCACTCACTGACATTTTTTGCACTAAATAAAACTATTGTGTCAATGAACATGCAGATGGTGTTTATTGTATGAGCTGGAGAATAATATATATCAACAGCGTTTGAGTCAATCTACTCTTAACAGTCTGTAAATATTCACCTAACTCAACCCCTATCCCTTGTCCGCTTGCTAGACGCCTTCACTAATATGGTCTAATGCCCATATCATTCTCAAAGGTGCTATCGCTTCTTCCTCCCCAAAGGAAACAATCCAGTTCTAATTAAACAATACAGTTCTTCTCAAATGCTGTAACCCCTTTTTACAAATCACGGAGTGTACTGTTACATCAAACTTTTCTCGATCATAAATTGTTCTTTTGATTACACTCGTGGTATACTGTCCTTCAGTTGCTGAAGACAATACAATGCCTGGAGAAAAGCATGAGTGGGAATATAGATAACATGGCACATGGGGTATTACAGAGGCAGCAAAGAGCTATGGGTTCATAATCTATGTCATAATAAATATAGTTTATAACTAAGAATTTATTGCTAAAATGCAAATAAAAACAAATAGCATATAACATATATCCATTCGTATGGCTACATGGACCGCTGAAAGCCTAGTATTCAACAAACACTACTTGATTACAATCTATGGTAAGTGTTTATATACTTGCCATCACAGTGTTCCTTATCTGGACTTAGCCACAGTAGCGAACGTCTGACGTCCCCACTCATGTCAACACAACTACCTGCAAGGTAAAACAGCCATAAATGCAAGATTGAATGTGTGCAATCCAACATGACCACATAACATTAGCGAATTATAGAAGAAATAGTTCTTCAACCTGCAGACATATGAACGTGCTGTTGTTTTGCTAATCAGATTCTTTAGAACAGTGCAAATAAGACTTAAACAGATTTTGATTTGAAGAAATATTAGGCAATGCCGCATTCTTACAAATGACAGATAGATGAATTTATCATATATACTGTACATATATAGCACATAATGAAGGGTCAATTTGCTAAGTCGTGAAAACCGAATTTTGTTCCAGGTATTGCTAAATTAAGCCTTCTGGCATATTATCTTTATACAATTTATATGAATGATTACATATTTTATGTTTGATCTTCAGACACTTAGCTTTGGATACCAGGTCTGTATGACTTTACATAGGGAGTGGCAAACACCTGAAACTTTGTTTGCTTGAGGCTGTTTATGATTACTAGTATATGGTAACAAAACCTTAACACCTACGGTAACATCTTTGCTTGTCTGTCTGCATCCGATATATATAATTTGCAGTAGCAGGGGGGTTAACACATCTTGTGCATTCGTGACATTCTTGTTTCAAGCAGTTTTCTAGATATGGACACACTGAAACATAAAGGTCATCAGATGACTACATCTGAAGCATAACAGATCAATTCAAAGTAGCATTCCAATTGTTGTGTAAGAATGTTGCCCAACAATACAGCTATTACAAGTGTGGAGTTTCAATGTGCTTCTTTATGTTTCATTTGTGATGTTTGTCTCGTAATGAATATATAACACTGTTGTTACCTCAATACTTCCTAACTGAACGGTTGATATTGTCAGAAAGTGGTATATGAAAGAGTGTTCCGGAAAGGAAAGTCTAAAAATAAGAACTTAGAAAATGATTCTCCATAATTGACCTTCTTTTTTGCAAATCCGTATTCTATTCTCAATCTAAACAAGAAAACTTGTACTGCATTGATGGTATCATCCAGTAAATGAACACTCACTGCGTTATTAATTGAGACATCTTTCAAGACAATGGTCAGATGTATATCCTAGTCAGGTAAATGTCCGTTTTGCAATATCACTGAATGTGTTGACATTTATTTACTTATGGGTTCCCTCTTAAGTGAAACATTACATTTAGACAATAGTAAATATTCAGATAATCAGATTGGAACCACCTTAACACAATTAAGGTATCATCATGTGAAGAAATAGGAAAGTGAAATTTCACCTTCACGGGTGGTGTCGTTTCTGTTGAGATGTGTACAGTACAAAGAAATACAAACTGAGATAATTCTAAAAGCAATGATCAAAGAGTGATGGTCAAATATAGAAGAACTGCCATATATCAAATGACGATAAGACGTTTCAATATAAAACTCGCCTAATCTAAATTCATCCAGTGAACGCCCACGGTGCTGTATGAGTTAACGTTGTAAACAGATCCACGCTATTTTCATTCTCAACTCCCTTTGGTATGTACAATACAGTCTATATGAGAGGTTTCAGCATTCAGTGCAGTCGAAGTCGGAAGTCGAAGTCCGAAGTCATATATCGCAAACAATGGAATCTATATTCTGAGCCGAACTACTGGTCACACAATGAACTCGCCCCGGGGTCTAACGCAAATCTGCTGCTCCTTGGGGTGTCATCGGTCAACTCAGTCAGGTGATTAATAATCCATATATAAACCAACAGTTCAAAATAAGCCCAGCCTATCCACAGAAACAAATTCCGTTTGGTTTAAATGATTATATTACATCCGATGTTGACTTACGGATGATAGACGTTTCCGGTTTTAGGTTACAAAAAGTGTTTGTTTTGATGCCCAATTAACATCCATTATAATCCCAATAATCCCTACATTTACAGGACCAGAAAATATGGATATAAATATTTACTCAGCTTGTTAACTTACGTTGACATGTATGTTTATCTGAGCTAAGTTTGTAAAAATGCTTCGCTGGAGGAGTGTCACACTCAACACAAGTGTGACATCGCTGTGTGCGGCAGTTGGTAATTGAGCTGCACCCTGAAAAACAGTTTGTAGAAAGTGTTAAACAATCATTCTAGAAAATCAAGGTAAATGTACGTGTTTTCCATATTATTTCTTGATTTTGAAACATTTTAAAATTTCCTGCATACATCAATACTTCTGCCATCGTCGGCGAATCAATATAAGTGGCTAATGGATGACATTTAATTATAATATAATCAGCCCCTTAACATCCAAGATGTTATATCGTCCCTTCACAAATCTATATTTCCTCAATAACTTCAGTTTCTTATTTGTTTTGTTGGTTTGGGGGTATTTTTGTTGTTGTTGTTTTTCTTTGTGTTTTTTTGTCCCTCTATCATGGGTTATCTAGATCGCAATTTAATCATTTCTATTGAATCATGGCAATACATATATATATTACAGCCAGCATATTACAATGCGTTAATCGCGTCGCTATTGAAATAGTGGTACATGTATTTCAGTAGCATTACAATATTAGTGTTTTAACTATTGCAGCTGTAACCCTGCTTACGATCGTTACCCTTCCCTACAGCCAGTTCTTAAAATACGTAAACTATATTTAGTTTAATTTTTGCTTCCGAAAACTGAAAAGAAACAGACATCTGGAAGACAGAAGTAAATATAGCCTTTTCATACTGTAACTAACAGAATCAATTGGTCCACAACGAAGATCCTGAATATAACTTACTGTTATCCCCAGAATGTGACACATAAGATGTATCAACGGAAGGTATGTTCTCTGCACATAGAAACATTGCTTGAAATAAAACAGTATCAGTTTAGAGACATCATTTAACTGAGCCAATGTCTGATCCAACCAGAACACTGATTCCCTAAAACTTTTAGTTATAAAATAGTTATAATATATATTTGTGTCATCATTTAAAAATGTCACTTAAGGTTGCACTTTATCATCTCAATTATGGGTTCACAACAATTTATTATGTTCAACAGGCCTTATCAATATCCTCCAGATTACCTCATGACAGCTCAATATTCCCAGCAGAAGCAAATGGAATACTAACTGCTCTTAAATATATTAATAGACATCGTAGATATAAACAATATATCATATTTCAGACTCTTTCTTGCCTTCAGGCTATTAAAAATCTGTCTTGCAAACATCCACTTTTAATTGAGATTATTGAACTATATAATGATCTTGCTTACTGGCCAATACGACATCGTCTTTTGTTGGTTACCCAGCCATGTTGGTATTTTTAGGAACACAATGGCCGATTTTGCTGCTAAGGCAGCACTCAACGAATCTGTGACACCACTTCTCATTCCATACTCTGATTACAAAGTTAGCATTAGAATTTACATCCGTGATCTGATGCAGAAGAAGTGGGACACCCAGGTAGGTATAAATAAATAACATGAAATAAAACCCTATATCGGTTACACCTACTTGGGTTGTCAGTCCAGATTTGAAGAGGTCATCATACGACGATGTCGTATTGGCCACACAAGATACACTCATGAGTACCTATTGAAGGGCGAGGATCCTCCGTTTTGTATCCCTTGTGATGAAAGAATCACGGTCAAGCATGTCTTGCTCGACTGTGTTGAATATTCCATCACAAGGGATATCTATTTCACATCACGAACTATGAAGGATCTTATTAGTACTGTCAGCTCTCATTTAATTATTGCATTTTTAAAAGAATTAGATTTGTTAAACGATTTGTAAATAGATAAATATTTTTTCATTGGCAGTTTGAATTAGTAACTTAGATTGTTAGGGGCTGTATCCTCAAGGGGGGTTAAAGTACTGTAAAATTATTGTCCTCCTGAGAGGGTACGTAAGTCCCAAAACATTTGAAGTAAAATTCTAATCTTCCACTTTTTTAATCGTAGCATTCTTGTCATTTTAATTTGTGGCTTAATTTGCTTACAATCGCCAGCGGCTGAAGGGATGGTGTGAATCCAACTAGGGTCCATGCAGGTAGCTAAGGTACTGTAAGTCCCCATGGACCCTGGTATGGTGATCTACCTTCAGCTGTTGGCGATCTATAGCCCGTTTTTATTTTGTACTGACTATAGTGATTTAATTTTACGTTAGCGTACTAGTTTTAAATTTATAGCTGTGATGTTCTAGTATTTTTACTGTCCTTCGATGACAGGTATTTATGTTCCAACCTCATTGATTTTCATATTTATATAAACTGGATTGTTCTCGTCACAATATGGCTGAAATATTGCCGATGTGACGTTAAATAATAACTCACTCACTCACTCATTGCTCGACGATGTCGTATTGGCCATACTAGATATACTCATGAATACCTGTTAAAAGGTGAGGATCATCCGTTTTGTATCCATTGTGATGACAGAATCACCGTCAAGCATGTCCTGCTTGACTGTATTGACTTTTCCATCACAAGGGATAAATATTTCAATGTCAAAACGGTTAAGGATCTTTTTCTATAACATTAATTATCATTTAATAATTGAATTTTTAAAGGGAATAGAATTACTTGATACATTTTGAATAATATGTTTTAACATGGTAGTATAAATTAGCAACTGAGATTGTTAGTGGCTGTAGCCTCGAAGGGGGTTAAAATATCGTAAAATTATTGTCCTCCTGTGAGGATCCGTAAGTCCCAACACTTTCAAAGTTAACTTTAAACTTACCAGGTTTCTTAAACGTAGGATTTTATTCTTTTAAAGTTTGGCTAAATATTTCCTACAATCGCCAGCGGCTGAAGGGATAGTGTAAATCCAACTAGGGCCCATGCATGTAGCAAAGTCACTATAAGTCCCCATGGTCCCTAGTATGGTGATCTATCTTCAGTTGCCGGTCATTTATAGCCCGTTTTTATATTGTATTGTCTTGCATTATGTTGTACGTTTTTAGTTACATGCTAGTTTTATATCTCTATCTGTGATACTTTAGTAGTTTTACTGTTCTTTGTCAACAGGGTTTTAATTTTTAATTTCATTGATCTATAATATATTTATATGGCTGAAATATTGCCAATGAGACGATAAATTATAACTCACTCACCAAGCTTTATCACCCGTAGGGAGAAATTAAGCATTCTTATATCGCATACGTCACATTGCTATAAACAGAAGTTGCCATCATTTTGGATTTCTCGGCGTAGATTCAGTTAAAACACTGAATAAAATGTATAATTACAAGGAGATATGGTGTAGCCCTACAACTGGAATTTACCAGTGAAATTTAGTTTTCCCAACAAGAACAAGAACATTAAAACCGCACTAATCAGCAACCATCTTCATCTATTCAACGGAGAATATGACATCAGACGTACATGTACGTGGAAAATGATGACAATTGTAGTAGTAGTTTTTAGTATGTTAGTATGTAGATGGTATTTTGTATATATTACATGTGCTATGTGTTGTATTCTTTACATGTGCTATATGTTCTATATAGTACCTGTGCTATGTGTTGTATATATTACCTGTGCTATGTGTGGTATATATTACATGTGCTATGTGCTGTATATATTACCTTTACCATGCGTTATATACATTATATGTGTCATGTGTTGCATACATTACCCGTGCTTTGTGCTGTATACTTTACTGGTGCTATGTGTTGTATATATCACCTGTGCTATGTGTTGTATTCTTCACATGTGCTATGTGTTGTATATATTACCTGTGTTATGTGCTGTATACGTTACCAGTGCTATGTGTTGCAGATATTACCTGTACTATGTATTGTATATATTACCTGTGCCATGTGTTGCATATATTACCTGTGCTCTTGTGATTGCTCTTGTGATTGTATGCCATTATTGTTATCATACTTTGTACTATATGCCTGTGGCCTCTTCAGTAGTAGAATAAAGAGGGAATTCAATATTACCTGTGCCATGTGTTGTATATATTACCTGTGCTATGTGTTGTATATATTACCTGTGCTATGTGTTGTATATATTACATGTGATATGTGTTGTATATATTACCTGTGCTATGTGTTGTATATATTACCTGTGCCATGTGTTGTATATATTACCTGTGCTATGTGTTGTATATATTACATGTGATATGTGTTGTATATATTACCTGTACTATGTGTTGTATATATTACCTGTACTATGTGTTGTATATATTACCTGTGCTATGTGTTGTATATATTACCTGTGCTATGTGTTGTATATATTACCTGTGCTATGTGTTGTATATATTACTGTGCCATGTGTTGTATATATTACCTGTGCCATGTGTTGTATATATCACCTGTGCTATGTGTTGTATGTATTACCTGTGCCATGTGTTGTATATAGTACCTTTGTCATGTGTTGTATATATTACCTGTGCTATGTGTCCGCTCTTTTGCGTTGTTGTCGCCCTCCAGTGAGCAGCCACAATGGAACTCGTACTTGACACCGCTTTCAGATAGCTCGTAAACACGAACCTGAACAATCAAACAGCCTCGACATTTGACTAGTTGAAAAGCAAATATATACATCTGTATTATATGAGTTCAATATACATTCTTTAGACAATTTTCTGGTATGTATCTAATATTGATTTGTACTGGAAGGGCAAGCAGGTCACGTGGCAAATATGAAAGTTACGAAAGAACATTTTCACCCTTCTTGGTGGTTTGGTGCTGATAGACTCAAAATGAGTTCAGTTAGATACATATACCTATGTTGAACGAAATAAAAATATGCGGTGGTTTGGAGAACTAAATCTCTGTCAAAGATTACTGGCATTTCAACTAGAGTTTTAGGTAAACCTGGTCATCATATTGTCAACTGACCACACTGGTCAAATTTGAAAAGTCTTTAGGGTATCATTGTAGGGTATTTATAAAACTGTGATTTCATAATATTACACCAAATTCTTAATGAATTCGTTCCTGTCTTGAGCAAATCCATTTTTTTATCTACGTGATCCTAAAAGTGTTAAATGAAAGGTGCAAAACTACTTCCCATGATGCTGCCCAGTGTGTCACGACTCTGTGAATGATCATTTATATATGCAGTTGACCTATTGATGGTATCACAGTACCCGATGATCATTTATGCGTGGTATTGACATGCTTAGCAGATCCTGCTACTCATTTCAGGTGATATAGTTTTGAACAAAGTGAAATGACTGCTTTACAGTGGACTCACAATAGTACGTTTATGCATGGCCATAGTTCTTATATGAAAGACAGTAAGAATGAGTAACAGTAGACACTGATATATGTCAATACATTACCCAGTCAAGATTCCATCCAGCCCTCGATCCTGAATTATCATGCCATATTCTGAAACGTGAATCAAAATAACATCCACAGGTTAACAAAAATTAACATATGAGTACATTTGAAACACACATATGTGTACGTTTTCCAGACAGTATTGCCCAAAAAGCATAGAATGTACCAGTCACCCTACACAATGACGTATGTTGATTCTAAATTTGACTCTGAGTGCCGTATCAAAGATATGTTTGATTCATAATAGAAATGAATAGAAGTTATATAGCTACGGAGATCATTGTCGAAACAAGCAATATTTCTGACGTTAACTCTTTAATGCATTCTTCGTGAGCTCAAAAGGGTCGATTTGAGTCACAGAGCTTAACAAACATACAAGGTCAGATTTTCCACGTAAAGCAGATTCTTTAATACCTATTGCAAAATATGCCGCCATCTTGGATGAAGATAATTCACCATTACGATAGATTTTACGTCAAGTTTAGGGCTATAATATACTGTACTAATTTTACGATAGTATACTATTTCCTTACGGCAACTTTACAAAACATGAGCTGTATCACTTTATCTAGTCAAACCAACAAGTCCATTTGGAATTGTGCATCCTGTTGCGTTTTTATTCAGTTACTCTATAACAGGACTTTCGAGGATTCGATCACATGACAATCTCAACACATGCACACGCCGGGAAACTGGAGGTTACTGAATTTTTCATGACGGTGTGCCATCGGTCAGATAGGATATGCTGCCCGCAGCACCCCTTCCCCAAACTTTTTGCGAGCTTCGATATCATCACCACTTCCTAGTGATTCATAAACACCTGCGTTCCTAGTATGGGGATCTACCTCCAGTTGTTGGCGATCAATGGCCTGTTATTATATTGTATCATCCTCTACAGTTAAACTGTTTTAGATTTAATCACTAGTTTTAAATCTATTTCTGTGATACGCTAGTTGCTTTACTGTCCTTCGTCGACAGTATTTATAATTCATTTTTAATCATTATAAATCTATAATTTGTTTTAGTCACGCTATGGCTGAAATATTGCCGATGTGACTTAAAATCTTAACCCACTGACTCATAAACACCTGCTCATGATATAGAATCGTTCAAAGCATTACAAGTGTACGCTTTAACAACTCGACTACCCTATCCCCCTACCTGTAGTACAAGCATTACTCTACAAAAAATGCCTCAGATAAACTTTACCACCACGTAATGGAATGACCACACTTTTCAGCATACGTTCTCTGAAATGTTTATTTTCTGAACATAGTCTACCGTAATTGCGTATTCCGATTACTTAAATTGTAGGATTTCCACTGTATTATAAGCATGTGCTTGTGAATCAATATTGCTTGCATTACAGTAGAACATCACCTGTCGTTTACCTTAATTTTTGTATCACACCTATTTCCTCAATACTGACGGTGTTTTTAGCAACGTCTCCTCTACCAAATCCTCCGGTCATGTGCATGTCTCTCGTCGTGCCTTTATCACCTGTTAGCCTGACGTACACTTTGGCACCGGTACCAGAAAACCAGGCTGAACTTGTGCGTATTTCAATCCTTAAACCTGAAACAATATATCAAAAGTAAGTTGATGCACGATGTAGATTTTATGTTCATATAGGACGTGTACTGATAGATTTGCTCCAACGGCAGACATAAACAACTTTGATAATGTGACCAATGAGTAAATAAAATTCGAGAGTTACTTGTAAAGTGTTTCTGCAAAGATTGAAGGCTACAAACCCATATGTCCATACAAATGTCCATAATGTACAATAAAATAACTAGATGCTTGATGGGCATTTTATATTAAAGTTGGAAGGTTACAGAATTACGTATGGTATGGATTTACAAATTCTTTAATATGTCGTGTAAATGAAATAACTAGCAAAAGTAATAGAAGAAATGCACGTAAAACGGGTGTGAATGTGTTTATCCGTTGACACTCGAAGGGATTCGGATGTAACAATCATATACTGCTACTCAGATGTTAGGTTATTACTTCTACTTAGAGATCGTCGTTTTCGGACTAGACGCTGAAGGTGTTCCATCTCAGATACATTCCTCGTACAGTAAAACACAGATGGACGGGAAAGGTTTGTAGAAATGACATCCATTGCTTCTGGTATTCCAAAGTGATTACCACGCCGAGCAACCTGTGTTACAAACGTATCATTTAGTCTATCAGAATGTAGAAATACAACTTAAATTTCATCAGGAAGATAGTTTTATGGATGTCAACTAATTTATTATGAGGAACACAATGTAACGGACTATATACTTACTCCTTCCTTTTAGGTGAATTCAGTAGCTGACTTCTATAAAACTATCTTTCTTATGTGTGTCACTTCTAAATGCCACTCCAAGACCTAAATTCAATTTCAATTTTATCAATTACATGCTGAACGAAAAATGCGATTTTTCTCAATTCATATCTTGAACACAATCAAATGTATGTGTCACAAATTAATTGATCTGACCTCAGTTCAAATGTAAGAAGGCGATTGTATGGACCAGAGATGTTCATGTATTGTAGTAATGTCAGTTTACTTGTGCGAGGACCCATTGTAAGGATTAAGTCCTTCAATCAAAAAGCGTGTGACAAGGGAATTTCTGGGCCTTCTGTCCTGCGTCACCCTGCTATACCATGTGTTATCACACAAACAACCCATCAAGATATTCCTCTTAACAGGAAGGAGTCCCGGCTTGGATGGTATAGTGAATATATATGAATACCGTCAGCATGTTTATCTTGTTCGCAGTTATCTTGTTTAAGTGATACGATGGAAAACTAATACTTATGACTTATGAATGTTTCGCTGAACATAATATTAATATGCATAACTACGATTATATGCATCATGATATTGTGAAATGCTGACCTGTAGTGAGATCTTTGTGATGTTTCCGAAAAACTGCCCCCTGTAGATGAAGGTTCCTTTGAGCAGAGAACTGAAGGATGCGGCCATATGTCTCATACTTCCCGCACTAGTCTGGTTTGTGCCCGTGAAGAAGGTGATGCCAACCTGAATTAAAGTTCAATTACTGAATGTTCAAATATGCGTCACATATGTCATTCCGAACTGTAATTATTAATGCAATGCATTCAGGACCTGTTCACGAATGATTCTGATTATTACTTGAGTTGAAGCTGTCATGTTGTGTGAGAATAACAGCACATTTGAATGCAGGGAAATATACTTAGTATTTATACAGTATACAAATTTATAAGAAGAAGCTGAATTTATTCAGAAACACTAGCTATTGGAATGTACTCACAGGAATATCTCTTCCCACACTGACATCAGCCATTTCGTTTGCTAAATACGTCCTAACGACATATGAAACATTCTGCATGGTTTCTTTCGATCTTCCGATTGCAAACTGAGAAGAATGTGTGTAGAAGTTGACATCAGCCTGTAATGCAGAAACTCCAGTGAGCACTCTCAGTTATTTGACACATATTCTTTTCATGGTTTTAAACACCGTAACAGCCACGTTTACATCTATTTTACATAGATATAATCGCCTCCGTGGTCTACTGGTCTAAGCGTCTGACTGGAGCGCGGAATGTCGATGGTTCGATCCTACGTAGAGTCGTATCAAAAGACGTTAAAGTATGGTGGTGGTGTTATCCTGCCTTCCGCTCGGCGAAAAGGGAAAATACTTTGAGCGGGTATGCTGTGATCACATAAAAGAGGGGGTCTTATGTGGAACTGCAAAATAGCATTGCGGTGGACTATCACGAATAACCGGCATTAGTCTGGCAAGTACAAACCCGAGCGCGCCCTCGCTCGCACGCACACGCACACACACACACACACACACACACACACACACACACAAAAGTCGAGATCACTTTCCATTTAACATACTTCCCTGTCCACACATCCAATAAAGTATTAGTTGAACAGTGGACACGGTGATAGGTAATTAATTCTTTATATCATAAACTTATGTTGTTTTACCATGTGAACAGCATGATGTCTGCAGTTATATATGTATGCGTTGGAAACTGAAAAAGAAACAAAATAAGTATCAGGATTGAATCTCACAACTTGTGATCCATATTTCATATTCCAAATGTATAAATATATATATCATGTCCAACTGAATCACAGAGCCATGTCATGAGATCATGATATTATGTGAGTAATGTGCGACTATGGATTCTTAAGGTTTCTGGGTGTGTGTGACATGCTTGTGAGCATGATTATATCGGGTGTCACTTGTTGGACAGAATACGCCCATCTTTCGTGAACACCCGGTATAAACACTATTTGATATTTTTTTATATACACATGCGGATGGTATAGTCGGTATCTCACAGTCGACGCTGGCTTTGGGTTTGAGAAAGGTCTGTCGCTTTTATGTTTCTTTTACAATCGTCTTAAATGCCAGCTGTCTCTATTTTATTTACCAGAATGGAACCTATAATTTTATTTTATGGTATATACAAGAGAGAATCATGTGTGACAGTAAGTACCACGGCAAAACAGGTTATCGATAAATCAATAAAATCACTTGCAGTGGTGTGTTTAACAAGTTACAGGCGCCGTTTTGACTGAACGAAGGGGTTGTTAATTTCAGTGTTGATTTAAGGTTAGATTGATTGATTTCTTTCCTGGGGAACGTGGGGAAAGTAAGGTGAAAGATCAACCGTTTAAGCGTTATATCAAGCATTGAGTGAGTAAATCAGTGCAGTCCGCAATAGTCTTTAAGACTTGGCCAGACGGTTTGCCCTTGATATTTTGAACAGCGTCCAAAGCCGCCAGACAGCAATGACAAACTGTCAAATAACCGACCGTGATCACCTGACCTATTGAGTTACCTCATACGGCAAGCAGCAATGTTTTGGGGGCCTTTCGAGAAACTGTTCAGCAATTAAACGTACTAAAATTCGAATTCAGTTGCTCACAAAAAGTACATTTATAATTCAAAGTAAAACCGTAGAACTTTTAGTCTCAATAAAGACGACACATAGCCTTTATGTTTACTTTCGGTGTACATGCATGGCGTTCGGTGTTATTGCTGTTGAGATGCACACATGCAAGAAGGACTACTAATAAAGGGATTAAATGTCATTTTGTTGGGAACGTTTGGACACTCTTCACGACACACACCGATGCACAGTTTCAGAATAGCAGAACTGTAATGCGTTGGTATTATTTAACACATTTATACTTTTCAATAGAGATGGGGTTTTACACCCGATCTGAACAGTTATGGGGATATTAATGCCAGTTCACTGCTCAAAGGAACATTCATCCACAGAGGACAGCTGTTCGGAAACACCCCAAAACTCTCATTACAGGTAAACATTTCACAGTATCATAATGAAAATAATGGTAGTAATGCATAGGAATATAGCGAAACATTCATCAGTCAGAAGTGATGCCAGCCATCGTCTCGTGGTCATTTTCATGTGGTGTACAGGCCGTTACATTTCAAAGCAACATTGACATCCGATCACGACCAGAAGAATCTGTTCTTTAACAAAACCCTTTAGATATTTGTACCAAATGGCAAAGAAATCTTATCGCTTACTTTGATTGATATTTTAATATTGCTTGTTGTAGGTTGTAATTGAATTCTGTCCTGTCGCTCTGTTGTGGATTGTCACTTTAATTACTTTGCTGGAATTTGTTTTTACGTGAAAAGCTATTTCACTGTATTATACAGTTGTTAATTGTAATGTAATATTTCTTTACTGTTTCTTTTCACGCTGAATTGTTTTGAGTACAGATTTACTTGGAACACTTGTCAGCATAGGGTATATGGTAGCTAGTGTTAAACAAGGAAACGTCTCCTGTCACAAATACAAATGCATCATTGCGCCTGTAGTGGTACATAGGGTGGTTGAAATGTTCGGAACAACAAAGGGTGGGCAGTTGACTGTTTAGATACAGTACTACATTCCATGCTGGCGGACTACACTTGCTGAAAATACATGACCGGAGAGCATTTGTCAGCAGGAACCATAATGACAATTATTGTCTGTAGATGAGAAAGGACCAGATTAGTACTATCGTCAAGCATTTCTGCAAGTGAAAGGGTCAACTCAACAGCTGAAAAGTGACGGAGTTCAACTTCAATTCAAACCCTTTTGACTCCTGATCTGAGTTTCAAGGTCCATCATCTTCCTGAGAACGTTCTAAGCCTCCGATGCTGATCTTGTTCCGTTTCTGAGATATTCTAAATGTGACCATGACTTTCTATATTTCTAGTTGATCGTGCACTCATATTTCCAGTGTATTTGGCATTTTTAATAACCGTTGAGTGTGCTCCTAATTAATGTTCAACACACAAATGAATACGCTTCCTCAATTTTTTTAAGAGGTTCGAATCTGATATCCAAATTGGAAAATCAATGTATGGTCATTTCTCGTAGTTTTGTGTTCAAAATGTAATTTAAAAGTTAAATATATGCTCCGTTGTTTTTCTTAATTTCTCCCAGAACACACATTTTGGCTCGCGAGGGGAGGAGAGGGTAGGGGAGGGAGGAATATTTGTTTATCCTACTGTTGTCACAGTATGTTTGGTCAAAAAATGTTCAGCTTTGACACAGAACATTTTGGAATATCTTTACCGACATACATGATACAGCGGAATTTACCTATTCCAAATGCGTGTTTCAATCGTTTCATAACGTCACCTCATTAAAACATGTTTCCATTCAACTTACTGATTTGGGGCGGTGGGGCCAAGTGATTAAAGCGTTCGCTAGTCACGCCGAAGATCAGGTTCGATTCCCCACATGGGTACAATGTGTGAAGCCCATTTCAGGTGTTCATCGCCGTGATATGGCTGGACTATTGCTTAAAGCGGCGTAAAACCATACTCACTTACTGATTTGGGATAATGTTTTTCAAATAGTGAGTGAGTGAGTTGGGTTTTACGCTGCTCTTATCAATATTCCAGCAATATCACGGCGGGGGACACCAGATGTCTTTAAAATATACATGATAGCCATTTAATTGCGCATTTAACTTTCAATAACCCAGTGATGACACAAGTTGTTTACGGAAGAGGTAAGCATGCCCTGCCCTTCCGGTAACACCCGCCACTCACAAAATGTGCCTGAAAATGGCAGTTTGATTTGCCTGTCGCCGCACAGCAGTACACCTGCCATGCGGCGACGGCCTGTGAACACACCAGTCAATCAGGTGGTCGATGGACCGGTAAGAAAACAAAACAGTTAGATAATTTTACATTACGACTCCTGTGTAGAAGTACTGATATTTCGATACTTATAAGCAATGATTTCAAACGCATTGGAGGTCAGTTGTACAAACGCATTGGGGCCAGTTGTAATGTCTCGGACCAAACATTTCTTTTGTTGACTGGGGTGGTGGGGTAGTCTAGTGGTTAAAGCGTTGGCTCGTCACGCCGACGACCCGGGTTCGAATCTCCACATAGTCAGTCAGCCAGTCAGTCTTTTGTTGTCTGAACATACATAAATATGTTACTGAAGTTCTTATGAATTTTGGGAATTCAGTCCATCAAAACACTGACCTTGTAGAATTAAATATAGAACCATCGTGTGAAAGAAATATCCTTCTGGCTAAAGGGAAAATAGCTATAAAACCTATTTGAATGGATCACTACAAATATCAAACAGGACCAACATATCTTTCAGGTTTTAACATTTTAAAGCAACTCTTTACCTTCTTGGCAGCAGGTGCTTGTCCATCCCTGTCTGCACCTACACAGACCGGTGTCTTCATCAAACTTCCCTCCATTGAAGCAGAACCTGTTGCACGATCTGTTGGTTTCGGGGACATCGCCAACGGACTTGCTCTGACATCGTTCTAGGCATGCTTCCGTGGACTCGTTGTCATGACAACAACGTGTTCTGTTCCTGGTTTGGTACCCTCCACCACAAGATCTACTGCATTCTCCCCACTCTCCCACACTCCAGCCACAGTCCGCTACACATGTTCCACGTGCAGAGTCGATACCAAGTGTTGATATGAGCAATATCAACAACAATGTCGACATGTTTCCCAAACAGTGTATGACCCGTCACAGTTAATACCATTCATTGGACGTCCATGTAACTGTGTTCTCTGTCTGCTATCATACACGTGTCTGTCTTGGGCAACCAACGCAGTGCATGTTATCATCGTGCAAGGGGCTTATCGCAAAGCTCAAACAGCGAATAGCAAAATAGACTGTGTTATCATTTAGACTTGGTCCAATGATATTTCAATAACAGGTTACACTTGTCTCCGCCTTGGGTGGATCTTTAACCTTTTTCGTAGTTCTTTGAACAGAAGAACCAGATTAACCAGTTGCTTCAGAGATGGAACTGCCTCGTAAACTGTTCATAAATGCAGTTTCAAGTAGTGGCAATATTCACTAACACCACAGAGTGCGTGAGTTAATATTTAACGTCACATCGGCAATATCTAAGCCATATCGTGACGAAAACAATTTATATAGTACAAAAATAAAAAAAACATTGTGAAGAGTTAAACCTGTCGACGATGGACAGTAAAAATACTAGAGTATCACAGATATGAACATAAAACTAGCATGTAAAACTAAAACAGTGTAATTAAAGAAGACAATACAATATAAAACACGGGCTATAGATCGCCAGCATCTGAAGGTAGATCACCATACTAGGAACCATGGGGACTTACATTACTTTTGCTACCTGCATGGATCCTATCTTGATTCTGCCTTGTAAAGAACATTATATGCATGCAGGTGTGTGTGGGAAATAGCAGCATGTAAACACCCATTCATTAGCTACATTGCATCAGCCGTATCACTTGCAGTACAATTATATTATAAGCGCTTTGTTTTTCTCTCCATCATTGGATGACAATCTCAACGGCACATCGTATTTTCAATCTCCACTCCCTGGGGACCATACAACTAGTGCAGCCACTAGGCGCACCAAGTTAATGTACCTTTCCCGTCCCTACGAGGTACCCATTCACAGCTGGGTGGATTGGGACACATACTAGTAGTCACAGTAAGTTTTACTGCACGTTGCTAGGTGTTTGCACGTAATCATGCGGCCACCATCTGGTCATTTACCAACTGATTCATGGGTTCTTTTAAGTGAACAGGGCTGTGTACTGTACACTAGGGCTTGTGACAACACTGAAAGAGTCTGCACTCAGTCTGCACAGTTGACTCCAAGGTTGACTCGATCCCGGCACCCCCAAAATCGCTGGATCACTAGCCTGGCGCCTTAGACAGCTCGCCCGCCACTCCCCCAGTTACAGGACACAGTTACATTTTCTTTACCATCACGAAACCCCAGAATGTTCCAATAAGGTGTCAGCAGAGGAGCTACATACACTACAAAATGGGTTATTGTTTTCTTATCCATCAAATGTGTGTGTCTACAATCAATATTTGCCAGACACGTGTACTTATGACAATTCATAACGATCAGATCAGTTTCTCTTCTCTGTGCTGTTTTTGAAGAATATGTGAAAACAATATGACTAGTGATCCCAACGTATTACGAGTAAGGATTCCAACTTTGATCAACATTCAAAACAAATATTCAAAATCTCAATGGTTTGTTGTTGCATTTTAACGACTTTATTCATTTAGTCGTGCCGTCGGTTAAAGCCGGACGTCGTCTTCATGGAAATCATGTATAATCGTGGTGGTTACTTGTACTTTCCGTCCCCATACCAGTGTATTTAAATTTAACGCCTTTACTGGACATGATTTTTCAAGGACTAATAGCATGAAGCACTGTCCACGGCAACAAAGTATAACACAAAGGTAGCATATCACACATATTGCGAACCACGTGAACACTTCCTCAGCTAATTAGGATAATAGTGAGTGAGTATGGTTTTACGCCGCTTTTAGCAATATTCCAGCAATATCACGGCGGGGGACACCACAAATGGGCTTCACACATTGTGCCCATGTGGGGAATCGAACCCGGGCCTTCAGCGTGACGAGCGAACGCTTTAACCATTAGGCTACCCCACCGCCCCAATTAGGATAATAATTACTGTAACATGTAGAAAGGTATTATCCTATACTGTATACATGTTATATTCGCGAGGTCTACGCGTCTAAATACACCACACTGCTCCTCACACTCGTCACTTTGTTATCGACCAAGTCTGGACAGATGATTGCGATCCTATCTAAGACACAATCTGTCTCAGACGACACGCTCGATATATTTTAAACACTTTTCAAGTATACAACAGTAAACATGTCAATCGGTCTTGAAATATGAGGTGTGTTGTTCCTGTTGCCTAGCGTTACAAAAAGAGACATACAAAAACAATGTAGTTACTTTGTGAGTGGGAATTGAGTCACAGATCTATTCTCAGTCACCATTTCCCTTCAACTGATATACCCGCCTAAACTTGAAATAAAAAAGACTGTCTTTCTGTTTTGTATTTAGATCTATGCATAAACTTTCAGAGTGGCAAAAATCTCCCCACAAGAGGGATGACTGCAACTCTTCCCAGTCAACTTCCCTTTCATGTCGTACAATATCCCAGACGTGCAAGCCTTCCGTATCAACATTTCACATGGGCGTCCTTGTCGTTTTCTTAACTATATACAATATTATCGAGAACATTGGTATACATCGTTGTGTGGAAGCTGAAGGGACCTGCGTAAATACTTCCAATTATCCGAGTTCGACACAACCATGTGTGACTACCATACAACTTATCAGTCGCAAATGGCTTTGTGAAGCATTCGACGTTCACACTTTTACACAAAGCGATTTATTTTCATTGTGACTTTGTAAAATCATATCAAATCAAATTGATCAAAGTTTGGAAAGTCATTTTCATGAAAGTCTAAAGTGGTTAGTGTAACCTGAACACGGCATGTTTGACAAGTTCTTCTGTCAAAATAATACAGGCAACAAGACCCTTTTCAAAACACCGAGTCGATTGTTTTATTTCAACTTATTGAATGCAGGTGTTTATGAATCAGTAGCCAGTAGTTATGACACCAGGATATTTCTTATAGTTAAACCAAATGTTTCTCATCACTATATGGCCGAAAAATTGCCGATGTGACGTAAATATTCACTCACTCACTCACTCACTCACTCACTCACTCACTCACTCACTCACTCACTCACTCACTCACTCACTCTCACTCACTCACTCACTCACTCACTCACTCACTCACTCACTCACTCACTCACTCACTCACTCACTCACTCACTCACTCACTCACTCACTCCTCACTCACTCACTCACTGTTTTCTTCTGATCGAAATATACCTGGTAACACATCTATGGTATTTCTGTTGTGTTGGATTACCCCAGACGTTTAACCATTCAACCCGTAGACTATGATATTATGATAGGTATTTTTTATCATGTTGTTAACTTAAAGACTCAGTGTTGTTCAACGAGCAGAGCAAACATCTACTTTTTATTATACCATGGGTGTTATCAGTTTGTTTGAAAACCTAACCATTAAGAATTTACAATGTGAAGAGTAAACAATGAGTGGAGTTCAGAGTAGAACCCCAGGGGATTTATCAAAATAGGTCAATCGATACATTATTTTATACCTACCCGAAGCTATCCTGTTCAAATAACATAATACAAATAAATTACAATGTACTCAAGTGACGACTCGGTGAGAGGAACGTCGGATCTGCAGCTAATCATATAATTCCCTGGAAATTTCAGAAACAAATAGGGATCTATTTCAACGACATTCAGAAAACCACGTTATGACAAGTGTATATGAAGGTCATCGATGTCTATCACTCAGGCAAACCAAATTCAAACGTATCAAGAAATCGATAACATGGGCTCCTCAGTTAAGGGACACGAGTTAAGGGAGTTGCAATTCAATTATTTAGAAGTGAAGCATATATAAATTGTTTTAAGGGGGAACATTTCGTCATATGTTAAATACAATTCGACACAATTTGATTCCACTTTTTCAGACCTGGTATTTTCAATATAATAAAGACATGCTTTTGCTGTGGTTGGAATCGCACACTCAGCCCTGCTTTTAGTAGTGAATACGAAAACTATCAAATATATTTAGTCACTTATCGAACCAAATGTATGCTGTCTTACTCCGCTGCATGCAAACGAGGTGGGGTGGAGGTGGTGGTGGGGTGTGTTTGGTTTTGTTGTGTTGTTTTGGCTTTTTGTTTTGTTTCTTGGCTTTTGTTTTTGTTTCATATTTATTGTTGACGGTGTGGGGTGGGGGCTGTTTCGAATGTGTCTTCGTGTCGAATGCCTTGTAATTCTATGTACAGATTCTGAACTTTTGATGGGTTTATAGTCCCATCCGGGAGAACCCACACCCTCAGAGTCAGGCACCTAATGGCCAGCAAAGTGAACGCATAGACCGCTCAGCCACCGCTGTTTCTCAAAAGAGTCGGAAAAATGGTTATAGCCTGCGGACTTTGTGTACCCCTCTGATAAGTGAGCACGGCTCTCACGGCAGAAATACACAATGCCATTTAGAGAATGGTCAAATGTACCATATGTTATATGGGTTTACACCGAGTAAACTACAAATTCTAGTACTTTTGTACTATGGGACCAACAGAGCATAGAACCATATCATATGGTAACTAAGAATCAAACTTTGATGGCTGTAAATGTAACGCGAGCGCACTTGTTATATGGAAACAAGTTCTGTGACATGAGAGGGTTCAGAACGTTTCTGTTGAGAGGAGTCTGTTTTGTACGCCAGATGCGTCTCAGATGACACCACGTGTTGGAAAGAATATGAGTTCCAACGTTGTAGAGGGATCTGGATGTTGGCACAACGCCGACGGTTTGGAACATACATTCCAGCTATATGGCGGCGGTCTATACATAATTGAGTCTCACAATCCATTGATAACAGTTTGAGCCGTTGGATACGATGACACGTTTCAACCAAGTCAGCGAGCCTGACCACCCGATCCCGTTAGTCCCTTCTTGCGACACGCATGGGTTACTGGAGACCAATTTTAACCCGGATCTTCACGGGTCCACAACGCTGACGGTATCTCAAGTGGTTGTTCTGCTGATTACGTTATACATTCTTAAATTCAAGGTGTTATTGTGGACGTTGACGTGCGAGGTACCGGAATCTAGCATTCCCATGACTTGCCATCTGCCAGTCTCACTTGATGATGCCTTTTTTGTAAAATCTGCTTAGACTAGTAATGATAACGGACAGGATACGAGGCCTTCAAAATAACGGCTGAAGATATTTCTCCCAAACTTGTATTACCTTTAGTTTGTTCGTTTTTTTCGAGAGACCAGCTGGTCAATTAAGATATGATCTTTTTTCTCAAAGACTCGGAAATCGACAGTTCATATGCTTACTAGACACAGTAAACACTGGAATTGGTGTCATGTGAGTGAGTGAGTGTTATCAGATGCCAGTTATAGTTCTTTGATATCAGAGGCGGACGTTAGAAAGAGCCCACACACTGTACCAATGTGTGGAGTCGAACCCATGCACTTTGTGTTATGTGCAACCGCTTACTATAAGGCTACGCTCCACCCCTACCCCTGATGTCACAGGGAACAGGTACCTTGGTGTATGCTCAATAACATGACGTATTCAGGCTATCATCGAATGTCTGGTGTCTGAAATCTTGTGAGGGGTATACAAATCACGTTTTATTCTACAGGGAGGTAAAATGCCATTATCTATCCGTATCCTCTGTGCTTAACCGACAGTTCATGAAGTTAGTTGGCCACTCTAAAGTGAATTACAGTGGTTTATCAACAATAAGATAATCAATCAACATAAAAAATACTTCTATAACTAAACAATGGTGGGATAGCTCACAATGAAAGCCGTGTCAGGACGATATGGGAGGTTAATTACACACACGCTAGTCCGTTTCATATACTCTAAAAGGATTACCTATGTCACAGTATGCATAGACAAAGACAAGCACAAACATCCTAATTCTCCCAGGTGCTCTTCCTGTCTGTCGAAACTTATCAGCAAACCTCATGTTTCGGTTTCTGTCCTGCCACATGTTTGTGTAGTCACGTATGGAGTTACGGTCGCATTAAATGATAAGTAACATACTTACCTACTTGAAGCAAGACGCTAATATCTTAGTCAATCGATAACGTCGACTAGACTTCACAATGTAAACATTGCATATATCGCTGTAATCACGGTGAAGTGGACGGCATATCGATTATGTTTTATACCAAGCTTTCTAAGATTAACGGCCAGGGTGGCACGTCGGTCGGTGTTGCCTAATGTTTCACAACACACCCTTCTGTTAAGACTTTAAACGTCCCCAGAAAATAATATATGCCCGTCTAGGAGCACTACGTCCAGCACTGAAAGGTTGGGTTACAGTCATGACGTCGCCTGGTCTTACATGTATATTAATGAACCTTAACCTGACACTTAAGTCTCTTATGTACTTTACATACACGTGACGTGGTCGCCAACGAAAACTTTTTGTTTACACACACACACACACACACACACACACACACACACACACACACACACACACACAGAGAGAGAGAGAGAGAGAGAGAGAGAGAGAGACAAAAGTCTGAACATCCTTGTACAGATATAATTTCTTCAATATGTATATATATATATATATATATGTGTGTGTGTGTGTGTGATTGAGTGAGTTAAAATTTATATATGTGTGTGCGTGTGTGTGTGTGCGTGCGTGTCTTAAACAATCGATGTGCTGACTGCAACACGAGAAGGGTCAGCTAGCTCGTCAGCAGGCATGAGATTGCAGGAACTGAATGGAAACTACGTGATGTATGATTGCACAAAGCAGCCTTCACAACATAGCGTGTACAAAGCATTTGTGAAGTAATATAACCCTTTGCGCAAATACCCGGATCTTCTTATTCCTAATATAGAAGCGACTGAACCCTTTCCAGAAACGAACCCGTGAAGGTCCGGGTTAGTATGAACCTTCAGTAACCCATGCTTGTCATAAGAGGCGACTAACGGGATCGGGTGGTCAGGCTCGCTGACTTGGTTGGCACATGTCATCGGTTCCAAATTGCGCAGATCCATGCTCATGCTGTTGATCAGTGGATTGTCTGGTCCAGGCTCGATTATTTACAGACCGCCGCCCTATAGCTGGAATATTGCTGAGTGCGGCGTGCGGCGTGCGGCGTGCGGCGTAAAACTTAACTCACTCACTCCACATACGTAAGCAATCACTGCTGAAAGCAGAGTCAATTGTACAATTCTGACCATATCATCGGTGTTTGTATATTCGTTTGTTTGCTTGTTGAACGCCGCATTCAGCATTATTATAGCTAAATGACGGCGGTATGTAAAGAATCGAGTCGGGACCAGACAATCAAGTGATTGACATCATAATATACAGTGACAGAACATGTGTTTATGAATCACTATCAAATAGTGACGATAACAGGTGTTGAAAGGTTGAGCGTATCCTGCTCCTCTTGTTGTACTGGTCAGAAACATGTACAAAACCTAGTCAACAGTTCACCTGAAGATAATTGGGAACTGATGGTGCATGTTTAAACATAGAATTACATCGGGCATTTATTTTATTCACAGATTCATCAAATTATAAAATGCCCTCCACATTTCTATCATAATACCTTTCGAAAGCTTCGTGTGGGCTTTGAATCTTGTTACCTTGATCAAACAACTTCTGAGCAAGAACTGTACGAAATCTTGGTTAAAAGAGGAGCATGCTTGATTGACCCTTCAAAAATTGTGAACACCGAAGGTTGGAGCTGTTGGAATATTGTTCGACATGAAGGGAAAGTTGACTATCGGGAAGTTGAAATCGCCTCTTTTGTCATACAGCTTTGTGGGGAGTTTATTGTCCCTCTTAATCTTTATGCATAAATATAAATATGAAACAGTTGAGGGGGACTCACATGTTGCCTTAATTTCAAGTTCAGGTAGATATATCTCTTCAATGGTAGGGAATTGGCTATTTGATGTATATAACACGTGTTATATTTGGGGTTACAATTTCTCATTAAAGTACAAATTCTAGTACTTTTGTTGGGTTGAGTCCTATCCGGGATTCGAACCCACACCCTCAGAGTCAGACACCTAATCGCCAGCACACACAGTCAGCCGTCTAATCGCTTGGTTGAGTGGGTTAGACGGCTACACGTCGAGGTAAGCTTTGAAGACAACGAGCTTTCCTGAACAAAACGTTGTTCCGTCCATTCCATCCCCAGAAGTCGACACGGTTGTCATGAACCGATCCCAAACCTTCGTACGATCTGAATGATGCCTACCCATCTGTGCCAATTGTGTAACCCACTATTGTTCCCCAGATTGTACTTTAACCTTGATGGAATAATCATCATCGTTGTGCTGGAGGCTGATCTCACTCGTCCTCAATCAACTGAAGGTTCATTCGAGTGTGTTCCACTCACCCCAACCTGCTACAGAATGTCTAGTCCTAATAGATGCTTGTCTCAAGGACGCCGTAGTATTGATGATCTATGTAAGGTATGAATTCGATCTCTCCTGAGGCTGGAATGAGACTGATTCCAATGATGTGATTCGTTACAGTGTGATGGCACTGCCAGTTATAGTTACAACAGAAGCCACCCCACGTTCCTTCTGTCTTCTTTCAGTCGCACCATACACGTTTAAGCTGGAAACGTATACAGTTTCCAACTCACTCACTCACTCACAACTGTAATCCTATATATAATGTCCTGTTTGAAGCAAGTCTCTTGTGAAAGAGACCATATATGGTATAAAAACAACTAGCTGAAATCCGACTGATAACAGGTTTTATTAGTCTTTAGATCAGACATCTGCTATTTCACTTGTGGGTAAATACGTTATGATACAAAGTTGTCTGTAACACACAATCAGCTTAAATATTGATAAATCTCTGGTTGTGTTATCCAACCAAGAATAGTAAATGCAATGCCAGTTTAGGTAAGTCCTTATGATAGGTAACCTTTGATAACATACAGCACATATACAGGTACAACTGTGTCCTTCCATTTTACAGATTGTTCTCTTTGGTTGATTCTTATTCAAAATAACCTATATATTAGTGCAATAATCATATCAAAATGTATTTCATGGGTTACAGAAGCTTCATCATCCACTCCATCTCCCAGTCGAATATTTTCTGTCGAGCCTCATTCCTGTGTTGACTTCTTGCAAGGCTTCTCTTCCTCCGGGAGTGACTCAGTTGGTGAAATGTGAAGGGTGATATTGCGAATCTGCTGTGATCGGAACACGTGTGACCTGCCCACACGTCCAGGTTGCGCTGCACGTCAGCCTTTATCAGATCAATGTCAAGGTCATCATAGACATGGAACTCGACTCCAGATACGTTCTTGTTGTAGACCATGAGAACCTTCGAAAAAATACCCGTGAGAAATTAACTGTGCAGTATGTGAGAGTCATCACAATGCGTAGTTACAGGGAGCATTTTCTTTGAATCTACTTTCTGGCACATCCTGGGGGAAGCTACTCTCATGGCTTAATCTGCAACAGGGCATGTCCGGTGATCTTCGTTTGCATAATGTTTTACAAACAGCAACTAATCTCATATCAATCATTGTCAGTTAAAGGTGACACTATTTGGATGACTATTATTCCTATGCCTTGACGCGAAACTACACAACACTACCTGCGATACGGACATGAAAGCATTCAGCCTAGCTCATAACATATTTATCCGTAACGTGGAGACACACAATTCGCTCATGACTTGTAATTGATGACAGTCTCGGCGTTGTTGAAGTGAACATTAGAAATACAAAATGCACACAGTATATTTCTTTGTACGAACTTTATCATCCATAAATTTGTGATAAATGTGTTTTATAATGCTGCCTAATCGTGATTACCTTCAGAATTCCTTTTAAACTCTTAATATCTTCCTGGTGATCTACGAAGACTCGAACCCTGCCCGCAGCCCTGTAGGCCATTTCCTGCTCCACCAGTTCCATCAATGGCATCGGATTCTTCTCGGAGCTGAACATCAAAACCTCAATACTGCCTGAAGGCTCTGTTGGATAACGTGACGTCATCAACGGCACTGGAACCAAGCAATATTACAGGTTGGCTAATAATATAATAAAGTGATGCAATAATGTTCCCGCGAAGAACAATTTTAAGGCATAAATCATTGAATTTTAATTATTAAATATGTGTTCATTTAAGAGAATCGTTTCCATGAATCCTCATTGAGTTTGAAAGAACAAAAACTATGTTCATCCAAACACAATGTCTCTTCACGTATGATGATGTCATTATTTATCCATATGACTTTATCACAACAGGGGCGACATCCACCTCAAGGCCGTACTACATCTCTCAAAAGGGTTTACAGTAGACATGTGAAAGTCGTCTTCTCGTGTATTATGTTGGATGAACAATAGACTTGCTTTTGCAGGCTGGTACCTGGTGCCATGACTATTTGGTACTGATGCACATACATGCTCACCAAATAGTTGGAATCAAACAATCGAGATTCTTATGGTTATTGACAATGTTTACCGCATCCTTTTAGCATACGTAAAGACAAATTTGGGGCGCTCGGCATTAATGGGTACAACAAGGGCTGGACGGCTTCATGCTTCACTGCGGCATGGTATCTCAGTGGGCTAGCACTATAAAACCAGCTTAAGTCTGGGCTAGTACAAGCAGCCGCACATACACATACACAAGCATGCGCGTCGTCATATGAGCGAAATATTCTCCAGCACGACGTTAAACCCAATTTCACCTCACCTCACAAATTTGGGTGAAAAGAAATCTCACTTAACAAAGAGTACAGCTGAATGTTTTCAACACAGATGTTGCCGTCATGACAGGCGAGGGAGTGGACGCTGGACTCTGCCGTCTCGGTGTCAAAGAAGGTCGCCCGGTCTGTCAGATCAGGGAACGCTCTGGTTGCTCTGTTGATGAACTTGTCCACAACCACTGAACATGCTTTCACTTTCCCATCCCACAGTGGACCTGAAACACAAACGTGTAGCAAATAGTTCAGTTTATCAGAACAAACTATCTAAGGAGTTGTACTTCTTGGAAACAAGTTTGTTGAAGCCTGTGAATGTACAACCGACCACAAAACCAACTTGTCATTGAGATGACAAGAATCAAATTACATGCAAACAAATTAACAAATATATGTATAGAAAATACGTAGACATGGCTTTGACATCACTTCGTCACATTAAGATTTCTGCCGTTACAATGGAGACATCAATTATCAGTAGATAACTACTACTATTCTTATCCATCATGGTAACTGGTCTGTGACGTACATGTACCGTGTATGTCATAAACATAAACCAAGTTACCTGTCGCCGGACATCCCCCGCACAAATCAACAAGACATTTCTGTATGTCTGGATTGAGGTCCGCTCTGGGCAGACGACCAAATCCAGCAGCTGAAGTCATTCGCTCCTGCAACTTTCTTGCCTCCTCCTTGCGGAATGTTAAAGTCTGACTGCAGAATGCTGGCTGCTCTGTCGTGGAGCAGAGTCTGGCGAAACATTCACACAGCTTTTAACACTCTGGCGATATAGCTTTTGAACATACAATTTCAAGCAGGCACTAGATATGCATTTCATCTCAAGACAGTTACTCTTTACAATGAGTATGCCCCAGTCGTCTGACCGCCTCCGTGGTGTTGTGGTTAGAGCGTCCGCCCGGAGAGCGGAAGGTCGCGGGTTCGATCCCCGACCGCATCATACCAAAAGACGTTAAAATATGGTACTTGTTGGTCCCTGCCTGGCGCTCGGCATTAATGGGTACAACAAGGACTGGTCGGCTCGTGGTCAGTATAATGTGTCTGAGTGGGGTATTCATGCTTCACTGCGGCGTGGTATCTCAGTGGGCTAAAACCAGCTTAGGTCTGGGCTAGTACAAGCAGCCGCACATACACATACACACGCATGCACGTCGTCATATGAGCGAAATATTCTCGAGCACGACGTAAAGCCCAATTTCACCTCACCTCACCCCAGTCGTCTGGGGTGCCATAATTCACTGTAGACTGTTGCACCACTCAGGTGTATCATTGTTCGTGTGTTCGAATCTCATTTTGAATTTTAATACGTGAACAGTATTTCTAATATAATACTGTCAATATCACATGAAATCATTCAGTCTTACATACCCATTTTGATGAAACTGGAAGGTGAGGTATTGTTTCGCACTACCTAGAGGATGCATGTCGCAGATCCCTTTGTCAAAAGGATGAATAACAGGACCACCTTAGAAAACATTAGTTTGAAAATAATAATTATGCAACATGAAATGATATAAATAAAGATATTTGAAAATATTAAACGTCTGCGCGAAAGAATATTCGGTCTTGACTATCTTCAAAAACATTCCGTTTGGTGTAAAGGGCAAAATAGCAAATAGCTTAGAATCAGTAATGACACCGGTTGTTCGAAAACAAGGGAAAACACGTCCTGCCCTACAAGTTCACTATTAAGGCTTATTGTTGGTGTAAATTTGTAAGTGGTACTATGACAGAACCATCACATCACCAGACGTTATATCTTTATCTCACCCTGAAGCAACTCCTCTTGTATGTCCAATATCTGCCTGTAGTAGGTAGAGTTTCCAGTGTTCCACAGTGTGATGTAGTTCAGTTCATTCCCAACTTGAAGAGGTCTGATATCCACATACAGTCGATTCTGGTGACACCCTACACCCAAACCCCTCATCTGCTGTCTCAGAAAGGGCGTACAGGATCTGAACAACGTCTTAGCCAAATACACTAATTCGGAATTATGTCGATACCGGGGTGGCCTCAACTCAACGGCCTGTCCTGTTTGGAATCTATACATTTCCTCCACATGCCTAATGTCAAAATTCACCATGTTTACGGACTGTGTACGATACCCAGAACCTTTTACAATTTCTACTTTATCACCATATTCCTCGGAAATTAGATCAAGACACATGAGCAGTGATGAGTCAACCCTCAAATTATGTCTGTTTGGACAGCTCATATCTTGGATGGTGTAGTATTCAGAGAGATAGGTCTCTTTGTCAACGCCGAGAAAAAGATTTGGCAATATTGCTTCATGTTCTAGCGATTCCGGGTACAGATATTCTGTTTGTTCATTTGGAGGAGGGCCAACTGCAAGCCTAGCAATGTCGTCATGAGAAAACTCTACCCGTATTCCAATGAAATCTTCCTGACTCTTGACAAACACTTCGATAAATTGGGGGCTTGAAAAGTTCATGAAATCGAAACCAGAGCATGCAGCCAAAACTGCCAATCTATTTAAACTTGAAATTGGCGAACTTGTGAGACGCAGCCCTCTGAAAACAAAGTAGTACTGCCTCATGAGGGAATTCATTACAAAATATTTTAACCTTTCCGGATAAAAGTATAATTATTTATTGCCGACGACAGTACTAATTGTTTGTGCAATTTCGCTAACACTAGCAAAATAAGAGGCTTCTAAACATTTTCGTCCAGGCTGGTTAAAAACTACATATATTTATATCAGATATTAGACGTCTGAAGTCATACATGATTTTCATGTTGCTGTTCAGAACTATACCTATAATTTACCTTAGGTCCCTGGAATCGTTTAGTTTTCAAATACAGTAACTGACTATCTCTACCGTCTACAGATATACTGAAATAGATTTAGAAATGAGAAGAGGTGGCTTTATCAAGGGTGCGATGCTGAATGGTCATAGTCCCTGGTGTATTCTTAACACCAAGTAAATTAACATTGGATCTTGGACATGAAGTTCCTGCAAATTGTATTATTGAGTAGATGAAGTAGTTCATGGAAAACAAATGATAAATACCTTCCTTCTCTGAAGTGCGGTGGCATGTCTGACTGCTCAGTAAATGCCCTTTCAACGTTCACGCCTGCAATAAAATATACACACGGAACATACATAAATTTCTACAGTATTTTTCAATGACACTTCAATATCAATAAAACAATAAATACTCTTATTGACGTTTAGTTTTGTGAAAGTCTGTCCAACACGTGAACATCCGTGATAAAATTGGTCTACAGAAAACCATGCTCGTGGGAAACGACTGACTTCATCGGGATGTAGGCTTGCTGACGTGGTCGGTGCATGTCATCGTATCCCAACTGTATACAGAGACTCATGATCAGCTGCTGGAGTTTCTTGTCCAAACTCGATTATGTATATGTCGTCGTCGTCATATAGCTGGCATATTAAGTGCGGGGATAAGCAACAAACAAACAAATATAATATAGAAATATTATCATGTCTGTTATATGGATGTACCTATGCCTTCTGTATGTGCTAGTTTAGCGAGTTGTCTTAGTTTGAGTGCCATCCTTGGAGTCATTAGCCGGGTGCTACAATATGACCAAAGTTCTGTTTGGTTCATGGATGGAAGACAAGGTGTTCTACATCTTCGGGTGGAGAATCCACACACACTGCTGGGACTCCCCTCAGGCCTGAACACAACATCACTCATGTCGTAGTGATACAGCCTAGAACAGAATATCGGAATTATTAGTGTACAGAATAAACATGTTCTCTTGTATACAGTTTAAGCATGGGGTAGTCAGAAGCTCTGCAGTGTTGTATCTTCATACCTTTCCATATCTTCAGAGTTCAACCTGCTCAGAGCACCTTGAGGAGGCCCACATGCTTCATCCACGCCTTCTCCGGATGGTATGGTGTCGCCTACATTCAGAGTAGGGGCCTCTTTCGCACACTTTTGCAAACGAGTGTCATCACCTGGAAGATATTAAAAATACATACATGTATATTTAAAAATACATACATGTATATTTAAAAATACAAATATTTGGTACGTTGTGTTTTATAATGTGCTTACTCATTCTTTTGTGACGAGATACGTTTACTTAACAACGTTGATAATATCATATGACAGAAACAACAATATGCAATGGACTAAAATTCTAAGACTAGTTTAGGCCTGTAGGGTTGTTAAAATGTCAACGCCAAAGAACAATAGTCTCTAATGTTTGCCGAAATAACTTTAAGAGGACAAACTACAAAAAAGTGTAATGAAAATATATTGAACAGATCAAAACAAATCAGTGATGACATGTATCAACCTTTACCATCGTCAGCAATAAGATCTTCAAACATCGCTCTGTCTGTACTTATGTTCATCACACCGTCCTTCTTCATTGCCACGTGTACAACAGCGAGGTCTCTGTTGATGCTGACATAGTCGAATCCAGAACAGACGCACAGGGAACCCAGTCTGTCAAAGGTCGAGTTGTCAACTGTGTTGGCGGCTATAGTAGAATACAACGATGGTATTCACACTTAAGATATGGTTTGTTAGTGATATCTTACTGTATTGCCTTCTTGAAACCAAAACTATATGCAAAGGTTATCCTAAAGCAACATATATATGCAGTACTGTCTGTATTTGTTTCTAAGGGCACGTTTAACATGACCGTGAAGACGTTTACTATTTGACTCTGAAATCTGGAAACATTTGCGTTATTATTGTTAATGAATGGCACTTACGACTATCTTAGCTCTAAGAGAGCTAAATCTAGGCCCTGGATTCCTAATCTCGCACAGAGAAAAAACATCGCACAGAAAGTGATATGTTGCTGGGCCCCAAACCCCTGCTTCCACGATTAAACAGAATCCTTACAAAGAGAGATTTACTTTTTATTCAGATAAGTTATTCGATACAGGTGATTCATAAAAAGCATACAAATATTTGCTTACGCATTTTGTAACCTAAGAAATGAAAAATGTTCGATCCTGACAAACATCTTACGTTTTAACTTTGTACACAACTGTCTCACCTGAAATAATATACTGAATCAAAAAAGAAACCTCACAAAATGTAATTTTGAAAAATAATGAATAATTTTTCTCTGATGATACATCTATGTATCCGAAATGGGATCCCTATCTTTCCACTCTAGAAAAACGTTAGCAAAACCCACTCAAACCCATCCATTCCTCGTGCAAATGACGTTAGTGCCAAATCAGGTTTTGCACGTGCAGTCGATCACGTGATCTTCGCATCGAAGTTTTCTTCATATGCACGTGTTTGCATTGGCCTCAAGAATTGAAAAAACACTTTTAAACCACAGTTCTAACGGTACTTGAAATGCCACGATTGTCAAATGTGCAACGTGAACGTGCCGTTGGCATGTTGCAAGCGGGAAGATCAGTTTTTGACGTCGCAAGAGCAATGGGATGCAGCCGTCGTACTGTGTATGACTTGCGAGGTCGTCTACAACAAACTGTTACCGTTTCTGATCGCCCAAGGTGGGGGTCGTCCACGTGTGACGTCACGAGCAGAAGACCGTCCAATCGTCCTACGTCACCTACGTGACAAATTTTTGCCGGCTACACGAACCAGGGCTGAGATGTTTAGAGGTCGACTGTCCTCACAGACCATTCGAAATCGGTTGCGGGCTGCCAATCTCCATTCTCTATCCATATCGAGGGCCAATATTGACGCCGTTTCATCAACGTCAACGTCAGCTGTGGGTCCAACGTCACAACGTCCCCCTGAACTCTTTCCTTTCATGGCGGCTCATGGCCCAGGTCTACAGTTCCAGCATGATAATGCTCGGCCGCATACCGCGATGTTGACACGAAATTTCCTTCAAAACGCTGGAAACAACGTCATGGACTGGCCATCGGGGTCCCCTGACCTTAATCCAATAGAGCACGTTTGGGATGCACTTTGGGAGAAGGCTTCGTGGTCTTAGGAACCAACCTGAGAATTTGCAGGAACTTGGCGCTGCCTTGCAAGAGCAATGGCGCAGAATCCCCAACCACGTGTTCACAAGCATCAGGCAGTCGATAAGGAGACGGTGTTTGGCAGTGGTGTATGCGCGGGGCGGCCATACACGATATTGAACTGAGAAATTTCGCATTTTTATTCTTGTGACTTGACATTCTGTATACCCATGTTTTGGAACGACAGTGTAGCCTAATGGAACTGATTATGGCACTGTCAGTGTATCGAGTACATCACACACATCTCAGCAATGAAATAATAACAATTTAACCATCTTACCATCTCTTGTCCTTTTATAGTGCCCTGAAGAAAGAATGTGAAGTTTCTTTTTTGACTCAGTATATATGTATTCCTTGATACATGATCGTAGATGACAATATGCGGAATATTATAGTGATGTGTTTGGTGCCCAAACAACAACATGGCAATGTCTGTTACAGCAGTTATGAAGACATACCTGGAACTCCTGTCAAAGTTACAACAGCAGCTCTCCCTTCGTAGTGTAGTGAATTGTTTCCATGGTGACCATTAGGAAAGGCTGGGCTTGGCTCATCCCAGGCAGCTAGTACTATGAGTGTTGCTATTGGAGATACAGTCTAGTATTATCACACACATGGTCTCTTGGACATAGTTTTCTCATGTTGCTATTACAAATTCCTGGTGTTGGGAACAGCTGCTAATATTTTTTTTAAATTGCCCAAAAAATGTTTGCAGAGTAATTTATCGAATGTTATCAATGTTACAGTAATTTAATGTGCATTGAAAACGCTATTCTCTTAAATATACCGCCGAACCAAAGTTTAAACTGTTACGAGAAACGCCACATACATACCGTTTGCCCACTCTGTTCTGACCAAGTGACTCAGTTTAGTGATTGCACGGGCAAGCCGAGGTGTCACATATCTACTTGAACAGATGCTTGTTGAATGGTTGTTGCATACTGAACATGCTGATGGCGTCAATTCACAAAGAGCACTTTCCTCAGCAGCAAACACAATATCTGTTCCTTCCAAAACCTCGAACCTACAACGGAATGAACAGTCCTTAAACAGAAATAACCGAAAATTTGTTCTTTGAGCTGCCGATGTTATGATCTCGAGTCCATCAAAAAGAAGCATAAAGTTCGCATGGCGCACAGGTAATAGAGAAATAAAGAAAAGCTACCTTCATAAATTACTTTTCTTTTCTTTATCGATTATGCTGAAGGACAGAATAATTCAAATATGTCAACTTACTTGTTGAACAGACTGCTGCCCCGTACAACCCTGTCAGTCATTTCGTCACACACCTGGTCCTGTGTGAGTGGAGGCCCAAGTTCTGCAGGGCCGTCACAATGGGCCAAACATGTCAGGGATAGACTGGTCTCTGTGAGTGTCTCTCTTTTCGTGATTTTTGGATTTAACATAACATCCCTGAAACAAATACTTTTACTTTGACATTCTGGTAATGCAAGTTCATGTCACAACATAACGCTATGTCTCAAGGTGGCATTTCCAAAATAACTCGGAAATCGTGCTGATTGTACCATCCTATTCAATATGACTTCTCTATTTCAGCAAGTTCGGTGCTTACCATATGTTCAATCCAAATGCTTCAACGGAAAGAACTGACTTTTCAACAGAGAACAATCCATCTACTGCAAGTGTCGCTTCAGTGCATACTTCAAGTCCACTAATGACAGATTCCATTTTCATGCTTGGCTTCACTCTGTAAATTCAAAGTCAATACTGTATTAACCGTGTTATGGTAAGGTACATATTGCAGTGTACATATATTGTTAGGCGACTTGACAAGTTGGTAGTCGACATTTAGAACACGCGTATATGTACGGCATTACTTACTCATCTGCCAAACGAATTGTTTGATTTTTTCATTACTAGTTATTCTGTATTCTGTCAGGCCTATATACACTGAACAGACCGACACATCACAACACGCTTTACATGTGTACATTATTTCCATTGGCGGGTACAGGTTGATGGTTATGTCCTTTACTTTCCAGGAAACAGATGCGTTGAAGAAAATCTGAAAAGATGACAGCATGTTGTTTAGATACATGCCAATCTGCAGTCTCAGTTGCTGTTATCATGATATGTTTATGGTAATACATATACTAGTGGTATACCTTCACATTTGAGACCGCCTCCGTGGTGTAGTGGTTAGAGCGTGCGCCCGGGGAGCGGAAGGTCGCGGGTTCGATCCCCGACCGCGTCATACCAAAAGACGTTTATATATGGCACTTGTTGGTCCCTGCCTGGCGCTCGGCATTAACGGGTACAACAAGGACTGGTCGGCTCGGAGTCAGCATAATATGTCTGAGTGGGGCATTCATGCTTCACTACGGCATGGTATCTCAGTGGTATAAAACCAGCTTAAGTCTGGGCTAGTACAAGCTGCCGCACATACACATACACACGCATGCACGTCGTCATATGAGCGAAATATTCTCAAGCACGACGTAAAACCCAATTTCACCTCACCTCACCTCACATTTGACTTATATATCTGTTTATTGAAGTTCATCTTCTATGGGACACAGAAGTAAATCTCTTCACGTAATCCACACCATAGTTTAGTGACATTGCAACACGTTAATCCTGTACACAACATAGCCAGTGACGGTCCAAGGCAAATGGTACATGTATGCTCAAATGGTACATGCATGCTAAAACAAATCAACTAGTGCATTCAACTACTACCTTCTGGAACACATCTACAGTGACGTTGAATGTGTCAGGAACAGCCATCTCTACTGTGTCCTGTCCATCCGATGTCCAGGCGTGAGATGTGATGTCTCCGTGTAGCGATGATGATGCCTCAAACTGCTGCGCTACAAAGGGTTAAGCATTGACATTATAACTACAGGCTGTGTGGTGTCGATACAGATCTTGAAGGCTGAAGCAAATGTTCCAACTGTACACCATGCAAACATACAATACAATCAAAGATAACGTTAATAATTGTTTCACCAAAAACGTAGCATAAAGTTCCTTGTCTGAATACATATGACTAATATGTGGCTCATATATGATAGGCAAACAGATCTATTGATATATTGTGTATCTATCCACGTATTTTTAAAAAATATATTGATAAATGTCTTACAAAAAATATGATAAAACAGAAACGTTTAAACAATATTTGAGGTGCAAACGAGAAATCTATCAATTTCATTTAGGTTGTTCATACTATGACAAGCTAAAGGTGACACACTTCTGAACGGAAGTAGAAAATATGTAGGGTTATCAATGTAGTGACCACACATTCACCATTGACAGGCAAAAGATAAGAATATTATCGCTAATATATTAAGTGTATCGCCTCCTTTGTCGTGTCATACAATAGAGACGAGAAAATATAGCAATTGAATCTTCACAATATTGACACCGCATATTGCAATCAAGGACCTATGTCTACATCCCATTCATGACATTAGTACACAAATACTCTCAGATGACTTCACCTGGTAGTAAATACGTTAATCTACACAGTAAACTGCACATATACTCACATATTGTATATCTGCCACTTGCTCTGAACCCTGTCCTGCCTCTGCCAGAGCCTCTGGAGTAACCAAAGACGCTTGCCAGAGCTTGTGTGTTGTAAGCAAGCGATAGCTCCACTGGAGGTAGTCGTCTGACTACAGCCACGGGTATGCGGATGAGTTCTATCGGCCCAGTCTCCCACAAGGGTGTTGTGTAGTTCACGCCAATCTCCTGGCTGAACTCTACTTCAATATCAGCCCGAAGTTGGGATTCACCTTCGAGCTGTAGGGCAAGAATTATATATTTGAATGTGTATCGAACATCCATATTTATCGAGTAGCGTCTGTTATTTCGGTGAGAATATATCAGCTGTGTCAATATTTTATTTAAGTATGACATTGCAGAGAAAGGTTTGGTAATAACTGCTAAGCTAAATAATGCAACAATCTTAAGTGAGTGAGTGAGTTAAAATTTAAAGTCACTTTGGCAATATTTCAGCCATATCGTGACTAAAACAAGTTAACAAGATTAACAACAAGTAATGATAGATTATAAAACCATGTCAACAAAGGACAGTAAAACAACTAGAACATCACAGATATAAATGTAAAACTAGCAATTAAATCTAAAACATTTTGACTATAGAGGACAACACAATATAAAAATAGGCTATAGATCGCCAACAACTGAGGGTAGATCACCATACCAGGGACCATGGGGACTTACAGTACCTTTGCTGACTGCATGGACCCTAGTTGGATTTACACCATCCCCTCAGCCGTTGGCGATTATAAGAAATGTTAGCCAAAATGAAAATAACAAGAATACTACGTTTAAAAATCCGGGTAAGTTTAAATTGACTTCCAAAGTTTTGGGACTTACGTACCCTCTCAGGGGGCAACAATCTTAAGAAATAATGTATTGAAACATATTGTGGATCCACAATGATTCATGTAACATCTAATTGTGTAAGTTAATGTATATTTTGTTTACTCTGGATGTGGGCCTGAGGCGTAAAATACAATGAACTTCTTCTTCGAAGAAATGGTAACATACTGATACTTCTCACCTGTGATATGTATTTCACCAGTTTCGGCTTGTTGTTTACCTTCTTTATGAGTAGTTCACTGTAATGATAAAGTATAAGATCTTCTTGACAAATTCAAGATACTCTAGATATGCAATATCACGGACTGGTAGGGTGATTCTTGATAGCGAGTTGAGTCCACCAGCTTCAACGATGCACCGATCGTACATTACAATGTCTATTTCGCCATGATTGGGATCCTTAGTATATCAGATGAACAAAAAGTGCTAATTGTATTCACCAATAATGAACCATTCACAGCATGCTTCTACCAACTGCTGCCAACTGCTCGCCGACTGCCACCAACCTGCTGCTGATATAATCACAAGTGATTTGTAACAATAAATACCTTTGTCGTTTAGCCAACAAGGACCAAAATATCGTGAGCAGCCTCCTATGAATTGGGACCATAATGATACAATTCTTATGGGCGTTGTCAGTGTATATGGCAAAACAAATGGTCGGAAAGTAAAGAAGAAGCAGTGGAATATCTTTCATCTACCTGAATGGGTGGGTCAATCAAACGCTTGGTAAAAAGAAATCCAGAAACAGAATACCATCCTCCCCCACCCCCATCATTGAGTCTGCTGGCTGCCCTGCTTAAAAAGTTGGCAACTCTTCCTATTGGTAGGACCTCAGCCTTAACCTCAAACTATGTAAAACTTAAGGTGAGACGTTTAATCAATAAGTCTCTGCTATTTGACCATCCGTGATCGGTGTTGACTTGACATTTTGTTTAGGTTAGAATGTCAAATTACCGATATTTTAATGATTCTGTAGGTCCGCAGACCCCCAAAATGGGTAACGGGTCAGGGTCAATGACGTGGTTAATTACCTGTCATCATACCGCCAAGGCGTGGATGAGTACCCACACTATCAATCACGTGATCGTCAGGTCAACATTCAGGTCAATTACTAGTCATGTAGTACAACTCTTGTTGCAGTCCAGCTTGTTTGAACACATTGATGATATGCAATATATCAACATGGATATACAATATATCAACATATCATATATCAACACTGATATGCAATATATCAACATACTCACAACACATATGACATGTCTGTTCCTCCATGACAATCCATGCACCTCACAGTGAAGTCATCCTTCAGCATGAGAAGGTCTTCTTGCGACGGAGAAAATGTCACATTTAACTGTCTCGCACCTGAGGTCTTGTGGACTGCAAAGTATTTGTCTGGGGCACTGCTTTGATTATGATGTGTATTGAACGGAATTCTGGTTGAGAAATTGGCGTGCCAGTCGAGATTCCCGAGTATTTTGGTGAGGATATTCGACAGGTAACGGCGATGACGTCGCTTGGTTTCAACGGGCAGATCCGATCGTCCAGGGCTGTAGCGGAAGTGAATGTTGGCTTCCTGTATCATGTCATAAGGCCTTGAAATGAAAGAACAGTCATTAAGTTTAGTTATGGTTAGTTATGCTACCCTTTCGTATTTCCGTGAATTAACAGAGAAGTTGGCAGCGTCTTACAAGAGAACAAAATCGAACTTCTTTTTATGCCTCTCTTTTTGGGGGGGAAGGGGTTGGGTGTTTTTAGAGTGGGAGGGGTGGAGGGGAGTTTTTCAGCACTCAATTAATTAAACAGTGCTATAGTAAAATAATTAGTACATACATTTACAGCATCGTATTGTACGTTAGTAAAACAAGACATATCGGCATATAACTTCCCTGTTTCCGAATTCCTCGACAATTGATGTCGACGGTAATTGAAGTTCTTTCAGGAAACAATAAAAATGCTACATAAAATTTTAAACGTATTGTATTGTGGCTTTAACCATTAATCATTCAGTCGTGTTCACTCTCGATCTATGCCCTATTGCACTACCTGTAGTTAAGGCATCTGTCAGAATCAGGCACTATAATAAGGACAAACACATTGTGTAAAAGAAATGAAAGGTTCAATACAAACGACGGTGGGTGGCATGGTCATTTAAAAGTGACCAAATCAATGCTTGATGATGGTTCAATATTTTGCTTGACATGGACATATTGCTGGTGCTGAGGAATATATGGTACGGTTACACGTTACACTACTGACGGATCTCTTTACACGTCAACCAGCGTGTAATTTGAGTTGCCTACGTGAGACAATTGTTATCATAGTCTTGAACACATTCAACTTATCTGCTACTTGTGAAAGTCGATAAGAAATTCGACAGCTTAAAATCATATCTCCCACTTTAGACAGTTGAAGGGTTTTCCATTTGTTGTAGAGACTTTGTATGAACGTTTCACACCGTGCAAACATGACCTAACTAAACAGTTATGAATATACATTAACACGTGTATACTTCGCTCAGTATGGGTAGTATTTGTGATGGTGGGTCCGAACCTTTTGTAGGTTTCTCAATATCATACCCCTGCCTATATTGGGGAAACAACAAAACTGCAAAGTAACGTTTAATCCAACTCGGACATCCGCTTACACACGCTCGCACGTATTCATGATGTCGGCAATCCTATAACATTCCCTCTGGCTATAAAACATATAACGTATTCCACTTTCTCCTATTGGTATTGATGTAAATCAAGAAGCTGCTGGACATATTAAAGATTTAATCAGACAAAAGCGGACGTTACTTGTGCTTCAAATGTTCCGGATTGTCTCAAAGGGTATGTACATTGAATTTTGTTAATTTGCTACTTTAGACTTGGCGTATCAAACACCAAAAACACTGTCATAGTCCGAAGTCAAACACTGCTCCAATGTGCACTTAAATAATTTTTGATGGATAGTCCTATATGGTGCTGATGTAGGCGATACTGTTTCTACTTGTACAATACGAAACATCAATACGATTCCAGTGTAGGGCAATGGGCAGGTACCCTTTTCGTGAACACCTCTTTACAGTGTTATCACAGATTTTCAAACATCCATCCACATCATTTTCACCGTTCATATTTTGCCGTCTTTTACGATAAATTGTTTCTGTTTGGCAGATAAACGAAACTGGTTAATTTTTTGACTGCCACCATATGCAAATTTAGTTAATTCAAGATAATATAGTAACCATGATTGTCTCTGGTCGTATTCCTCTACATTTTACGAAAGCGGTTCAGTCACAAAAGAGCCGAGCCTCCACTGCAGGCATTATCAAGGCTCAAAAGCTAGGAGTAGCTGCGCTGTCACCACTTCAATGTTATCAGGGAGACCCTCCTAAATTGTTGTCATCCGTTTTACTATCTCCAAGTATTCCCCGGTAGGCGTCATGATTATATTAATTTATCATTTTGTCTGTTGTGTCATTTCCTTCAAAAAGGTGATATCTGACGCGAAGGAGTTTTATATCTCCAAAAATGCTTATTTTAGTACGAAACATCTGTAATCGTATCGGATATTCTCTTTCTTAGAGCTCCTGAGAGGGTACGTAAGTCCCAAAACGTCAAAGTCAATTTAGCTCTACCAAACTTTTAATCGTAGAATATTTGTTATTTTTAATAATGGCTAAAACTCAGCACAATCGCCAGCGGCAGAAGGGATGGTGTAAATCCAGATAGGGTCCATGCAGGTAGCAAAAGTACTGAAAGTCCCCATGGATCTTCAGTTGTTGGTAATCTGTAGCCCGTTTTTATTTTGTACTGTCTATAGTGATTTAATTTTACAATAACGTACCAGTTTTAAATTTACATTTGTGATACTTTAATATTTTTACTGTCCTTCGATGACAGGTTTTTACGTTCTAAATTTATTGATTTTAATATTGATATAAATTGAATTGTTCTCGTCACGATATGGCTGTAGTATTGCCGATGTAACGCTAAATATTAACTCACTCACTCACACAATCTTTCTTAGAGGGGCGAAAAAGGTCCAATACATACACTTCACGGTTAATTACTGGGAGTTTTAATCGAATCCTTTTCAGACTATTTGACATTAATTGTCAGTGTTGCTGCTTTGTAACATTTGGTGCGACTAATGCCACAACCCATTATCGCGCACATGTGCATGTAGCCCTGTGTTCATTTTGTTTTACAAACTGTTAAAGGAATGAGAAATGGTTCAATAGACACACTGACATTTACACCTGTTCTTTAAATTGTCAGTAACATGAAAAAACCTCGGTTTTCTTTCGTTTTTGTCATTTACTCAAATGATTACGCTTTCATGATGGAAAAAAAATCACTCCATTGGATAATGACTAAAATATCCCAGTACAAAATGATTGGGGTGAGTGAGTGAGTTTAGTTTTACGCCGCACTCAGCAATATTCCAGCTATATGGCGGCGGTCTGTAAATAATCGAGTCTGGACCAGACAATCCAGTGATCAACAGCATGAGCATCGATCTGCGCAATTGGGAACCGATGACATGTGTCAACCACGTCAGCGAAACTGACCACCCGATCCCGTTAGTCGCCTCTTACGACAAGATAGTCGCCTTTTTTATGGCAAGCACATGGGTTGCTGAAGACCTATTCTACCCCGGATCTTCACGGGTCACAAAATGATTGGGTGTCACTACGGTTTCATTGTTTGATGATGAACAGACAGAGACGTGCAGTCATGGGCACGATGTGTCTGGGGTGTTTGACAACCTGTGCTTGGATATTTCCTGATAGAATCGTTGCACACAGTTCTCCTGTTTTCAGCAAAACGTCACCACGTCTTCACAGTCACTGCACACAGAAATGATTTAGTTCCTTGAGAGCCATTATAGAAGTTGAAATATGAAGGAAAACCAAGTTCTATGGATAGTCAACTTCTTAATTGCATTGAGTGCCATGTTTCGGCGTAGGTACTACCACTTGATTGATAACGGTGTTGGTACCTACGCCGAAACGTCGCACTCACTGCAATAAAGAAGGGCTTCACACGTCGTACCCATGAGGGGAACTTGACTATCCATAGAACTTGGTAATCCGTCACACGGAAATGACTTTAACGTGAAATTTACTCAAACAGTACGTCATCGTCGACGTGAGACCGGTCTCCCGTCACGGATCCATGTATTCACATCTCATCCACCCGATATCACAACCAGACACTATCTGGGCTGAAAATCTGGTTTACGGTATAGGCAAGGATTGGCCTCCATTGCTATTCACTGATCGAGAAATTGTTTAGACCTCACAGATCGTCGTGCCCGAATGAGGAGGACGATTTCAGGAATACAATGTTGTCGAATATGACCGTTTTATAGGGAGCGAATCTTATGGCGTGGGATCAGTTGAGCTGGAAGAACCGATTGCTATGTTCCTTTAGGACACGATGTGAGCTGCAGTGATGACAAACGGATGTGTATGAATGCTGGTGCCGGACTGGACTTTATCGACATAGACGATATCCATCGTGTTGCGGCTGCTAGCAGGAGACCATAACCACCAGACCTTACCATTATAAACCACATGTGAAACGAGCGGCAATTATACAGAAACTAAGCAATGATGGTAGCATGTATCCTTGGCAACCATCTAGACACGTAAAAATAGCAGGAGACTACCCGGTGTGTGTGTGTGTGTGTGTGTGTGTGTGTCTGTGTTTGCATGTTGATCACAAACGCGCTACTGAGAGCTGATTTATAGGGTAAACAGGACCTTTGGGCGGTTAGTTTAGATATTCTAATTTTAATTGCCGATCTGACTAATCATTGGTCACATTTATGGTGGCATTGCGTGGCACAATTTGTCTCACAGATAAAGGAACATCCGGCCAGCGTCAGCCTCTAGATTCATCACAGATTTGGCGGGTATGGTGAAATCACTTTGAACGAACACCACTACATATTGTGAAAGGAGTGACTGACTGGGTATGGTTTTAAGCCGCTTTTAGCAATATTCTAGCAACATCAGAGCGGGGGACACCAGAAATGGGCTTCACACGTCGTACCCATGAGGGGAATCGGCCTTGAGCGTCAGGCTACCTCACAGCCCCTTTTGTGAAAGGAAGTGTTACTGGACAGTCGTACCGGACAACACACACTGATACCCTCAAATCACCACGGAAGAGTGTATTTACGACTTCGTCATTCGAAGTACTGGTATCCCTACCACGTTTGTGGTAGAGTATGTGTTGTTTTAATATAATTTTCTTAACAATCGCAAACAGCTGAAGGGACGGTGCAAGTACTCCTGGGTACTATGCAGGGAAAGGTGTTATATAATGGGAGATCATAACATGGTAATTGTCGAAATTATATGATCAAGTCAAATGTTGCATTCCTGATTTGAGGGGGAAGTATTCATTATACCACAGGTATGCGAGATCCCGACAGTTTGGCCTAATTTAGGGTGTACGTGATATTTCAGTTTTCCTTCTAAAGATTTAGATTAAGAGAAACAGAGATGTAATGAACCTGTACCACTGAACCAGAAGCCAATCTGGATCTTTAAGAAATCTTCATTTGCTGAACATTTAACTTCATCAAATTTAATTTCTGAACATCATGTATAAAACTCATCAAATCACTCACCCAGCAGGGACAACATGTATGGAAATACGATATTCAGTAGGAAAGTAGATGCTGGAGATCTTAGCATAGATCCCATCTCCACCAGATCCCTGTGACGCATTGCACCTCCATGTTGTGCTCCCCAGGATGAGCTGACCCACTCTCCAGTCCCTGCCCACATCCTTCTGAGTGGTCACCAACAGGATCCTGTCATCCACACACACGAGGCGCTGGAAAACATGCGTCCTCTCGTGATCGTTCTTGTTACTAATTATTGAAAATGAATATGAGTAGATGTCGAGTTTCTACTAATATTTTCAAAATCAAATCAAAATCCACAAAATGAATCATAAATATGAAAGCCTTGTAGGGTGGCTATTAAAATTAGTTTCCAACTAACAGCATATTGTCGGGGATATACACTAATAAGCAGAAAAAAGAAATTGTACCAATATCAGGCCTGAAAGAAAGATATTCCTAACGTATAAGTAAATCACTATGCAATATGGAATTGAAATGTCAGTATCGCCTGTGTACCCACTGGCCCCAAGACACGCCAGCCCACGCCAGATTTGGCCACTTGGTACTCGGTACATATGTACATATGATCATATTTTTAATCTACTTTATCAGAAATTAGAACCAGAACGTCTCCACAAAAATCAATTTGTGCTAAAGAATCCATAATGCTATCTGTCATCTGTGAAATGTTACAGACGAGTATATGAATATGTTCTGAATTTTATCGCTTTGAATAGCATTTTATCAATTTCGACCATCGGATCCTGGCACGAATGCGGGACGCAACTTTAAATGTGCAACGGACTGTGGCGTCTTAGTTTTGGCAGGACCACCGGTATCTCTGCATGGAGTATCAGATCGGTTCAATGAAACTATATATGTACACACAAATTCATTGCAACCGTTCATACCCACATACCTTTAGTCCATCAACACCATCAAGATCAACAACATCACTGAGGACACCAGAACTGTGAAGCTTGAACCGTTCTCCGTTGTCGTCAGTTGTGAAGTCCACGTTGTGGTGGAAGGAGTTGTCGGTAGAATGACTGTCGTGTGGGAACAGCCCCGATACAACAAAGAAGAAAACCAGACGCAACATGACAAGCCTGCGGTGTGTTCAGCTGTACGCCATGATCTGTTATATACGCTTGATAAGACAGAATGTATTCTTTCGACAACAGTCCCCGCACTGGTTTTGAGTTAAATAAAACCCAGCCAAACTGAATACGTTATCTTTCTGTCACTCACATTGCTTGTAACGCCTGCTAAACTGCTGTAAGTGCATTGGATAATAAAAATAACTTGTCAGTATATACAGTAGGCTGTTAGCTAAGGTTCCTCCAGAGCTGCGCGTACACCGCTATCATGAAGAGCGCTGGCTGGGTAGGAGCCACCCTCCTGCTACTGTGCTCATACAGTCAGGGGTATTTCTTCCAAGACGACTACGACCATCAGTATACCTACTCTTCTATGTCGGAACTGTTCGGCCATAAAAATATCACCACTGTTCTGAAGGTAAGTTGTAATTATTAACCTGTAATGTGAACATGCATTTTCAAAGTTTCAATATTTATTGGAAACCTTCAGCTCCTGACATGCAAACTTAGTGGGCGACACGCTTTTCCCACAGCCTTGTACACCACTTAACTATATATAGGACTCAAGCTTGAACAGTTCAGTAATTTCATATATTGTAAAATATACCAATTTCATCACAGATATGCCGTTTACTTCTATTGAAATCTGTTTCGGAGATAATCGAAACTTATTCTATGGCGCTGACTTGTAAATTATCCCAAAAAAATTGTAAGCCAAACTAGAATACTTTGACGGAATAAATAAACGCATGGGTGTTTTTGAATACCTTCAGTTCAAGATCAGAGCCCTCAATACGACAGGGGATGGCGGGAGACTGCATTCGTTACGTGTGATCAGTATTGTGCAGTTTGCAGATGGCAGATGTGAGTATTTTTTCACGTTTATTGTTGTCCAACAACATCTTGATACATATATACAAAACAAAAAACGAAACTTCACATGTGTCACTTTATGTCCCAAACATACCCTTATAGTTTTAGTTTTAGTGAGGGAGTGAGTTTAGTTTTACGCCGCACTCAGCAATATTCCGGCTATAAGGCGGAACCCCTATAGTGTGTTGCTAGTGGATAAATCCGGGTTATCGATGATTAGGCATTAAGCTGCGTCAGGTGCACCCTTTAAAGTCAACGGTAGGATGATAGGTTCACCTTTTTATTTCATCTGTATTGATGTTTGTTCTGTACCGCGTATGCCCCCTCTCGTGTTCACAACAGCAAGACAACGTTGTCTCATTGAACACCCATGAACACAGCATTAGGCAGCCTGTGCCATTGCTGTACCAACATGGCGCCCAGCACTTCAACATTCTGGGGTTGATGTCTCAAGGCACGAAAACTTTTCACAGAGCATCCCATGCTTGTCCGATTGGATTGTGGTCAGTTGGTCTTGATGACCACTCCATGACGTCAATACCCGCATTTTGCAGGATATGTGTCAAAACAGCTGTGTGTGGTGTGGCATTGTCATGTTGGAATTGAGGTCAGGACCATGACCAGCCGAGAAACAGGTCCAGGTCAAGGAAATGGTCACGATATCCCGCTGCATTGACGTTCCCACCAATTACGAGAAGACGTGAGGGCACGATCCCGCAGAAAGCTCCCCAAACTATTACGCTGTCGCTACGAAATTGACCAGCTTCATGTAGCTGCACTGGAGTTGACGTTCAGCGTTCCGACGCCACGCTCCGTCGGCAAATCGCGGCGTAAACCGTATAAACAACCCGATTTCATTCTCCTGGTCCCAGTGCATGTGCAATTGTGCCCAGCGTAGACATTCTTTACGGTTTACCTCGGTCAGAATCGGCCAAACAGTTTCGAGTCCCCTAAATGGTGCGATACTGGTTCACCTTGCGGTCATCAACTGACGTAGCCGGCATGTGGCGTTACACGCCCCCGTCCTGATCATGACCTGGGGCGATCTGTCTTCTGCATCTCAGGGCACGCGTAACAGCCACAGTACTCTAGCCAGTACACTGGCAGTTAGGAGTGAGTGAGTCTAGTTTTACGCCGCTCTCAGCAATTTTCCAGCTGTATGGCGGCGGTCTGTAAATTATCGAGTCTGGACCAGACAATATAGTGAGCAGTCAGCAGCGTGAGCATTGATCGACGCAATTGGGATACGATGACATGTGTCGGCCAAGTCAGCTTGTCTGACCACCCGATCCCGTTAGTCACCTCTTACGACAGGCATGGGTAACTGAAGATCAACTCTAACCTGGATCTTCACTGGTTGGTAGCAAGGAACATGAAACTGTGGTCACGTGAACCCGCACACGTGCAGGGTCGCGATTTCACAAAAGAGCGTGCTGCATGCACCCCGCGTGGTTTACCACAGTTGAAATGGATGGATGCGTCAGGTCAGACCTAGCTTTATGGTATTTGCCCACATTAACTACCTTGTAGACCCCTGAAGATCCAGGTCAGACCTAGCTTTATGGTATTTGCCCACATTAACTACCATGTAGACCCCTGAAGATCCAGGTCAGACCTAGCTTTGTGGTATTTGCCCACATTAACTACCATGTAGACCCCTGAAGATCCAGGTCAGACCTAGCTTTATGGTATTTGCCCACATTAACTACCATGTAGACCCCTGAAGATCCAGGTCAGACCTAGCTTTATGGTGTTTGTCCACATTAGCTACCTTGTAGACCCCTGAAGATCCAGGTCAGACCTAGCTTCATGGTATTTGCCCACATTAACTATCTTGTAGACCCATAAAGATGCAGGTCAGACCTAGCTTTATGGTATTTGCCCACATTAACTACCATGTAGACCCCTAAAGATCCAGGTCAGACCTAGCTTTGTGGTATTTGCCAACATTAACTACCTTGTAAACCCCGGAAGATCAAGGTCAGACCTAGCTTTATGGTATTTGCCAACATTAACTACCATGTAGACCCCTGAAGATCAAGGTCAGACCTAGGTTTGAGGTATTTGCCCACATTAACTACCATGTAGACCCCTGAAGATCCAGGTCAGACCTAGCTTCATGGTATTTGCCCACATTAACTACCTTGTAGACCCCTGAAGATCGAGGTCAGACCTAGCTTTGTTGTATTTGCCCACATTCACTACCTTGTAGACACCTGAAGATCCAGGTCAGACCTAGCTTTATGGTATTTGACCACATTAACTACCTTGTAGACACCTGAGGATCCAGGTCAGACCTAGCTTTATGGTATTTGCCCACATTAACTACCTTGTACACCCCTGAAGATCCAGGTCAGACCTAGCTTTGTTGTATTTGACCACATTAACTACCTTGTAGACCCCTGAAGATCCAGGTCAGACGTAGCTTCATGGTATTTGCCCATATTAACTACCTTGTAGACCCTTGAAGATCCAGGTCAGACCTAGCTTTGTTGTATTTGACCACATTAACTACCTGTAGACCCCTGAAGATCCAGGTCAGACCTAGCTTTGAGGTATTTGACCTCATTAACTACCTTGTAGACCCCTGAAGATCCAGGTAAGACCTAGCTTTATGGTATTTGCCCACATTAACTACCTTGTAGACCCCTGAAGATCGAGGTCAGGCCTAGCTTTATGGTATTTGCCCACATTAACTACCTTGTAACCCCTGAAGATCGAGGTCATACCTAGCTTCGTGGTATTTGCCCACATTAACTACCTTTTAGACCCCTGAAGATCCAGGTCAGACCTTGCTTTATGGCATTTGAACACATTAACTACCTTGTAGACCCCTGAAGATCCAGGTCAGACGTAGCTTTGTGGTTTTTCTCTCACATTAACTACCTTGTAGACACCTGAAGATCCAGGTCAGACCTAGCTTTGTGGTATTTGACCACATTAACTACCTTGTAGACCCCTGAAGATGCAGGTCAGACCTAGCTTTGTGGTATTTGCCCACATTAACTACCTTGTAGACCTCTGAAGATTGAGGTCAGACCTAGCTTCATGGTATTTGCCAACATTAATTACCTTGTAGATCCCTGAAGATCAAGGTCAGACCTAGTTTCATGGTATTTGACCACATTAACTACCTTGTGGACACCTGAAGATCAAGGTCAGACCTAGCTTCATGGTATTTGCCCACATTAACTACCTTGTAGACCCCTGAAGATCAAGGTGAGACCTAGCTTTGTTGTATTTGCCCACATTAACTACCTTGTAAACCCCTGAAGATCAAGGTCAGACCTAGCTTTATGGTATTTGCCAACATTAACTACCATGTAGACCCCTGAAGATCAAGGTCAGACCTAGGTTTGAGGTATTTGCCCACATTAACTACCATGTAGACCCCTGAAGATCCAGGTCAGACCTAGCTTCATGGTATTTGCCCACATTAACTACCTTGTAGACCCCTGAAGATCGAGGTCAGACCTAGCTTTGTTGTATTTGCCCACATTCACTACCTTATAGACACCTGAAGATCCAGGTCAGACCTAGCTTTATGGTATTTGACCACATTAACTACCTTGTAGACACCTGAGGATCCAGGTCAGACCTAGCTTTATGGTATTTGCCCACATTAACTACCTTGTACACCCCTGAAGATCCAGGTCAGACCTAGCTTTGTTGTATTTGACCACATTAACTACCTTGTAGACCCCTGAAGATCCAGGTCAGACGTAGCTTCATGGTATTTGCCCACATTAACTACCTTGTAGACCCTTGAAGATCCAGGTCAGACCTAGCTTTGTTGTATTTGACCACATTAACTACCTTGTAGACCCCTGAAGATCCAGGTCAGACCTAGCTTTGAGGTATTTGACCACATTAAACCTACAGACCTGTAGATCAAGGTCCCTGAAGATCCAGGTCAGACCCCTAGCTTTTATGGTATTTGCCCACATTAACTACCTTGTAGACCCCTGAAGATCGAGGTCAGACCCTAGCTTTTATGGTATTTGCCCACATTAACTACCTTGTAGACCCCTGAAGATCGAGGTCAGACCTAGCTTTGTGGTATTTGCCCACATTAACTACCTTGTAGACCCTGAAGATCCTGAAGATCCAGGTCAGACCTAGCTTTATGGTATTTGCCCACATTAACTACCTTGTAGACCCCTGAAGATCCAGGTCAGACCTAGCTTTGGTATGGTATTTGCCCACATTAACTACCTTGCAGAGACCCTGAAGATCCAGGTCAGACCTAGCTTTGTTGTATTTGCCCACATTAACTACCTTGTAGACCCTGAAGATCCAGGTCAGACCTAGCTTCATGGTATTTGCACCACATTAACTACCTTGCTTGTAGCCCACATTAACCCTGAAGATCCAGGTCAGACCTAGCTTTGTGAAGATCGAGGTCATAGACCTAGCTTCCATGTGGTATTTGACCACATTAACTACCTTGTAGACTTGAAGATCCAGGTCAGACCCCTTCATGGTAGCCCACATTCCAGGTCAGAGGTCAGACCTAGCTTTGTGGTATTTGCCCACATTAACTACCTTGTAGACCCCTGAAGATCCAGGTCAGACCTAGCTTTGAGGGTATTTGCCCACATTAACTACCTTGTAGACCCCTGAAGATCCAGGTCAGACCTAGCTTTTGAGGTATTTGCCCACATTAACTACCTTGTAGACCCCTGAAGATCCAGGTCAGACCTAGCTTTGTGGTATTTGATCCAGGTCATTAACTACCTTGTAGACCCCTGAAGATCAAGGTCAGACCTAGCTTTATGGTATTTGACCACATTAACTACCTTGTAGACCCTGAAGATCCAGGTCAGACCTAGCTTCACGGTATTTGCCCACATTAACTACCTTGTAGACCCCTGAAGATCCAGGTCAGACCTAGCTTTATGGTATTTGCCCACATTAACTACCTTGTAGACCCCTGAAGATCCAGGTCAGACCTAGCTTTATGGTATTTGCCCACATTAACTACCTTGTAGACCCCTGAAGATCGAGGTCAGACCTAGCTTCGTGGTATTTGCCCACATTAACTACCTTGTAGACCCCTGAAGATCCAGGTCAGACCTAGCTTTATGGCATTTGCCCATATTAACTACCTTGTAGACCCCTGAAGATCCAGGTCAGACCTAGCTTTATGGTATTTGCCCACATTAACTACCTTGCAGACCCCTGAAGATCAAGGTCAGACCTAGCTTTGTTGTATTTGACCACATTAACTACATTGTAGACCCTCAAGATCCAGGTCAGACCTAGCTTCATGGTATTTGCCCACATTAACTACCTTGCAGAGCCCTGAAGATTGAGGTCAGACCTAGCTTTGTTGTATTTGACCACATAAATTAACTTGTATACCCCTGAAGAGCCAGGTCAGGCCTAGCTTCATGGTATTTGCCCACATAAACTACCTTGTAGACCCTTGAAGATCCAGGTCAGACCTAGCTTTGTTGTATTTGACCACATTAACTACCATGTAGACCCCTGAAGATCCAGGTCAGACCTAGCTTTGAGGTATTTGCCCACATTAACTACCTTGTAGACCCCTGAAGATCCAGGTCAGACCTAGCTTTATGGTATTTGCCCACATTAACTACCTTGTAGACCCTTGAAGATCGAGGTCAGTTCTAGCTTTATGGTGTTTGCCCACATTAACTACCTTGTAACCCCTAAAGATCGAGGTCAGACCTAGCTTCGTGGTATTTGCCCACATTAACTACCTTGTAGACCCCGGAAGATCAAGGTCAGACCTAGCTTTGAGGTATTTGCCCACATTAACTACCTTGTAGACCTCTGAAGATCGAGATCAGACCTAGCTTTATGGTATTTGCCAACATTAACTACCTTGTAGACCCCTGAAAATCCAGGTCAAGCCTAGTTTCATGGTATTTGACCTCATTAATTACCTTGTAGACCCCTGAAGATTGACGTCAGACCTAGCTTTATGGTATTTGCCCACATTAACTACCTTGTAGACCCCTGAAGATCCAGGTCAGACCTAGCTTTGTGGTATTTGCCCACATTAACTACCTTGTAGACCCCTGAAGATCCAGGTCAGGCCTAGTTTCGTGGTATTTGACCACATAAACTACCTTGCAGACCCCTGAGGATCCAGGTCAGACCTAGCTTTGTTGTATTTGACCACATTAACTACATTGTAGACCGTGAAGATCCAGGTCAGACCTAGCTTTATGGTATTTGCCCACATTAACTACCTTGTACACCCCTGAAGATCCAGGTCAGACCTAGCATCATGGTATTTGCCCACATTAACTACCTTGTAGACCCCTGAAGATCCAGGTCAGACCTTGCTTTGTTGTATTTGCCCACATTAACTACCATGTAGACCCCTGAAGGTCCAGGTCAGACCTAGCTTCATGGTATTTGACCACATTAAGTACCTTGTAGACTCCTGAAGATCCAGGTCAGACCTAGCTTCATGGTATTTGCCCACATTAACTACCTTGTAGACCCCTGAAGATCAAGGTCAGACCTAGCTTTGAGGTATTTGCCCACATTACCTACCCTGTAGACCCCTGAAGATCCAGGTCAGACCTAGCTTTGAGGTATTTGCCCACATTAACTACCATGTAGACCCCTGAAGATCCAGGTCAGACCTAGCTTTGTGGTATTTGCCCACATTAACTACCTTGTAGACCCCTGAAGATCAAGGTCAGACCTAGCTTTGTGGTATTTGACCACATTAAGTACCTTGTAGACCCCTGAAGATCCAGGTCAGACCTAGCTTCACGGTATTTGCCCACATTAACTACCTTGTAGACCCCTGAAGATCCAGGTCAGACCTAGCTTTATGGTATTTCCCACATTAACTATCTTGTAGACCCCTGAAGATCCAGGTCAGACCTACCTTCGTGGTATTTGACCACATTAACTACCTTGTAGACCCCTGAAGATCCAGGTCAGACCTTGCTTTGTTGTATTTGCCCACATTAACTACCTTGTAGACCCCTGAAGATCCAGGTCAGACCTAGCTTTGAGGTATTTGCCCACATTAACTACCTTGTAGACCCCTGAAGATCCAGGTCAGACATAGCTTTGTGGTATTTGCCAACATTAACTACCTTGTAGACCCCTGAAGATCAAGGTCAGACCTAGCTTTATGGTATTTGACCACATTAAGTACCTTGTAGACCCCTGAAGATCCAGGTCAGACCTAGCTTCATGGTATTTGCCCACATTAACTACCTTGTAGACCCCTGAAGATCCAGGTCAGACCTAGCTTTATGGTATTTGCCCACATTAACTACCTTGTAGACCCCTGAAGATCCAGGTCAGACCTAGCTTTATGGTATTTGACCACATTAACTACCTTGTAGACCCCTGAAGATCCAGGTCAGACCTAGCTTTGTGGTATTTGACCACATTAACTACCTTGTAGACTCCTGAAGATCCAGGTCAGACCTAGCTTCATGGTATTTGCCCACATTAACTACCTTGTAGACCCCTGAAGATCCAGGTCAGACCTAGCTTTGAGGTATTTGCCCACATTACCTACCCTGTAGACCCCTGAAGATCGAGGTCAGACCTAGCTTTGTGGTATTGGACCACATTAACTACCTTGTAGACCCCTGAAGATCGACGTCAGACCTAGTTTTGAGGTATTTGCCCACATTAACTACCTTGTAGACCCCTGAAGATCCAGGTCAGACCTAGCTTTGAGGTATTTGCCCACATTAACTACCATGTAGACCCCTGAAGATCCAGGTCAGACCTAGCTTTGTGGTATTTGCCCATATTAACTACCTTGTAGACCCCTGAAGATCAAGGTCAGACCTAGCTTTGTGGTATTTGACCACATTAAGTACCTTGTAGACCCCTGAAGATCCAGGTCAGACCTAGCTTCATGGTATTTGCCCACATTAACTACCTTGTAGACCCCTGAAGATCCAGGTCAGACCTAGCTTTATGGTATTTCCCACATTAACTATCTTGTAGACCCCTGAAGATCCAGGTCAGACCTACCTTCGTGGTATTTGACCACATTAACTACCTTGTAGACCCCTGAAGATCCAGGTCAGACCTTGCTTTGTTGTATTTGCCCACATTAACTACCTTGTAGACCCCTGAAGATCCAGGTCAGACCTAGCTTTGAGGTATTTGCCCACATTAACTACCTTGTAGACCCCTGAAGATCCAGGTCAGACCTAGCTTTGTGGTATTTGCCAACATTAACTACCTTGTAGACCCCTGAAGATCAAGGTCAGACCTAGCTTTATGGTATTTGACCACATTAAGTACCTTGTAGACCCCTGAAGATCCAGGTCAGACCTAGCTTCATGGTATTTGCCCACATTAACTACCTTGTAGACCCCTGAAGATCCAGGTCAGACCTAGCTTTATGGTATTTGCCCACATTAACTATCTTGTAGACCCCTGAAGATCCAGGTCAGACCTTGCTTTGTTGTATTTGCCCACATTAACTACCTTGTAGACCCTTGAAGGTCCAGGTCAGACATAGCTTTGTTGTATTTGACTACATTAACTACCTTGTACAACCCCTGAAGATCCAGGTCAGACTTAGCTTCATGGTATTTGACCACATTAACTACCTTGTAGACCCCTGAAGATCCAGGTCAGACCTTGCTTTGTTGTATTTGCCCACATTAACTACCTTGTAGACCCTTGAAGATCCAGGTCAGACATAGCTTTGTTGTATTTGACTACATTAACTACCTTGTAGACCCCTGAAGATCCAGGTCAGACTTAGCTTCATGGTATTTGACCACATTAACTACCTTGTAGACCCCTGGAGATCCAGGTCAGAAGTGGTCTCCAGCAACTCATGTTTGTCGTAAGAGGCGACTGACGGTATCGGATGGACAGGCTTGCTGTCTTGTTTGACACATGTCATCGTATCCAAATTTTGTAAATTGATGCTCATGATGTAAATCACTGGATTGTCTAGTCCAGACTCCATTACTTACAGACCACCGTGATATAGTCGTGATATTGCTGAGAGCGGCGTTAAACAACAAAACAATAACTACCTTGTACTAACCATTTTCAATTTAATTCATTTCTCCAAATGTGAAGTTTCTCTCTTTGTTCAGTATACAATCCTCAGATAAACCCTTTCATAATAAATGTTCAGATAATAATGATCGTAAAAGCCGAGTGAAATGAGACTCATTTGGTCGCAATGTGTCACCTACCTGATAGTGAATACACATTTTCGAAAACACACTTTCAAAACAAATATGTTTTCCTATTTTGCAGACTTCAGTAACCCCAAAGGTTGGAATTTGAAAACAATGTGAGTATCTTTACAACCTGTTACGGACATGTAGTTATGGTTTTGTGTTCCACTGGCGGTGGTCAACGTAGCAATCACGTGATACCATCACAGAGTTCTTCCTGGTGCTTTTGTCATGAAATGGTTATGTTTACATAAAAAAAACTATAGAAGTGAATGACCCTAAGCACTGAACTGAGTGAGTTGATGATAAATAGCAGGTAATATAAGCGGGCACTATTTTCATATCACCGAACGGATCGTTTAGATTAACGTAAATCCTTCTGAATGGCACTAATCGATATACGATCGATATAATGTTTCTTTACATCAGTTTGGAATAGACAAATGTTTGTTTTGACTGAAATGGTGATGGGGGTGGAGGAGTGTGTGAGGTGGGCATATGTGTCAGTGCGGATGTCCGTTCTCCCAACTCCCAAACCGTTGATTATCTCTAAATGATACACGTCATATAGGTACGCTTAGTAATAAACAGGCGCCTTTGGATGATTTGAGATTTGTTGAACGTGAACATGCATTTGGCATGCTCCAGGCTGGCCAGTCTACTGTGGCTGTTGTACGTTCCATGAGATGTAGTAGACGGACAATTCAAAACCTGAGGACACGTGTGCATCGAACGAGTACGACATCTGATCGCCCCAGGTCAGAACGGCCACGTGTGACATCACATGCATGTAGATGACAATCAAATTCTGTTTCGTTATTTGCGTGATCGTTTCATGACCGCCAGGAATTGGCTGTTTAGGGGTCGTTTAACTGCCCAGACCACACGAAACCGCATGCGCGCTGTTTATATACGTGTCCGACGTCCTTATATTTGGCTGATGACATAAGTAACATCTACGCTGGGCACAACTGCACCTGCGGTGGCACCAAAGAGAACAGAATAGGGTTGCGTTTAGAGGCGAATCTCGTTTTACACTGCGATTTGCCGACGGAAGTGTGCTAGTGAGGCGTCGGTGCGGTGAACGTCACGTCACGCCCAGTGCTGCGAACAGGAAGTTGACCGATTACGTGGTGGTATCGTAATGGTATGGAGAGCTTTCTGCGGGAACGTGCCCTCACGTCTTCTCGTAATTGGTGGGAACGTCAATGCAGCGGGATATCGTGACCATTTCCTTGACCTGGAGCTGGTTCGTGGCTGCTCATGGTCCAGACCTCCAATTCCAACATGACAAGGCCACACCACACACAGCTGTTTTGACACATATCCTGCGCGGGTATTGACGTCATGGAATGGCCATCGAGATCACCTGACCGCAACCCCATCCAACACGTAAGGGGTGTTCTTGAAGGAAACATCTTCATGCCTTGAGACGTCAGCCCAAGAATGCTGTTGAGCATGAGTCTGTTCATTTGTTTTATTTTTTTTCTTGTGTTGATGTTTTAGGATCTTGTATGTGTTATGGGTCATCAAACAATTGTATTTCGTCCACTTGTGTATAGCACCTGTCTCTTTATACACCCGCATCATGGTGATCGTACCATCGTGTTTGATCCTGCTCCTTGTCACTGGGTGACATTTGCTGGAGACTTCTTCTGATTCTTTAGACGTCTTTACAGGTTTTTATTACTCTCCTTGCAGATTCCTGTTTCGGACTAGTACTAAAGGATCTATTGACCTGGTCCGTGTCCATCCTGAAGACGAGGACGAGCTGGTGGTCATCAAGAAAGCTGTCACCAGTCTTTTCTCTGTTACTGTCAGGGTATACATTGTGATACTATATGTAAAACTTCAATGTCAGAGAAAAAGCATCCACGATTTTCTGCCCAAACTGATGCCATTTGGTGTGAAAGGCCAAATTGACATGAAAATCACATAAATGCTATGAAAACATATATAATATTATAAACTCTTGCCTGAGCTTAGCTACAAAATTGTACATTGTACAAAATCAAATTCTTAGATTTAACATGTTGACACACTGGCTACTTTGCTGGGCATACTTTATGCTCCATGTTTTTTCTCAATAATAAAAGTATGAGTTTGTTCTGATATACGTTTGCGGTGATTAATGTTAACTTAATCCCATCGTGAAGCGGCGTAGTTCTACATACATTATATACATTTTGTGTCATTGTTGTCAAGGAATCAGGAGAAAGGACGGACTCCTATGAGACAACAGATCTAGATCACCTAGGTGAGTTATCCCTTGTAGTGAGTGGGTCAGTATGGTTTTACGCTGCTTTTAGCATTATTCCAGCAACACCACGGCGGGGGACACCAGAAATGGGCTTCACATATGTGTGTAATTGAACTCTCGTCATCGACGTGACGAGCGAACGCTTTAACCACTAGGCTACCCCACCGCCGCTACTCCATGTAGAAAACAGCCGCGTGATGAACTGCATCGCTAGTTGAGGACGGTATCATAGAGCAGGAGTCAAACGGTACAAGTATGACGTGCATACGTTCAGTACAGATACAGGGACGCTTGGGCGTAATAGCTAAAGCTGAAGAACCTGGTAGTTAAAGCTGAAGACCATAATGGTCCATAAGGGTGCAGTGTGTCAAACCTTTTCCCGGTATCCCTCGCTGTGTAAAATCGGCGTAAAATCATGCTCTCTGGCACAGCTGACATGCATTTTACATGGCTTAATTGAAAACTAAAAGGTAGTTCAATTATAACACATGCTTTGGTTTACTATTCCAGGAAATCTAACGCACAAGTACAACGTGGTTACGACGCCGTCCGGAAGAACACTGACTCGTTCCCACTTCAGTCATGAGAGGGCAGAGAGAACTCACCACAAGGTAAGACCACTCTGTGATTCACACTATTGTCAACAAGAAAACAACCTTGTCACTTTCCCCGCCCGCGGGGCACATTAGAATTGTGACTGTCCATATAGTAATGAATAATATGAAAGTATACATATATGTAAACTATTAACACACATATAAAGCTTTAAGAACAGATAGACACTACGATCCCTTTATGCCATCAGATGAAACAAGTACATAGGAAATAGATACAGGCAAAAGGCCTTGAGGAAATATTAATTTATAGCGCCGACTTTTCAAGGCAGTCTTGAATAACGTTCTTGAATATGTGTCCTCTTTAAAAACTATGCACTCAGACAAAAAGACAAATAAATGGGCCATAAGACTAATTTCAGAAAAGACAGGTAGCAAGGGAAGTAACTCCGGGCAATATTAAGAGCTGATAATTACCTGTTTCATATGCATGCAACTTCATGTAACTTCAAAGGCTTCATGCGGTTTGCATCATCATGAAAAACATGCAGCAAGGGCCATTTAATTCTGTATAAACTAATTTAAGACACCATTTTTTCAAACGCGTTTGCAGTGGGCTAAAAAGCATAGAGCAAGGGGCATGACTCTGTAAAACATCAATTTAAGACACATACTTTCAAACTCATATTAGAGCATGACCAGTTACATCAAAGTCTCCAACTTAAATAGCTTTTGAGAAATTTGTTTGGAATTATGACCCCTTTGAGAAGCAACGAAGGACGGAAGAATACGTTCCAATATCCCCCGGCACCCTTTGTTGGTGATGTTTGTTGGGTGGTGGCGGTTTGGTTGAAAAATATATCGTCAATTCACTTCAGACTGAATCTGTATTTTGTGCCATACGAAACGACCTGGAAACTGGTATGTGAAGAAAAATATAGTCACGCGATTGGCCCTTTGCCTTAGTCAAATAACAATTTTTTAACTAGCCTTACTTAATGGTGATGTGCATATTACCTTGTCATCCGATACAAAGATATGAAACGTAATTGATAAGTATCCTATCATGAAACCAATGACTCGATCTCGTTCGGCGAGAGGAAGCACGCCCCCAATACAATCATGTGACAACGAGAACACGTCACTTTATCACCTACACTTTGGACGTGAATCGTGGGAAACTAACTAATTTTGCTTATTTTACTGTATCTTTGGTTTTTGCTATGGTATGGTTTTCCTATTGTGTCATCCAACTATTATCTAACAATTCTACAAACAGTTGGCTGTTTTCTCTTGCTGTACAGTTTTGGTTGGTTGTTTTTCTCGCCTCGTGTCATTATTCACTTTCGGTACTGCCTTGGTTAGTCTGGACTTTGTGTTTGTGTCTGACCATTTCTGGTGCCCTTTTCTCTCCTTTCTCCACCATTGCATGACGCTCGGTGCTGCACTCCCAGACGCTCGCCTCAACACTGCAATAGGCATACAGCACCAATATACAATTCTGAATGTGAAGGTGTTACTATAGACACTGATTTACACAGGACTTTGAAGCCTCGGCCTCTCAGTTCTCGCCTCGGCCACGGAGGCCATGTCACAGGATCTAACTGTGGACAATACTTCACTCTTGGATCACCTAGCCACCATGTTCCTCTGGCATGTGCCAATTCCGACGTGGTAGGTCACATCCGTTTAGTGCTTGCCACCACCACTGTGATTCGGAGGACTGGGCTGCTTACTCCTTACTGGCAGGAGGAATTGATGAAGAGACTTTGTTTGTAGACAAGATCGGAGCATAACGCAAACGTGCTCAGGTCTTTTCATCACTTCGCCAACCTGTCATCAACGACTTCCAGAACCTTCAACCTCTACCAGTCAAGGAGGAATGTGGTCCGTGGAGCCCCGAAACCCTGCGACAGATAACGTTTCAATGACTTTTAACGTCGTCCCGTTTGGAAGCCTAAATACAAATGACGCTGATATGCAGGACATTCCCGCCCCAGTCGTCCATATCCACGATATATCCGTAGGCGGGAGACACAGGGTCTTCTGGTCCATCTGGACATTCCTGGAAGACCCTTTTGTAACCAATATCCTCAAGACGGGCTACCAGTTGCCAATAGCCAAGTCACCGCCTCTGACCAACCTGCCCTGGTCACAAGAGTGCTATAGAGAAACTGTTAGAGCCCAGACACTCCCCAGGGTTCTGCTCTCCATCTTCTTTGTCCCCAAGAAGAACTCAGACAAGATGCGGATGATACAGAACTAGGCGGTTTTCAACAAGCTGTATCTTTGGGTGACGCCACATTTCCACAATTCCAAGCTGTCCCCACAGGATTGGCTGGTCACTTACCCATCGACGAACCTCACCGGAGGTTCATCTGGTTCACTTTCGACGACCAACATTACCAATAGAAAGTCCTTACATTTCTACGGCCCCGTGGCTTTTCACTCGGATCACAGCACCAATCAGTTGGGTTTTTGTAAAGTATTTTTATTCACTTTACTTGGTTACATTTGAACAAGATATGTGGGTAGAGTAGAATGGTACAGGTTGCATAATAAAAAGCAGACAGTGTATAACATATGGTACTGGGAATATAGATTAACAATTGAGATGCTAGCTAATATTACAGAGAATTAAAAGACTAAAACATAAACCATAGGACTGCATCTAGGACATTTTCTGTAAAAATGTTTCATATTATCGTTTTTCTTCTCGATAAATTTCTCTATCTCGTAGACATCTTTTAATAATGTTCTGTAGATGGTGAAGCTAGGTTTGTGTCCTTTTATATTCATTACGAAAATATGGCGCTTTGCCAATAGTATCATGTGGTTGAGTAAGTGGTTACTACTGCAACAAAATAGAATATCATGGTTTGACATTTCATACGTTTTACCAAGGACTTGAGTTATAAAATTTTTAAATTCTGACCAGAACATTTTGATGGTTGGACAATCAAGGTATACATGGTAAATATCCTCACTTACTGAACCACATAATGTACATAGGTCATTATCTATCAATTTCATTTTTAGTAATTCTCGTTTAGTGTAAATGACTCTATGCAAAAACTTATATTGAAAATCTAAGAGTTTCGTGTCTTTAGTGCATTGTCTATATTGTGAAAATATGGTTTTCCAATTTAACAACTCATTTAGTTCCCCGTTCCATTTGAGACACACATTCGGAATGTTATAATCAGATATAAAATTATCATAGAATATCCTTGAACCTTTACTAGGTTTAATCAAATCGTTCCAAGGAGAACACATAGATAACGACGGTATATTCAAATTGTTATTTGTTCGTATAACGTCTTTCCACTGTTTGGGTATACTAAGGAGAACACGATTAAAGTCAAGTACAGTACCTTTAATACCAACTTTTGCCTTAAGTTCTGCGAATGTTAGAAATGCGTGGTCGTTACAAATATCTTTAACATAAACTATTCCACATTTAATCCAGTTATGAATGATCAAACTTGGCTGGTTACACTGGTGATTTAACCATAGTGGCTGCATGAGTATTTCATTAATGTCGTTATTGTTACATACCGATCTTTTAACATATCTATGCCAAGCATCAAGGGAATCTTTCCAAAATGGATTTTTAATATTATAATGTTTAGGGATGTTGGCTCCTAAGAAAAGAAGGTTTTGTAGAGGGAAACCGGCGAGAGCATAGTTCTTAGGTTTTGAAATATATCTCTTCAAACATGAACGTTTTAAAGAGTCGATAAAGGTTTTCACGTCGACCATTCTTAGACCACCTTCTTCGTACCTTCGTACTAAATTAATTCGTTTTATTTTATCAATTTTATCATTCCATATAAATTTGAAGAATAATCTGTTCAAATCAGTAATAAATGTTTTTGGGGGATTAGGGAGAGAAGAGAAGATGTGGACAATCGTGGATAAAGCTAAACTTTTAACGACGGTTATTTTCCCTATCAACGTTAAATTGCGTCTTTTCCAATTCAGTAGAATTCTTTTTATATTTTCGAGTCTCTTCTTTGTATTAATTACCGATAAGTTTTCTAAATGAGCATTTAATCTGATTCCCAATACTTCGAAATTCGAAAGTCCTGGGATAGGACTATTTTACTACCTGCCATTGAGCCTAGCCATACTACTTTTGTTTTATCAATATTTATTTTCAAACCTGACATCTTGTAAAAGGAAAGCAAAGCTTTCATAGCTTCATTAAGAGAGGATTCGGAACCGTCCAAAAATAATTCAGTGTCATCTGCATATTGACCAATAACATGTTCGATGTCGTTGAAAACAATTCCTTTTATTCTGTGGTTGTCTCTGATCATTATTCCTAGTATTTCTGCTACCAATAAGAATAAATATGGAGATATGGGATCACCCTGTCTGCATCCCCTTTCATTATCGAAAAACGTGGACAAGTGACCATTCTGTATCATACACGAGGATGCATTAGAAATCAATATGTTAACCCATCTTTGAATGTTACTTCCAAAACCAAACTTGTCTAGGACCATCTTAATGAATAATTTTGACATGGTGTCGAAAGCTTTTTCAAAGTCAATTAAGATTAGTAAACCTTTTATGTTTTGCCTTTTAGTTTCAAACATAATGTCATAAAGAAGTCTAATGTTTTCCGTAATGTATCTTCCTGGAATGAATCCTGTTTGATTTTCGTTTATAAGAAAATTCAAATTTTTTTTAATCCTGTTTGTTATACAAGTACTTATAACTTTATACAATGCGTTTAGGAGAGAGATAGGTCGCCAATTCTTTAGGTATCTTCTATCCTTACATGGCTTAGGGATACATGTAATTACTCCTCTATTCATTGTCGTAGTCATAGGATTCTGGTTGAAACTTACTTTAATATATCGGTGAATCCAAATTTTCAGATATTTCCTGAACATTTTTAAGAATTCGATAGGGAAGCCATCTAAACCTGGACTTTTGTTATTTTTCATTGATTTAACAGCATGCGAAAGTTCTTCAACACTAATATCGCGCTCTTGTTCATTTGACTGTTCCTTATTTAAAGAAGGAGTAGCAATATGTTCGAATACAGCTTTAATGTCTTCATCTATGTCGCAATTTGATTTATACAGGTTTTCATAGAATCGCTTTTGTTCCACTATTATTTCTCGTCCATCTGCTATTTCTTCACCATTATCACGAATAAGGGAGTTAATAAGTTTGTTTGTATAGTTTCTATTTTCTAAATGGCAAAAATAATTTGTAGGTTTATCCCCTTCTTCATACCACTGGATTCTATTTCTAACTTGGATTCCTTTTATTTCTTCTTCTTTTATTTTTTCCAATTCATTTTTACTTTTAGATAAATCAACAAGAAGTGTTTCATTGACGTTTTGGAAGTTACTTCTTATTTCATCTTCTATATGACATATATTCTCCTCTAGTTCTTTATATTTTGCAGTTCTCCTTTTCTTAAGATATGAAGAGTATGAGATGGATTTTCCTCTAAGTTTCATTAAAAATGTCTCTAAAAATAGAGTGTCACTGATAGTCAAACGTAAGTGTTCATCATTAATCTCGTTTAATTCTTCATCTGAATATGTAGGGTCTGCGTATTCTCGTTTTGTTTCATTAGGTAAGTCAATTACTAGTGTTATATATTCCTCTCGTCTCAATAATGATGTGTTAAACTTCCAATAGCCGCTTCCCATTTCCTTATTTTTTTGTGTCGATAAAGATAACGTTTCAGCAGAATGGTCACTTTTATAACCAGGTATGATGGATATATTACTATTTATGTTAAAGAGGTCTTCAGTTACCAAGAAGAAATCTAATCTGGCTTGTTGGCGAGGATTCTTTTTCCACCATGTATACTTTTTTGTTTTAGGGCTTAACTCTCTCCATGCGTCTATTAAGTTTAAATTGTCTTTTTGGTCCAAGACAGTCTTATGAGCCTGTGGGTTATTAATGTGTTTATAGTTTTCAAGGTCTATGGAGGGGTCTAAGACAAGATTCCAATCTCCACATACTGCAATTGAATCGTTACCCATATTTACAATCTTATCAAATAAAGATATATAAAAGGAAGGACTATCAGCGTTCAGTCCATATACATTTGTAAGGGTTAATCTTATGTCATCAACAGTTATATCTAAAATTATGTAATTTCCATTTTCGTCTTTAGAAACATTGTGTATTTCATATTCAAACTTATTATTTAGAAGAATGGCAACACCTCTTGAGTTTGGCTTATATGGAGCAATGACACATTCTAAACCCCATTCATTTCTCATTGTGTTCTCATACTCTGCAGAAATATGTATGTCTTGTAAACATATGATTGAGAATTTCTTCTTTCTATATAAATTCATGACTTCTTTACGTTTACCTTTTTCGGCTAGGCCTCTACAATTACCTGAAACTATGCTAATTTTGTTATTTGTATCCATAGTTAGAGAATCTTAGAGTAATCGTAACTTGCCTGGTCGTAAATGGTGTTTCTGTATCCAAGTGAAAGTGTTTTTTTGTTTTATTATAACATAAGGTAATAAAGAAAATAAGAACAAAGAAAACTCCGTGGTTGCCACGAGCAATTTCTCTGAGAGCAGAAGGCTCTGCCTGCCCCATGGTTAAGACAAGAACTAAGAAGTGAGTAGGTGAGTGATTGAGTGAGTTTTAGCTCTACGCAACACGAGCGGGGAGACACCAGAAATAGGCCCCACACGCCGTACCCACGCGGGGAGCCGAACTCAGGCCCTCGGTGCGAGGAACGATCAAACGCCAAGACCACTTGGCCATCGCCCGCCCCCCGGAACTAAGGAGATCAAATCGTGAAACAAACCTAATTCAAGTTAATTTTTGGGAAATAAAAGTTCAAGTACATAGTATGATATCTATTGTATAAAATTCGAAGTATAGAAATTGCATCAACCAATCAGTTGTTACCTTAATCTTTTGGGGATTGAGTTTGACCAGTACATCGCCGATTGTCTGATGTAGTGTCAGCTGCTACGCAGACCAAGGGATTTTGCACTCAAGCTTCTCCACCAACTCGGCTGGATTATCAACCGCAAAATGTCCCACCAAGAACTGTATTAACAACTGACATTCACCAGGGATTTGTTCCTGATGGGCTAAGACCTCATGAGGGTTCCACCGTACAGAAGATTCTAGGCCTCGCTCTACGGGGACTGTCACAACCGCTCACACTAAGGGAATGGCAGTCCCTCCAAGATCTTACTGACCGCCTCCGTGGTGTAGTGGTTAGAGCGTCCGGCCGGAGTGCGGAAGGTCGCGGGTTCGATCCCCGACCGCGTCATACCAAAAGACGTTAAAATATGGTACTTGTTGGTCCCTGCCTGGCGCTCGGCATTAATGGGTACAACAAGGACTGGTCGGCTCGGAGTCAGTATAATGTGTTTGAGTGGGGTATTCATGCTTCACTGCGGCATGGTATCTCAGTGGGCTAGCACTATAAAACCAGCTTCAGTCTGGTCTAGTACAAGCAGCCGCACATACACATACACACGCATGCACGTCGTCATATGAGCGAAATATTCTCAAGCACGAATTTAAACCCAATTCCACCACCACCAACAAGATCTTACTCTCAGAGGGAGACTGATGCAACGTTTCCTCTCACCATTCATCCAGTTAGACGACCACTGCCCCTATTACATTCAGCGATGGATGATGTAGTGAAATGTCTGAGGCAGAGTCTTCTAAACAGAAGAGTTTCCACTCAAAACCTGTATGATGACAAATGGTCTTCGTTTTGAGAAGTTCTGTGCAGAGCGTTTGAAGAACCCAGTCAAAGATTCTCTTCATTTTATTGCGGAATTCCTCCTTTACCTGTGCAATACTCGTCATCTGAAGGGTGGTACAATCTCCCCCTACTTGGCAGTCCTCAAATCTGTGTTGGCCGCCAAGTCTAATAGGAACGTCTCCAAGATCGCTGAACTTCTGGTCACAGTGAAAGCTTTTGAGTTGGAGGACCTGAAGTTCAACTTCCGACCTCCAGCTTGGAATCTCAACATGGTTCTGCAACACCTTCGTGGATCTCTTTACGAGAGCAGCTTTTTGAGGACTTGTACAGGAAAACAGCCTTCCTCCTGGCTCTCGCTACGGCAGCCAGAGTCAGTGAGATTCATCACATAGAAGTAACGAGAATTCGCTTCTAACAGACACATCATGGTTCCGACCATTTGGGTTTCCTCTGGGACTTTGCCAAGAACCAGTTGGTCCACAAACGGACCGAATGTTCGTTGTTCCTTCTTTGTCCTCCACAGTGGGAAGAGCTGATGCAGAGGAACTCGTCCTGTGTCCTGTCACAGCCCTCAAAGAGGACACAGATAAATCATTAGCCAAGAGACGCTCAAGGAGACATTTTTTAATCCCATTCTCCTCTGTGGCCAAGGGTGAGGTAAACATGAACATCATCGCTTTGTGGCTTCGCTGGACCATCCTTGCAGCCTACGACTCAGCTGGTTCACATCACCCCCATCGCCATCAACCCACATGAGATTCGGGCCTTGGCGTCTACCATGCCATTATGGAGTCCCAACCATTATGGAGGGTTGTTTCTGGAGATCTAATACAGTCTTCACCAGCCAGGGATATGGCTGTCTAAGGTGTTCAGGGACTTCAGTACTTTGGTCCGCTAGCGGTAGCTCAGCAACGAACGCAGCCTTCCTATCTCTCTCGGTGATGATAATTTGTCCCTCACATCACCCACTCACTCACTACTGTCAGATCAACACGCACATTACATTCCTCACTGACCGGACCTCAGGATTTAGGATAAAACTACATGTTCTCACTGTCACTTGACGGGATTGAAGGCGTGCTTCCGTTTCATGGTAGAATTCAACAAGGATACTTATCGATCACGTTCCCAATCTTTGAGCAAGGTAACATGCACATTACCACGAGGTAAGGTAAGTATTTAAATATCTAAAATATTTAGATTATTCGGACATATGGTCATAGATTTGGGCATTGTTTCATCGTGTGGTGGAATGAACCAAACATCAAACAAAAACATTAACATTTAAGGCACTATTATTCTATATGCCTTATAAATATAACACATGTTTTATTTGCACAGACTCTACACTATCATGACGACGGGACGTTACACAGAGGTCATGCCTATGACAAGATCCTCCTGAAGGAAAAACACGTCAAAAAGGAAAAAGCAAGGTCAGAAAAACACGGCTACTATCTCTCTAAGTGATCTTGATGTTCTTCAATGGCATGTGTCTTAAAATATTTTCTTACGTCTTTGGTAAAAATAAGATATGATATATTTTTTTTAAAAACTTATGTGCATGAAAAGAAGCGTGTCATTTTTCTCAGTACAGAATATAAAGTGAGTGAGTGAGTGAGTTAACAGACAATGAAGTATCCACAGAATCATTTAAAAAGAATACTGGAGCAGCTGATGGGTTTATCTTGTTTTCAAGAGCTTTACAACCGGGCGAGAAGGTCCACGAGATATCAACCTCCGGAGGTAGGTGCTAAAGCTGACATAATTCATTTCATTATGCATTATACATGTATTACATTATGAGAATGATCATGAAAACATATGTAATATAGTATGACCAGAAATTATTGAGAATTTTAGGAATATGTTTAATTGGATTTCTAGTATAAACAACCTTGACCAGCTATCAAGTGCTTGGTTTCATTCAAGAGAAACAACTCCGTTAATCCTTTTTCATTAGTTTGTGAAGAGTTATCCCCTTTGTTTACTTGCTAGCAGACGACATTTTCAGTGATCCTCAGTATGGATGATTTAGAGAAGAGGTAGGTGATTTTAGAGTATTATAACAAGGACATCAGATCAGCTAAAGTGATTTCAAGTAGAACAGGCATCCCTTTGTCCACTGTTTATCGTATTTTGAAAAATATTGCAAATGGATATGGCATTGAGCACCAGGGAGGCGCAGGTAGGCCCAGAAAATTGACTGTCGGTGACAGGAGGCGGCTTGGTATTCTTGTTTCTGAAAACAAGCGAAGGAGTTTAGAAAACTTAAGGCTGGACATGATTGATAGAGGAACTGTGACTTTCTGTAAGGAGACAATTTGAACTGAGCTGCATGCAATGGGTTGGCAGAAAAGTCGAGGAATTCCATCACCGATCATGAAACCTGAACAAAAGGAGCGAAGGTTGAACTGGTGCTTACAGCATAGAAATTTTAACTGGGACAATGTGATTTTCTCAGATGAAAGTTCTGTGTGGCTGTTTTCTAATACACTGAAATTCTAGACCAAACAAACTGAAAAACCTTTGTATCAGCGCCCAAAGTACAGTCCGAAATTTAACGTGTGGGGTGGCATATCTGTGTTAGGGGCAACGCCCCTCTGTGTATTTGAAGGGAATATGAACAGTGAGCGGTACACAGATATTCTCGAGGGACATTTACTTCCATCTGCTCACGTGTTCTATGGAAATTTTTGGATTTTCCAGCAGGACAACGATCCAAAACATCGTTCAAAGCATTGACAGGCCTGGTTTCGAACCCAAAATGTGACATTATTAGATTGGCCAAGCTATAGCCCTGACCTAAATCCATAGAAAATGTTTGGGGACTTATGAAGGAAAGTGTCAATAAGACAAATCTGACAAATATTGCTGAAAAGAAAGAAGAGGTAGTCCGATATTGGGACAGCATGGACCACGACTTTCTAACTTCTTTGATCAGTAGTATGCCCCGCCGCATTGAAGCCTGCATTGCTGCCCATGGTGACTTGACAAAATACTAACTGTTCACCTGTCTTTGAATCTGGAGTTATGTTCTGCTAATATTCACATTTAATATGTGAGTAATGAGTGAAAAAAATAATAAATTTACAATCTTTAAATTCTCAATAATTTCTGGTTGTACTGTATTTATCTTCATGGAAGTTAAGTAATTATGATAGACATGTGTACGCTAATAATTTACATTTACCATTTTTCAATTCAACAGATTTCCCTGATATATGGACTGCTTCGACAACCAACATACACCTGGACGGAAAGAGGTTTGTTATGGAAATGTTGTCACAAAATGTGTCTGAAACTAAAGGACGACTTGAACGTTTATTAATAAGTATCGTCTCATACATACAACCTTCTGTTTTGTGGACGGTAATAAATGATGATGTTTACTCTTAGGAAACAGGGTATATGTCTTATGGTGTATTTCATTCCAGCCGTGTCAACAGTCCACTGATAGATAAAGATGTGCAGGGTCTGGCACAGGACACACTTGAAATCAAAATGGTATGTGGAAAGTGCACAGGTTTGAAATTTGTGTTGGATGATGGGTGCACTCGAAAGTGTCCTTGGTATTCTGGGACAGAACAGGTCCCTGGTAACTTATATTAGTCTTGTGGTGATTGTGCTATTTGAGGTTAAAAGTGTTTCAGTCTCAAATGATATGCCTTTGGATATAGTCCCAAGTATCGTTTGCTTCGCTGATGAGGTGAATATCCCTCAGTGCTGTTAAACAATATTTGCTTTCTCTACTGACAGCAATGTGATGATTTTTGTCACTGCAGAGAAAGGTGCATAAACGAATCCACGACGTGCAACAGAACATATCTCACTACCTGCAGTGTGTGCATATGTATCCCGCGAAAGGTAAAACTTGCCAGTAAAGAGGATCCTGCTCTCACAATGAAAAGAATGTGAGAGTGGTAAATTCTATTGAACGAAACGAAAAATATTTCATGCAATAATTGCAAATTTATTAAACAGGAGGTGCTTGCTAAACATTAAAAACAGTGTTTTTATGGGCGTAACACCGTGACCATTTTTCTTGTATTTACACGTACAATAAAATATCTCATATTCCACTATATTGACCTGTTGTATAGGTGACGCTAACCGAACCCAGTGTGTACAGGAACTCCGGGAGATTCTACAGGCACTTCACCCAGAGGACTACAAGGAGTTCGTCAACTCGGTTCTTAACGTGTCTTGTGGAGCAGCGGAGTCCAACTGTTCGGTGGAAAGACTCGTCTTCATAGATATTGTCGCCAGAATTGCTGATGAAATATCTCAAGAACTTATCGTCAAACATGTTCTCAACAGGACAGACCCCAACGAAGAGGAACTACGACATGTGTTTATACACTGCATTGCAATAGCGAAGCCGATCATGGTTGGTACATGTGCATATAACCGTGAATGGTTATATAGAACATATGGAGTATAGAAGAAACTTGACCTCAAAAAGTAGTGTTGATCAAGCAATGATACTAATGTTAACAACTGAATTTATCATAGGTCATGTAATCTGTGTATTGCTTATAGATGTGTGTAATTACTATTTCTAGCCAATAAATGATATATTTCCACATTTTAGCAAGTCGTCCGTGCTGTAGAGGGTTACTGCTTTGGTGTTGGAGATCAGCATCATGGTATGTCATTGAAACATTGACAGTAAGCAGCTGTATATTACTTATTATAAGAAAAAGCAATTCGTTCATATATTACACTGTAAGTTCTTTCTTTCTTGGGGTATGTATCAATCTTTTTATTAACAATGTTTCTTATGTATGTTTGACAGGTTCAATAAATCTGACAGTGGTACAAACTCGGGCGTGTTTGGCTGTGGGATCTCTTGCTAGGAACCTTCATCTCTACTCGAATTCTTCAGATGCTGTCAGACTGGTTGAGAAGATCGAGTCATGGATCACTAAACACGAAATGCGTAAAGATACCATCTCTCATTGTTGTACTCTGAATTATACACTGGCATCAATATTTTACAAAATACTGATAGTTTAAGATATATAAGATGCGTCTGTTATTTTTGTGTTTTGATGCTAGTACACAGGACATCTTGATAATAATGTTTATTGTTCGATCAGCCATAACATGTCAAAGAGTTTAAAGGAGAAAAATCTTTCGCTGCAGTTTTAAACCATAATGTACACACGTCAGGGTAATTTATGCCATGAAGCCATGTGTCTATGTCTTGCAGTATTTCCGGCTTTCTATCAAAAGGCTAACAGACCGTCTTATAACAGGAATACAGTTTAAACCACCTCAAATAAACTGGGACCTATGATACACAGCAATATTTAAAAGTGTGTGTTTTTCGTTCATAGATCCTCACTACAGGCACAAAAGGTCAGTCCGTATTGAAAAGGATAGTCACTACATTATCTCCAAGAAGATACTGCTTCACAGCCTTGGAAATGCTGGTCATCCACAATCACTCAACAGAATTATCTCCCTTACTTCACCTGGACACGGTCACCACGACTGGAGACGTGCGGCAGTTGAGGCACTAAGGCACTATCGGTGTAACCAGGTACAAAGACAACAAAGAAATATATCTTAAAGTTCATGTTTTGTAAAGACAGAGAGCAGGTTTTACAAATATAACAATGTCCATAATACTCTGAAAAGTATTTTAGTCATTAATTATGAGCATATAAACCGTATAATATTAAATGTTTCGATACAGATTCTTGTACCGTTGTCAAGCAGGAGAATCTGTATCGAAAGGGCGCACTCAAGAAATAAGTTATAACCCGTAGGTTACATATATACATTGCTATGTATATACCTTGTCACTTTGTCATTACTGAATTTATCAAACAAATTAAAATAACTATAATTTATGTTAGGATCCACTAGATAACCTCAAAGCCTTAAGAAGTATAGAATAAATTAAATTATTCCTGATTTTTGATTGATCCTTGTCAGTCAGTTGCTCAGTTGTAATCATTTATACACAACACGGCACGACTTGTGAATTTTGATAACATTTTAACAGAGTGCGGGAGCATTGCTTGAGAGTGCTCTTCGAGATGCCAAGCAGAGTGTTAGACGAGCAGCCAGATACCTGTACCTCAAGCATCCAAGGGCAAACAACTTAACACATGAACAACAGAACATTATTCTGAGGTACTGGATACTGCAAAGAACGTACAACGAAATATATTATTATAGACTAATAACGTGATTTCATGTGCAAAGCATTTCGACAACCACATTTTCATTCAATCGAAAAGACTGATACAACAATTACTTCAAAACAGTTTCTGTGAATCATTTTCTTTGCCACAATTATATTGAACACGTTCATCTTGACGACCTAAGGGTAATTCCGGAAATGCGCATTTTGCTTTTTGTTTCAGCCACTCTTACGCATGGCCAGTAATTGCCAGAATGAGGAGAAGCGTGTTAGATGCTGTTCTCTTCCAGTTTAGATTAGCTTTGCCTCACGTGGACTGGAAAAAAGAGATAGGGAACAGTGCCATTGGGGCCAGTTTTGGTGTCCTCTTTGAAAACGAAATGTCAGCAGTTTTCCGTAAGTTCTGTAAACAGCAAGCAGCTGATAATAAGTTAAATCCTGGTTCCAGTTATCAAACAGCACTTGAGAAAGGCCATCAAGAAAATAAGTTGACTGGCGTTATCTACACTCTCTATCGTAAATGACTTTTAATCAGCAAAGGAATTGCACTTTTGGCATTTTGGGGTAAGCCCAGGTAATTCACTTGCGCTATGTATTACGTTTTTCTTGTCTAGTAGTTCGACCAATAACCATTTTGCCTTGTTTGAAACAACTTCTCTGTCACTGAAATCAATGCTTAAAAAACTATATTTACAATAAATAAACTTTGTGTAATGTGTTTTGTTTTTCACTATAGTTTGTAATCTACTTTTAGGACCTCTAAGCGGCTTTGTGGATATCGATATCCATGACAAATTATGGGCTGAGGCACACATTAGTATCGTTGGCATTCACATCGACATCCTCCTCATTGAACTATGTTACAAGGGCAGACTGGAGTACAATGCAAACAAATTTAAGGTAAGTACCAAGTCTCTTCTTCTCTTCCATGTAGTACTTAGACCTCGCAATGTAACAAGCATATGATAATACCTCATATAACTATTTTCCACTTCAGGACATCAGCGTTGGGTTAGTCCAGAACATTGCAGGAGCCTTCGATGACATGGCCAAAGAGATCATGAAGCCCATGACTGATGAAACCACCAGGATGACCTCTCAGTTTTTGGAACCAGATGGCAAAACAACGAAGAGCAACTTTGAGCCTCTTGCAAAAGCAGTAAAAGATCTCCCAGTGAAAACCGATGCGGCCCTCTCCTCGGTTTTGGAACTAAATACGCTGACTCAGCAGTTTCAGAGTATGCCCTGGGTGACTCGTCTTCAGCAAGCCGTGGACCATGCGCAAGCATTGGTAGAAGGAATAAACACTGATGCCCTCAATTTCTACAAGGTAACCAGGTATCTCTATGTCGCAGTAATATATTAATACAACTTGTTTGTTACCTGCATTTGTTAGGCTAACAGAAATAGAATAATTTCATACTTTGTTTCACAGACAGCAGTCATATAGATCGATTATTGTGCAAATAAAGTGCGAAACAAACAAAACGTCAATTTTCTAGGTCAACAGGCACCTGATAAAGTTAAAATGGTTCATGCTACATGTTTCCTATGTGGAAGATTTTGGGCCTGAGAGTGAAGACAGGGAAGAAGATGCTCGTGTTTTGAAATGTAGCCAAAACACTTCTCATGTATTAGTTTCGAAATTACAGAAAATATCTGATGGAAGTATCGTGGCCTTGCCGGTGGGAGAAAAGGAAATAATGGACAGTGTCAACACAGCAAGCAGCCTGATGGGCAAAATAGCCAAATTTCCAAAGCAAGCGTTCTCACACTTAGAAAAAGCCAAACTTGGGTAAATATGAATAATTTCAAGGACATTATTTATCATAATGAAATCTGAATGTGTTAATAGGATATCAATTCAGACACCAGGTGTCAACAAACCCGAACATCTACAAATCGTCTTGTTTGACATATCCAATGTTTTTTTAAAGAATATATATTCTGGCAAATTTATTTCTGAAGTTTCGTTTGTTTTTCCGCGAATCTGTGACCTACGTTTAAAGACATTACTAATTGACAAATATACATTTCAGATTCCAGCTTGGAATGGGTCGAATATTCTCAGCAAATTCTGTCATCAGGAAAGCAACTTCTTTGCTGAAAGGTAACTTCATTCTTTAAAATGTGTAATCATAAATTAAAAGTCATGGTGGTTCTAGAGTTGGGAATTTCGAATAATGAACCTATGTTTATATTTACAGTTAATATATTATTCATCGTATAAGTGTTTTTGTCAGTGAAAATCGTCACAGAAAATGCATGGAATAAAGTTCCCAAAAAGAAAAGGACAAGCAGGGAATCACCATTATAAAATACTCTTAAAAAGTAGGGAAACATTTTTTATAATTTACGATTGAAATATATCGGAGTCACTCAATGTTGATATGCAAATAATGAATGTTTAGGGTGCATTGCTATTTGCACTTCCTTATGGCCTTAATTGTTTGCACAGTAATCGCTCTAAAAAAAATATTGGTATATGTCGTGGAATTTGTATGTGTACGATTTTCATTTTCAAACATGTGTGATGCAAGAGAGAGAGAGAGAGAGTCTTTATTTCCTCCAGTAGTTACCGAAGATTACAAACAAAAACATCATATTATATTAGAACACGTACATGAATATTAATAATTGGATGTTTAGAGATATATGTACAGAAATTTATGACATGAAGAGAATCATTCTGTATAACAGTTCACAAGGTGTGGTTTCAGGTCATATACATACAAAGAAAAGCGTAACAGTATCGTTTCCCATAGTGTTGAATCTATAGAGTTATAAAAGTCGTTTTCTGCTCCGAAGAGAAATGACAACATATCTTGTTCACCTTGCATTTCAAATATTACGTAAGTTTCAACATCAAGTTTATCAATTAAGTATGCAAAGAAATCATTTCGTTGTTGTATTAGGTTTTCACAGTGGAGAAGTATGTGGAAATCATAGTCAAATGTTTGTTTATTACAAAGAGCACACTCTTTCGAGATTTTACCTCTTGATAATATTTTGACACAAAATTGCAAGGAATATTTATAATTAGGGTGTTTATATGCCAGTTGCCAGAAAGTATGGTAAGAGAGTGTAGTATGAGTTGTTGCATAAAATGACATGCTTGAACGATAGAGAGTTTGTGATCGCCATAATTGTTCTTCATAACTATGTACAGTAGCATTTACAATTCTTCTCCATACCCGTTTTGGAGGAACTATGCCTTGAGCAATATAATTGTCAACAAATGTATTTAGATTATACTTTTCAGATATTGATAAAAGATCATCACAGATGTTGTTCGATTTTACTGAAGTTGCAATAGCAGCACAAAAGATATGTTTTGCAAAGTTGTTACACTCAGTGTTACATAGTCGCCCAAGAAATAGTAGTTTACATTTATCGATATACCCAGTTAGTGACCATAATCCAAAAATTTGCAATGGTAGATATTGATGATGACCTCTTATCAAGACCTTGCACAAGACGAGCAAAGTATCTTTGTGTTTGTTCAAAGGTGTCAGCCTGTTGGACTTTGATGTTTGGTAATACTTCACAGCCATAGAGACTAGTTTTAAGAATCATTCTGAGCCATATTTTAACACAAGTGATTGGATGTAGGTCAGAATCATTCAGTCCAATAGATCTAAGTGAGTTTACATTCTGTCTTGCTTTCTGACAATACTTTTCACTTCTAGTTTTTGTTGAGAGGTTACTTGTAAAGAGTACACCCCCATATACGGTAGATTCTGATAAGGGGATTGGGATGTTACCAATGCTACAGTGGACGTTTACATCATAGCCTTTTCTTTTGCTAAAAACGATGATGGTACTTTGTGATGGGTTATATGTTAGACGCCATTTAGAAGCGTATGAAGAGACAATATCCAGTGATACCTGTACGCCATTAGGGGATGTGCTTATGAGTGTAGTATCGTCAGCAAGCAAGACAGCTGGAACGTCCATACCAAAGACACGGATACCAAAGCCAGCTTCTCTTAAAGATGTAATTAGGTCATTAATAAAAATGAGAAAAAACCAAGAGGATATAACCCTCCCTTGTCCAACACCTTGTTTGACCAAGTACATATCTGACCGCTCGCCGAGGTATGCAACAAATGATTGGCTATTGGTGTAACAGTGATGTAACAGTTTCCATGTATTACCTCTAATACCAAGTTCATGAAGCTTATAGAATAAACCATCATGCCAAATTCTGTCGAATGCTTTTGCATTGTCGAGAAAGGCTGTAAAGACAGGGGAATCTCTATGGTTATAGTATTGTATACTCTCCATGAGAGTAAACACAGACATTATGGCTCCATGCTCTTTTCGAAATTATTGGTATATGTCGTGGAATTTGTATGTGTACGATTTTCATTTTCAAACATGTGTGATGCAAGATGATTCCAAAATTAATGAACTACAGTGATTTATCGACCTTCCTCAAAACTGTCAAAATTAACAATGTCACTCCATGTAGTGCACGTGCATCCCTTGCGCTGTGTTTTAGGGTTATGACAATGAAAAGTGATGGTGCGTTCATACGATGTCTGTCGTTGAAAAGATTATACTTCCTATCTACATTGAAAGTTCAGGCTCACCTACTTTTTCAAGAGCATAAATCAGGATGATGATACATTGTTGAAGGGCAAAGCTCATCCTGGATGTCAACAGGAAGCGAGATTACACACGTCATATCTTCAGTAAAAAGCATTTTGTCATCTGGGTTCAAAAGACACAGGAGAAGGAAGAGAACACCGTCACCGTTTGATCAGGTTAATGATCTCCTCGACAAAGTGGTACGTACAAACTCACTGTATCTTTAACTGAATCATTCAACAGTGGTAAAACGGTCAACTGACAAGTGTATATATTCGTATGAGGATGTTTGGAAACTGAAATGCAGAAACTAACCCAGAAATCGGCTAGTACAGATTTAAAAGTTTAAATACAATTTAATAAATGACATAGATGGTCAATAATTATCAATGAACAGACCATATCAAAACACAGTTTTAGGTTTACAATTGCAACAGACAGTATGATGGTTCAAATAACGGGCAGCAGTAACAGGCCCCTATTTACTATCGAATGTTGGTATAATTTGATTAAAGAATTCTGCGAATAACATCAGCAGTAATATCACTCTAAATTGAAGTCATATATACAGGGTGATTCATCAGATGAAATATACCGGAAAGTTGAGACACAGACCAATCAAGTCATTTCACATCTGGAATCCCTGAGGGACAAAGAACCGCAAGCGTTCCAAGAAGGACTTGGCCATCAAAAACTCACCACTGAAACAATACAAAAGAACTTCCAATTGTTTCAAGAGGCGTAAGTAGCACCTCACTGGTTTACACAAACCTATATAATTTTTTTAAACGATATTTGATCCTCGAGATACTTAAAACCTGGGTTATTTCGTCTCTGCCAGATGTCCTCGTTTTCATTTGGTCAACTTTATGAGCAGCTTGAAGGGCATGGTTTCATTCCATAACACCAAGAACATGAAGGCGATCACATTAGGAGATGCCTTCTTTTGCCAAGATATCTTATCTCTAGATTTCGGAAAGTAGCACGTTCGCTGGATATTAATGAAAACCAAAACTTCATTCTTATGGATATATGATTAAATTTGTTGGAAAACATATTTTATTGCTTATCAGCTGCCCAGTTTCCATTCCTTATGGCCAATACACTTCAACCAGCCTGAACATCGCCTGAAGAAGGTTTGTGATCTGTAGTAGTCTCTCTATATTGACGTAATTCTTATAGTATTGCTTTGAATGTGTACCAGAAAAGCGAAGTACATAGGCAGTACATATAACTTTCTACTTACAATCCTCAGTATAGAAAAGATAAAGTCGACCATACAGTCACTATTTGGATCGAAGTTTCATCCCTCATTTCCTGGTCAAAGACGTCCTTCAGATTCTAGTTGCGGTAAAGGGACATATCCATCTGACACCAGGAGCAAATATGGAACTGCAGGGATCGACCTCGTGTTGAATAAAGGATGGAAGGTATGGAGTTTTGTTACAAGGTTTAATTATTTTTACAACACATTTCTGTTCTTCAGTTTTGAAAATAAGTGTGTGTCTAGTATTTGAAGAGGGTTTAACTGAACACTGTTATAACCTATTCAATGTCTGTGTGAAATACATGCAAATACTTCGTCTTTACTGTTTTGTTGACCAACACACTCCTCCCAGCCTATGGACATTGGCCGATGGCATACATACGTCATCATTAACCAATATACAAATATATATATGTAATTTTGACAGTATGGTAAAAAGTATTTTGTAAATGTATTGTTTTTTCGCTCGTAGAGTAACTGATGGTTACGTTCTGACTAATGAGTGGAAAAAGAAGTCGGTGAAAGGCAACCAAGCTGCATCTAGTGCCCTTGTACTGTTTTCCTGAGAGCACAGAAAATGGAACTTTAAAGCCATTCCATTTCTAATCGTGTGAATTTCCATGCTGGAAACCAACACAAATATTATACTTCCAGGTATTCAAACAGTCGTAGCGGTCAAATGGTATCAACCAATTGTGTAAAGATAAGTTTCTATTTACACATTTGTGAGTATATATGGAAAGCTATTATTATATGCACTATTCCTTCACCAGGTCATAAACCCGGTAGCTGGTATAGTTCGCAAGACTGGCGCGTCTGAGGTCACCATCAAACCGACTGATTCAGACTTCAAACAGTATGAGATTATCATAGCCAACATTAATCCCTCAGTTGGCGATGAGGATAAACATTTTGAACAGGCACAGGTAATAGGAACATCGGGAGGCAACAACGGGTGTGACTGGCCTCACATCCATCTTGCTGTTAAGAAGAAATCCCAAGGCCCGGGTGATGACTTGTGCTTCTACATGGACCCTTCACCCTTTGTCGATACTTTGAAACTAAAACCTGTCTGGCATCAAGAATGCAAAGACTTCACATTTAAACACATCGGACAGGTTGCAGATCTGATATCGATGCCAAATGTCTTGTCAGAGGTCATCGGAAAGCTGAAGCGAGAAGCACTAGACTGGCTGAAAGGGTATTCTGTTAAACTGCTCAACAAAATCATTCCCCCAGATTCGGAACTAGGGAAGGCCATGAGCTTCATAAGCAGTAAGCTCGGATCTCTGTCTGACGTAACACAACTGTTCACAGGATTAGGGTAATTACCATAATTATTCTGTGTGCGATTGCGATGAACTTTGCATAATTGTGAAAACATAATTTGTTTTCTGTCATATTATATTCAAAAGCATTTTTCAACTTACAAACCTTTACATGTTTTCAAGTGTGAGCAATAAATCTTTGATGAATATATTTCAGGGGCCATATGAATAATTTCCTCTCAACAATAAAAGCCAATGTCAAGGGGAAGGCTTTTGGAGCATTTTCTGGAATGTTAATGGCAAATGACCGCTTGAAGAGCCGTTTTCCAAAACTGTCTCGTTTGATTGGAAACGCAACGTCATTACTGAAGAAAGTACCAATCGGGAATCTGAAAACATTTGCTACTGGTGGTCTTGGTAAACATCTTGGACGATTTGGAATTCTACCCAAAGGAGGGAGATTAGCCAGCACGTCTCTCCTGAAGACTTCCATGTTTAAAAGTAAGAACCCCCACAACGATGTCAATAAAACTCTAAAGTTTCATAATCCATAGAAATTAATATAGCAACCCTGCATATGTATGTTAGAGACCGTTTAACTCCTTGATTAAGGTAAACATTATTCATGTGTTATATGAAATAGCATGGCTTAGTGAATACACAATATTAATGTCATTTAGAAAGTGGTAAAATGTGGACTCAACCCAACAAAAGTACTAAAATATGTACTTTCCTAAGAAAGTATAATTCCAAATATAATATATGTTGCTAGTTTCGTAGTTATTACGACTTGACTCTTCACGAATACACTTTTCATGTCATTAATATGACTTGCGTTATCTGTGGTTGAATGGTGGAACAAGGCGGTGTACTTCGGAGGGCAAAGATACGTCGTAATTATGCACCTTGATTTGCCAGTACCACATCCTTGCTCATGAGTTTCTACCAAGGCTGTACACGCTAAGGGCTTTAATGACTTAAGGAGGTTGGATACAAAATAACAAAATGTCAAGAAATTGCTAAATTTGGTTCATTTTGTAGAAAAATGTGTCCCGAATCTAATTATGTAATAAACATAGCAAGTCACCACGGCATTTGTTTGACAAGTGGCGCCCCCTTGTGGCACCGTCTGTAAAAAAGTAATATGTCATAAAGGTTCTCTTAAAAGTAAATTGTTAACTTTTGTTATTCAATATGTGTTTTTTTATATAGATATTTCAGTATTGAAATGAAATAAAGCAGGAAAATCAATTTCCAAGGCAGTATGCAGGATTTGACACATTAACTTCTTAAAAAACAGGAATTACAAAAGAAATAGTGATTCATCAATGAAAAAAAGATTAATATAACAAGATCTTTGTATAAAATGAATTTATATATAGTAAATTCATACTACATTAATATTCAAAAATGAAAAAAAATTATATTACCAGAGAGAATCAACATTATCTCCAATGAAAACAGCATACCCATATTCAATTTGATAAGGGGAGATAACTCTCGCCCAGGTTTACCTCAGGATAAATGTTTGTGTGGCCAAAATATCATGAAGTATGATTAGAAGTAAGATAAAGGGAAATTACTGCGTAACATAAATACGCTCTCCTACTGTCACATCCCGTCGCATACGGTATGCGTACAAACCACGGTACCCAACCTCTTAAACTCTTTCATCCAAAGTCAAGATGACATGAGTACATCATGTTACTAAGTATTATTCAAAACACGTTAAACTCCAACTGGTACAACTGAGCCGCTGTCCGATGTGCCTCCTCACACTTGAGCAAATATACCCTTTTCCAAATTTCATAGTAGTTAGTCTTTAGTATGAAGTTTAAATATCGATGTAACTTAGTTGGATTCATGTTGTCACATTTTGGTTTCAGTGTGTGAAAATTTCAAGACTGGCTTCCTGTTTGGACATGACCAGATGTGTACAGCTAATGAAGATTGTCTTGGATTCTCTTGTCACATTGATATACCGCTGAGCCGTATCAAGGGTGGGATCTCATTGAAAGTCAGGGTTCATCCTCTTGAGGCTAAGGTTGATGTTGAACTGAACGGTGAAGGAAAGATTGCTCCTAAAGGTAACGCTATGGATTTTAAATTCGCAAGTAATGGTAGACATGTTATAAATTATGGTGACAATTGACCTGGCTTTCCTTGTGTTTGTAATTGATGGCAGAGGGACAGGATATGCCCACGTTTTCGCGAATACCAGATGTGGCCACTTTTTTACACTTATTGATATATCAATGCAGTTGGCCACTTTTTTACACTTATTGATATATCAATGCAGTTGATTTAGTCAGCATCTGCCTAACAAATATTTCTTATGATTAGATTAATATGTTTTTCTTTCTCAAGATGTTGCCTTTATCGATTGTATTCATGCACTTATCTTATCATTGCATATATAAACTAGCATATAGATTATTTTCCCCACATAACAAAACCAAAACTAAAAAATATGCTATAGGAATTATAGAAACGAATGAAAGTTTGGCATAATGATTGATAACGTCCTTTCCACATTGTTGTATAACATATGGTAATAGTGTCTCTGTAATAGGTAACAGTGTCTCCAGGACTGGGGTTCGACTTGGACCAGTCTCATTCAGTCTCCAGAGTTCTGTTGAAATACAGAGAGGCGGACTGGTAGTCTCTCTATCTGTCAAGCCATGCTACAGATCGATGTGTCTTCATGACATCAAAATCATCAAGCACCTAGCTTTTCATCACAGGCACAAGCGGGATATTTCTGGTACGTCGTTTTACAATGCATTTATGTTGATGGCTGTTTAGGGTAGACTAACGATACCGTTGTTATTCTTTGTTTAACGTTGTCACCGCCTGTTTTCAAATGACCGGATGCTGATCAACCTTCAGTTTTCTGGTGATCTATAGCCCGTTCTAATATTGTACTGTTGTCTCTCCTGATATATTTGTATGATAGCGTACTAGTTTTAAATTAAGAGCTGTAATATTCTAGTAGTTTTGCTGTCCTTCGATGACAGGTTTTTACGTTATACATTTGTTGATTTGAATATGGATATCAACTGTTCTCGTCACGATATGGCTGCAATATTGCCGATGTGACGTTAAATTTTAACTCACTCACTCACTCAAATGACCAGTACAAAACTGCCTCCAAACTGGCTTGACAAAACATATCCTGGGGACCGATTTCCTTAAAAGTCTTTGAGAATTATACATATCGACTGAATCTTAATGTACAGATGTAGGCAATGGACAGATGTTGACACATTGTATAACGTGATATATATCTATCGGGTAATAGATGACATATGAAGTTAAATTTTGTTAAACATTCTTATTCATATTTTGATATCACACTCTTAAATGTTTAAAATGTCCCTGAGAGTTATGGCTAATTTCATCAATATCCTGAACCACCGTATTTCCAATAATATTATGGATATATTTCAAATTCAGTTTTCTACTCACTGCCTTACAGAACACCCAAAACCTGAAACTGATCATTTTTTAGAAGCCGATCATTTCATAATGGGGCGATTAGATATTTCTGAAATAGATAATTTGGGTTGAAACTGTACTGGATAAAAAAAATGGTTCATTGGTCATGTCCTGAATGATATAAAATGCGCGTTTTAAAGAAGTGACAGAAAGTAGTCTATTTATGTGTTCCTTTAATCAATCTTAAGCCCTCCTGTCTTTATCCATACGTGTGTATTTGTAAACAGCTACTATACAGAACGGCATTACCAGCCTGGAAAACATGGACCTATCCTCAATCACGGATCAGCTGACTAACCTCAATATCCCTGGCAAAGAGTTCGTAGGACAGATGAATGAAATGTTGGATGGAATACGAACAAAGGTGCGACACGTGGTTTCATGAAAATTATAAGTAATGGGCGTTATGTGGAAGATATCTTAGCTTTTCAGAATGTATTTTATTGAGGAGTGAGAAATAAAGCAAATTTATATTTGGCGTATCTTTCTTAGCTTTGTGCGTCATTTTACGATAAATACATTGGATAGGACGTCACTGAATATAACGAAACGATGTCTTGTTGGTCACAATTTGACCCTTGGCAACCATTTATGTTGTATTTTGTTTGACGCTTCAAAGTCCTGTTCATTCATTTTGGTACTTGTCCTGGTGTTAAGTGTATTAAACATATATTTTTACCCAGTGGAATCATGCAGTGAGAACTGCCTGATGAATGCCACGTGTTTGGCAAATTTCAAAAGCTTATATGAAAGCTGTATCTTACAGAATAGTGTGAATACCCATACAAAATGGTATTCTAATAAAAAAATTTCTTTCCAGATAACAGAAGCAAAAGCTGACCCAGTTGGGGCTTTAACGGAGGAGATGAAAGCTGAAGATGATTATGAAGACAAGCAGGATTATCCAAATGGAAAACCCCTCTATTTTCCCTTCTTCCCACCAGGCGCCATGACGTTCCCTTATCCAGCAGGGCCAGTTGTATTTGTCATATGTAAGTAACCCCTGAAAGAAGATTGATGATGACTGAGAAAGATTGAGATGAGACTAGTGAAGTGAATCCTTGAAACAGCATATTTCAGATTTTGAAAAAATCAGCGATAGTGCGCGTTAATTATCAAACTTCATGGATATTAAAACATCACAAAGTGTCATAATCAGCCTGCATCAAATATTGAATACGACTCAATAAATATTGTAGTTCGATATGTCCGCCTCAATGCTTCAACCAGCCGTCAGTCATGAGACTTGGCTTCGGAAATGGGAAAATCTGCTATTGCATGTATTCCTCAAATATATATATGTTAATATCATTTCCAAAATAACATAAAACCAACAACAACAACAGGATTTAATAGTGGTATATCAACACATCACTGTTTGCTCATGTGTAAGTTCAGCCGCCTCTTCGAGAATCAGTTTCCTCAACCGAACATCTAACATTTATTTCCATTACCTTTACTCAAATAGCGATTAAACCAAGTGGTTGCAAACAAAAACAAATAATGATTGCACCCCGCATAAACACATACATAGGCATGTTAAGTGTTCACCTTATCAATCACGGAAATACATGAGTGTTTTTATCGTTTTCATGACATGAGTATTTATCAATGAAAATATGCATACTCAGACAGACATCAACAGAGCTCCCATTGTTTTTATATTTACACAAGTCAGTAAGTTTTGAGGAACCGTATCTTTGTGCTTAACAACCCTGCAAGTATGGGTGGATTCCACCGGTGTGTGATTTTAGCGATGACGCTAAGTATATTTGTGCGCTGCGTGTCATCGTCTTGGAGGCCGTTAGATGACTCCGTAACGTTGAACAAAGATGGACGTCATTGGCACCAGTATGGACGCGAAGAGCTGCTGGCGCTGAAGGAAACCGCGTTGGAGTTGAAAGGACTTAGAGACTGCTCCCGGAATGTGCATCAGACAAGGGGAATAATTCAAATTCAGGATCAAAAGTTACTAGGAAACGAGGTTAGCGGGGAGGAGTCCGCCGATGGTTCGGGCAAGCAAATCAAGACCACCTCTTCCAATTGTTCTATTATCAAACATTAGGTCTCTTGAGAATAAACTTGACGAACTTACGGCAAGCACAAAATATTTGTACGAATTCAGAGACAGTTGCATTCTCGGTTTCACGGAGACATGGCTATCACCCTCCGTGGACAGTAACACCCTCTATTTGGAAGGATTTGGTACTCCAGTTCGATTAGACAGAGATTCAGATGCTACAGGTAAATCTGTTGGAGGAGGTGTAGGTATGTATATACTAGTAAATGAAAAGTGGTATCGTAACTATCTTGTGAGAGAAAGGATATGTTTACCAAACATGGAACTTCTATCAGTGTCTATGCGGCCTACTTATCTACCACGTGAATTCGGCCAGATCTTTGCTGTGAGTGTCTACATACCACCCAGTGCCGATAACAAACAAACAGCTGATGTAGTTCATAATCATGTTCAATCCCTAGAGCTGATTTGTCCTGATGCGCCGAAATTCACACTTGGAAATTTTAATGGATGTACCCTGAAGTCTGTGCTCCACACCTACGATCAGTATGTAACATGTTGAACACGGAAAGACAAGATCCTTGACTTGTGTTATGGTAACATCAAGAACGCCTACAAATCATATAGTTAACCACCCCTAGGAGTTTCGGACCATAATTCTGTGTATTTGCTGCCCAGATATCGTCAAAAGTTAAAAACAGAGAAGGCTATTGTAATCATGGAACAGAGAATCTATTGAAACCCTACAAGGATGTTTTGCGTGTACAGATTGAGACATGCTCTATGATGCAGAACAAACATTAGAAGATATGTGTGACGTCATTACGGATTATATAATTTTTCGTGTCAACAACATAATACCAGATAAAAAAATCCCAAAATTTTCCCAAACAACAAGCCCTGGATCACAAAAGAAATGAAATCTTTAATAAACGAAAAGAAACGAGCATACATGAAGAAAGATAGAATAAAACTCAAATGCATACAGAAGGACATCTTAAAGCTCGTGACTGTAAACTAGCATACAAAGAGAAAGTTGAGAGACAGTTTCAGCAAAGCTATCGGCAACAAGCCTGGCAAGGCGTGAACACGATGATTGGCAAGAGCAGGCGACCGCAGACAACCAACGCTGGGGATAATATAACCTTTGCTGAGGACCTCAACAATTTCTACAGCCGCTTTGATTGTCACGACTTTACCAATGAGAGAGCTCAAGCTAGTGAAGCCGTACAGGATAGTGAAAGTCATATCCATATATCAGAAGCTGACTTCATTCAAAGCTTCTCCAGAATTAACATCAGAAAAGCCAAAGGACCTGAAAACCTTGACGGCATTGTGTTGAAGGAGTGCAGACTTCAACTGTGTACAGTTTTCACTAGATTGTTTCAATTCTCAGTGAATACACACATTATTCCTTTGGTCTGGAAAACATCAGAAATTGTACCAGTTCCTAAAAGGACACATCCTAAAGAGCTCAACGACTACAGGCCAGTTGCTCTCACATCTATAGCAATGAAGTCGCTGGAACGCATCTTGTTGAGACATCTCCGTCAGGAAGTTGCCGACATACTGGACAGTTCGCCTACAGGTCAAGGAGAGGAGTTGTTGATGCCACACTGTCACTCCTTAATAATGTCTATAAACATCTAGAGACACCTAAGTCATACATCAGGATCCTCTTCGTTGACTTTTCATCTGCGTTCAACACTATCCAGCCATATATCATGATACAGAAACTGTTAGACATGGACGTTAACTCATACCTCATCAAGTGGATCGAAAACTTTCTTGTGGACAGACAGTAGTACGTGAAAATTAACGGGGCTGTATCGAATAAACGGACCACCAACACTGGTGCACCACAAGGCTGTGTAAGATCTCCTGTTCTTTTCACCCTCTACACTAATGATTGTGCAAGCTCGAATTTAACCTGTTCACCTGTAAAGTTCGCAGATGATGCAGCAATTGTCAGCAAACTGAACGACACTGATTCTGAAGAACTGTATAAAGAGGACATTACTCATTTTACGACTTGGTGTGCAGAAAACCACTTACTCGTAAATGTCACTAAAACAAAAGAACTGATAATTTACTTTCGGAGTAAACCCACAGAAATGCTTCCAGTGATAATCAACGGTGAATGTGTTGAGACAGTGTCGGAGTATAAGTATCTGGGAACCTTCATTGACTCTAAGCTGAACTTGAACTCTAACACTGAAGCCCTATACAAAACGTGTTAAGATCTCTTAATGTTAACCCATCTGTGATGTCATCTTTTTATGTAGCATTTATTCAGAGTATTTTAACATTTTCCTTCCATTGTTGGTACGGGTCTCTCTCAGTTCATTTCAAATAAAAAATAGACAAAATTGTTAACACTGTAAGTAAAATCGTTGGAGTCAGATTTGAATGTTTATCATCAATATATGAGCGGCAAATCGTGAATCAAGCTGTCAAAATGATATATCTGACCGTACTCACTCCTTAAATTCGGAAAACAACCTCCTCCCTTCAGGCCGCCGCTACAAATTAAAGTTCCAATTGTGAAAACTAAGAGAGCCCGTACATCCTTTATTCCAAGTACCATATCTCTCTTAAGCAAATGTGAAGATACCTAAATCAAAGAATTTATGTAAATATGTTTGGTATCTCTCTAATGTGTCAGTAGCACTGCTGATGTAACACAAATTCCTGAAAAGGCATTAAAGTATTATTCTATTCTATTCTTTTCTACTCTATTCTATTCTAAATCATCTCACGGGTATCAGATCAACCATTAATTGAACACCAAATTAGGTGAAGGTCACAAAAGATCGGATTGTCAAATTGGCTCACACTTTCCTAATGTGTTTAACTCAAACACCGATCACCTTTGACAAGTGTCCATTTTTATCCCCCAGGCATATAATGCGGGGAACGATAGTCAACGCCTCGTTCTTATCTGTCAATATTTCCGTTCAATATTTTCAACGAAATTCGGTAATATGTTTCAAACAGAACCTAAAGTGGTGCTTTTTGGTACTCACGGATTTTTTGCAATTTTATTTATTTTGATTTCCATTAAAACAATTTGGACTTGGTTTCCAAAGGAGGGGTGGATTTCCTTCCGGGGCACAACTTGAAAAGCATGAAAGATTTTTCATCCCAACCTGGTACATGTATTAACCATGGTCGGAAGTAGTGCATTTTGCTATTTCGCTATTTTCCCTGTTTCCATTGAAACAAGTTAAATTTTCGGAGCACAACTCGAAAACCGTTCAATATCTTTTATCAAAACTTGCCACATATATCAAACAGATCCTTAGCAGTGCCTTCTGCTATTTGCAGAATTTAAACATTTATATTTTTCTTTCTATTCCAGCATGCTACATGCTGTAACCAATGACGCCTTTTCTTATTTAGGAATTTTAAGAAAATATATTTGTTTCCTGTTTCCATGGCACCAAATTTACTTTGATTCTGTTCACAGTGATGTGTTTGGCTGAACCATATCTCTAAAACTAATAGGTATTCTTTCATCAACCTGTGTGCACACAAAGGTCTGGTTGTGAAATGGTGCCTTTGTGCTACTTTGTTCTTAAGAATTTATGTTGTGTTTGTTTCTATATGTTAGCATGTTTGATTTTTGTTTTTGTCAGGACCATATCGCGAAAGAGTATTAAGCATTCTTTCATGACACTACACACACACAAAAGCCAGGATGTCTAATGCTGCCTTTTGGTATTAGGAATTAATCAAATTTGCATTTTCCCTGTGTACAAAGCTGCAAATCCAAATGAGACAGAAAAATCTCTCATCAAGTAGGACTTTAAGGAACTGTCAGATGATTTGTACTTTACAATTTGTTTTGATGACTCTTTTAATATGCGGAATTCTAATCCTAATAGAAATTTCGTATTACTTCCAAAGAAAAAAACACACTTTTGTCATGTTCATATCGAGATCATTCACACACTAACATATTTGCAGATTTTAAATTCTGGCTGTATACTAGAATACACAGAATACTAGAAACATATTGTAGCAACACATATGGTTCAATGTTTTCATAGATCATGAGTTGGGTCAAGGTTATTCGACCGAAAGTGCTTTTCAACTGGCAGTTTCTTTCAGACTGTACGGAAGCGGTGGTATTACACCACCGGAAATGATTATAACATTCTTCTATTATCTGAATTAGTATGCACTTCCTTTAAGTGTCTGACATGATGATATTATGTCTAAAATGGTCATAACCGTTTTCCTTGCAGCTTTGGATGCTGGAGCAGAACTTGGGCAAGAGATTTCCGTGGATGTACAGACTGTCAAATCAACAATGTCAGTAAGTGAAATACAAAATCGTATGTAAAGATACTTAAGAGTAATGTAATGAAAAAGAGAAAAGTTCTGATTCTTTAAACTTTCAGTGAATGGGATTTAGACAACTGGAAGCAAACTGGGTAGACATACTTCACAGTGAATGGAAATGGATATGAACTCAGGCGGTTGTTCCACTGCCTCACTTGGTTAAGTGTAACTAAAAAAATAGTTGTTCTCTGACATTATGTTACTACAAACATGGACATGAGTTCCTTGAAATAAGAATTATTTAATGTTTTGTCGTTCTGTTTTGCATTAGACAAGTATAGGTCCATTTGTTGCCGGAAAAGTCAAAGCATCGTTTGGCATATCGATCATAATTGCATCTGCTGGAATATCTCTCACTGGATGGCTGATGAAAACAAGTTTTCCTTTCGTACTGGAGATGAACTACGCAAAAGTACCAACAGTTGCCACGTGAGTACATTTTTTAATCACTGCATTATAGCAAACGCAGATAAGGTATGGGGCATGTTCTATGCATAGTTTCTGTGGTATCAAATCGTTGACGTTTTGGTGATTATTATATTTTTCAGTGTCGGAACTTTCGAATGATGCAAGAAATAAATTTGCATTTGTAAACTGTCCAAAAGCACTCAAATACAATTTCCTTTGAAAACATCCGAAATACGGTTTATTCCTGACATACCGTGGAAGTCATTCCATTCAGCAGCCTTAGCTACCGCCTTTTTGGTCTATCAGGAGACCATATGAGTATATATATGTATGACTGGAACAGCTTAGAAAATTGGGTTACTATGCAACTAAATTATAAGATAATTCTAAACTTCATCAACGGCAGGCACGTGTCTGAAGGAATGATTTGCTAGCAGTATCACTTCACACTATTTGTTTGTGTGGTTGTTGTTTACCGTCGCACTCAGCAACAATATTCCACCTATATGGCCGCGATCTATAAATAATCTGTCTGGACCAATCCAGTGATCAGCAGCATGGACATCGATCTACGAAATTGGGATACGATGAAATGCGTCAAACAAGTCAGTGAGCCTGACCATCCGATCCCCTTGATCGCCTCTTACAACAAGTCGGCTGCTGAAAACCACCGGATCTTTACGGGTGCACATCACAGTCTGATTTGTAGGGTAGAATCTCCATATTATTGACAGGATGTTGTGATTGGCTTATGCTTTAGGGATAAGATATAATCACTCTTGTTATGGTTCCACTTATTGGTCATAATTGTTGTGGATGATAGCATAATGGAAACAAGTCGGACAAATGTTAACAGTCCTACTGAACATGGCCAGGACCTCCCATGGGAAGCATTTTAGTTGGAGTTAACATACATGTACTTGTTTAGCAGATCTTGAGGTAAAAAGTGGAACAACGTTCTTCCTCACCAATTCTTGTGTGAACCATCGTGTTTTTGCAGGGTGTTGTGAAATTAGCGTCTGCTGTATGATATTTTCAAAGGTACCTGTGTTTGGACAATCCGCATGCGTTTCTTGTACCCCTAATTGTTCTTCCACTATGCTGTATGTCATTGATCAGTAAGTTGCCTTTTGTTTTACTTGCGCCTATATACTATCATATAACCCATATCATTGTGAAACGATAATAGATTCAATCTATAATTTCAGAAAAAAACTTAATGTCGAGCTTACACCACTTGAACTACGACTAAGAGCATGGGTAAAAATACTTTTCATTATCAACATGCATTTTGACATTTGGCACTGGCGAAGCCCCACATACACTGGCACCATGTGGGAACACCAATATGATATAAACGATAACACTCCACCAAGATTCCCCAACTGTGACCACAGGAAGAGGTCATTGTCAGGAAGCTGTTCTGTCCGGCAACTTGATGGAAGGCATCCCAGTGACACAGCATTCATCCTGGAAGTTGACAGTGGGGATGAAAACAGCCCTCTCACTCTACACTATAGTATTGGTACTTCTCGAGGTGGAAGAGATGTGAAGTCACTGGTGGAGATGAGAGGACCCTCCTTAACATTGCCCACAGTTTCACTGCCTCATGGAGTACCTTTGTATTGGACAATAAGGGCTAGGAACACTCAAGGTATTGAGGCAACGGCTATGTGCATGCTCCACACCTATGACAATACAGTTCCAGATGGGAGGGTAGATGCTGCCTATCAGTTTACAAGTCATAGAACGGTGATCCAAGCCAACGTTGTCGTATTCGAAGATTCTCCACTAACACCTAATCACTCAGTTGCCGTTGGATACAGTCCTGGGGAGTTCGGAAAAGAAATTTTGGATTGGCAAATTCTGTACCTGGAAAACACAAATGAGAGAAAAGGTGTTATGTCCGAATTGAAAATGTTTGCCCCATCTAAGCCTGGAAAGTTGTCTTCTGCTCCATTTTCTACAGCTCATGCAGATAATGATATTGAATGTGCAAGACTGTGTTTGCAGACAGGTTCAAAGTGCATTTCCTTTGACTATGAAATGCATACTCAGTCTTGTGATCTCCAGGAAACAGTTGTCGGAGCTAAGGCGAAACTTCGTGCTGCTGCTTCCTATTTTCACTATGAAAGACTTGGAGTTGGTTACAGTGCTTTTCGGGAGTTCTCTCACTCAAACCTCGAACATGGCGCCCAGTATTTTATAAATGCAAAGATCACCAACACTCTAGGATATGTTGCCTACCTGCCATCAACTGGGACTCTAGCTGACTTTACTCCACCTGAACCTGGTCCTGTAGGAGAAGCTGCTTCAGATGTGTTGACAGCTGATGGATGTAAGGCAGCTGTGACTCAAAGATGCATCGATGTCACCAAGGAGCTCAATCACAGGTAAAACTGCCACCTTTGCCTTCTGCACTATGACAACATAAACATGTTAAAACATCCGAACAGAATATTATTCTATTGACGTGATGTCTTTTACAGAAAAATCATTGATGGGAGTGCTGGAAGAACGGTTTTTGGAGGCAACAAACCTCTTGACGATACGAAATACACACTCGCAAACAACTATATCTCAGGTAATCTACTTAAACACACATGCCAAGTGTCGCTATGAAAATCTGACATACAATGCCTGCGGAAGACCCATTGGGTAATGATTACATTTCCTTATGTAACTGTGGATAATTTGTTCTGTGTGGTTTGTTGTTATTTGTATTACTGTGTTTACTTTTTACAGGAAACTGCGATGGCTTCCACGACGACGAAAGTGGTATTTGGGGCTACACGTGGGCAGCTGGGACGTCTGTGTGTGGGTCTGATGTTGTGAAGTTCACTGATCCTCACGCTCAACTACAAACCAGGCAAGACTGGACCTACACCGGACTGGGCAAGAATCTCCATCTGGCTGATGGTCAGTACTATATCACCTTCCAAGCTATCAACAATGTTGTACACGGAGGAGCTTTGGTTACAACAGTGTGTCACTCTACACCTGTGACAGTTGACACGACACAGCCCGTAGTACATGAGGTAGGGGATTTGCTGTTTGATGAGGATTTTGATATCTTGGGCGTCTACTTCAATGTATCGGACTCTGGATCGGGTATTGCCAGGGTGGACTTTGGTCTGGGCAAAACAAAGTATGATGTATTTGTTAGATCTTACAGCCGTCATCCCTTCCTGAACCGAGCTGACCCATACCTTGTGATAGAAGATCTTGGCTTGACACCTGGTGTCCAGGCTTGGGTGCGAATCAGAGCCGTTAATTCAGGTAAGGAGAAACTATTGACATAATAGACAGACACATTTAAAATTATTAAAATTAAACTGTAACTGTCCGTGAGACAAATATTTATAACATGTTATTGTTTGTTATTAATAGTGGATCTCTCCACTGCAAGCCATGGTGATGTCCCGATACTCATTGACTTTACACCGCCAGTCGTTGGTAAAGTACTTGATGGGGACAAACTGCTCGAAGATGTTGAATACCAGCATAACACACAGATGATCTGTGCACAGTGGGTCGACTTCTATGATCCAGAATCTGGTATTGACAGGTATGTGAAGTCAATTCTCAAATTCTACTTTGTCTGTGATGACACAATGTACCTGTATGCATCTCGCACCAATGTGTGAATGAAACACTTTAAACATATGCGCATGTTTATACCATTCGCATTGACGATCTACACGAGCCCCAACACTAGCATGGTATTTCATCTGTCATAGTGATTGTTTAGGTGCTTAAGAACAATGTAGCAATATACCTGTACTTTCAGTTATCTCTGGGGTGTTGGAACGACTGCTGGAGCTGATGACATTCTTCCATTTACAAATTTTACGCATCAAGTTAAATCTTGGTGCAACGTCACAACTCTGCACCACAATACAACATACTATTCAACAGTTGTCGCTTTCAATGGGGCAATCAATCAGAAGGAAATTCAGGCAACATCTAATGGAGGTATGTTTGCTAATCGTACATATTGTTTTATGATGTCATAAGCCATATTTAAGGGTCCGTAAGAGGGTCTGAAAGTGCAGAAAGCTAATCAGGAAATAAACCCATCTGCAGAACAATTTAGGACCGGATAAAAAGTTAGAATACACAAACGTACTGAGAGTTAGTTCCCCTATATGTGATATATAAACATCTTGACAATGACGTGTGACATTTATTCTAGAAAAGGAAAATATGGCTGGTATTTTGAAAATGTTCTAACAAAATTGTGACAATTCTTAAAGACAGACAGACAAAAGTCATGGCATACTGTTGTATAGTAGATAGTGTACATATGGATGTCGTATTGTGATTTCATTCTGAAAGAATGGCGGGTATACCTATTGTCTTCTATTTCAGTGCTGGTAGACATAACACCTCCACTGCTGGGGTTTGTCCAGGATGGTCCTGATATTGTGAATGATGTGGAGTTCAGCTCTCAGACAGCTACTATTGAAAGTGCCTGGGCCAACTTCACTGACCCAGAAAGCCATGTACAAGAGTACACAATGATGGTATATGTAAACGATGAACTGAAAAAGAAGTTCCATATTGGATCCATGACCAGTTACACTGACCATACAATTGACACTAAACACAAGGACCATGTCCGAGTTCAAGTCACAGCAACAAATGGAGCAGGACTTGAAACACAAGCAGACAGTAATGGGTATATGGTTGACGAAACACCGCCAAACATGATGTATATACAAGATTCTCAGACAGGGAAATACCAAAGTGATTCCTCACACCTTGGCGTTAAGTGGTATTTTACAGATGAAGAGTCAGGCATCTTGGAATACAGATACACTATATTTGAGAAGATTGGTGGTCAGAAGAAAAAGTTTTGGCCAAAGGATGAGACATTTGCTGTCATTGAAGTTGAAAAAGCAGACATACAGTTGGATTCCCTTCCTCTTACAAATGGGGCCCAATATACAACATCAGTCACTGCACTCAACAACGCCCTTCTTGCAACGTCAGTAGAATCAAGTGGAGTTGTTATTGACACAACACCGCCCACAGTAAAGAAAGTGAGTATCCATCATCGTATAAACTTTATTTTGCAAGGAAGTTTGAATCACCAATGATTAATTTTATTCTGTTTTCAAGACAGCAATCAGGAACAATCATGCATATCCAGTGTATGGAAGGGTTTTCAAAACCTTTTGCAAGTTTATAAGCACACAAACTGTTCCTGTTGAGAATTTTCTGCAATATAAAACGTATTCATTTGTGCAATATAATAACGCATGCCTGAAGCCAATACACCTGTAATTAGGTATTTGAACAGTTGCTTCACGTGTTGTAGGTACTAATCGGTCTCCCTGGGCAAGAGGAGGAGCTTGATGACTTCGGAAATGTAATCCATATGGAGGATCAACCGATGCATGTGTCTTGGACAGCTCGTGATCCTGAGAGTGGTATCTCTCAAAATCTGCTTTGTGTGAAGAACAATGTCATACAGTGCACTCGAAGTGAGCAGTTTACCAACTATGGAAGCACATCATCTGTAACATTAGAAGCTCTCAATCTTATATCAGATGACAAGACTCAGTACGTTGTCGTTATCAGAGTAACAAATGGAGCAGGCTTGACAGCAGAAGCTTCATCAAAGCCAATACATGTAGAGAAGGGAAACTCCCCTGGAACAGTCTATGATGGTCGAAGTATCAGTGAAGATACAGATTTCCAGCAAGATCTTTCAAGTCTATCCATGTCGTTCGATGGCTTTGGTAGTGATGCGTGTGGAATAACCGGCTATGACTGGGCGATTGGAACACAGCCATACCTGAGTGACATAATGCATTACACAAACTATGGACTTACGATGGTCAGCGACAGTTCAGGATATGCGGAAATAACAAATACAAACTTCAACAATGTGAAGTACTATGTTACAGTCCGGGCTATAACTGGTGTGGAATGTCCAGACTCGTACATCGTATCATCATCAAATGGTGTAACGGTTGACCATGAAGTTCCTGTTATAAATCAACAGTACAGAGGTCAAATGATGTCTTCCTCACTTTTGTTTTTAAACCAAACAACAACTCTACCAATATCATGGTCTGTTGAGGATGCAAATATCATGCCTGTGATTTCCTGGTCAATAGGGAGCCTCCCAGTCTCTGGTGAAAAACACACTGTTAATATTTCAAAGTCGGGTCTTGATCCATGGGACATAAGTCTTTCAGCAAACAACACATATTTCGTGACAACATATGGCTCTGATATGGCAGGCAACAAGGCTTTAATGAGTTCACCGCCAATCACAGTTGATGAAACCCCCGTCTCTATTATTGACTATGAGTGTACACCTTTTGTATCAATGATGTCAACAATTGTCACTTGTTCTTGGAGGTTTTTCGAAGAAGCAGAAAGTACCATCACTAACGTAACAATCACAGCACGTACAGGACAAGGCAGCTCGCATATATTAGTGGTTAGCAGGCTGTCGGCAATTGAGAGACGCTGGAGCTTTGACACAGAGGGAGTTTTGCAAGATGGAGTTTCATTCCTGTATATAACTCTGGAAATTGAAAATGGTGCACATCTACGCAGCAAATTCTTTAAAGAAATTGTCTTTGATCAGACACCGCCAGCCGACGGGGAACTCTCAGTAGTTACATCATCTAATCCATCATCCAAAGAGGAAGTAGTCTGCCAGCAACAAACAACGTACATGTCTGTCTTTGTGAATAGATTCAACGATCCCGAATCACAGATAGACAGGTGAATTACAACTTTGCTACATGAATAAAAACTCACAGTTAAGATTTATGCAGAAACATCCCTTACAGCCACGACATTTCCTCATATGTTATCGATTATATAATCATAATGCTAAAACTGTAATATGTTTCAGGTATGAAGCAGGACTGGGAAGTGAGCGAGGACTGACAGATGTTCTTCCTTTCACAAAAGTCACTTTGTCCAATGGACTGTTTGTAGTTCCAAACCTACACTTGGAATCTGGAGCCCTCATCTTTGTCACTGTCCGCATTTTCAACAAAGCCGGTCTGTTCGCAGTGAAAGAAAGTAACCCGTTGGCTATCAGCCCAAAACCCTACCTACTTGTTTGGGATGGACCAGGATCTGATGATGTTGATAGTCAACATGATCTGACGACCATTCAGGGAAGGTGGGGTTACTCTGATCCCTGTCCAGTGATATCAGCAGAGTGGGCAGTAGAAGACATCACAGGGGAGATTATCAAAGGCTTTGAACAAACCCCTGGGAATGGTCATAACTTCTACAATGATGAATTGACATTGGAGAATATGAAGACATATAGAGTCATTGTGAGAACCACTGATGCCCTCAACCGCACCATGATTGGGCGATCTGATGGGGTAATGGTCAAGATTCAGCCTCCAGTTCCTGGGAATGTTCGAGATGGCATTGCTTCTGACATCAACTACCAGCTACCTACAAATTACCTTGCAGCAAACTGGGATCCGTTTGGAGAAATGAATGATTTGGACCCATCACAGAAAATTGAATACTATGAAGTGGCTGTAGGGAATGACAGAAGATATAAAGACAGGAGATCCAATGTTCATTTCTTTGAGAACGTTGGTCTCAACAGAAGTTATGTCTTTAAGCATTTAAATCTAACCGCAAAAACAGTTACATATTACATCACAGTGAGGGCATACAGTTCTGCTGGAAGTTATGAAGAATCTTTTTCAAATGGAATCCGAGCTGGATTTGGAACAGACATCGTGTTGGGAGATATCGAAGTTGCTGAGTACCAATCCAGCTCCAGTGAAATACAAGTATCATGGTCTGACTTTATATCTGACTTTAACATTCGGAAATATGAGGTTGCTGTTGACACTGAAGAATATACAGAGTCAAATACAAGCTTGGAATGTCACGCTATTGTCTTTCAGCCACTTGTGGCATTTGAGTCTGTCAACAAAGACACAATCAAAACCATAAAAGGTCTTCAATTAAATCATTCTGAGGTTTACTTTGTCCTTGTCAAAGCTGAAGATGAGGCAGGGATGTGTCTGATTGCATCCAGTAAAGCAATTACAATTGATACAACACCACCGCAACCAGGACAAGTGATCATTGATGGTGGACGGTCATCTGGTATTCTATATGCCACTCAACTGCACTCTGTACATATAAACATGACAGGATTTACAGATGAAGAAAGTTCCATAGATTACTACACGGTGGCATTATTAGGGGGACTTTTCTGCACTGATTCAATGTCATTATCCCCCAAAGACAAAGACGTTTTACGTTCTGTTACTGTTTCAACTTCCGATGCCCACTTCAACGATCTCATGTTAGACACAACCAGGCCATACTATATACAGGTTACAGCAGCTAATAAGGCAGGTTTGAAGACGACTGTGACAAGTGAACCTATTTTAGCAGATTACAACCCTCCAGTTGCTGGAAACATAAAAATTGGGTCAGATTGGAGGTACAGTTCAAGGTCTTGGGGCGATACGAACCTGTTACAAGGCACAATTCTCATCAATACCAACATACACGATTCAACATGTAAAACTGAAAGAGAACTACTGAATAATAACTATAAAAAGGAAATAGTGATTTTGGATGATGTCTTCCAATCGCACGCTGTTGATATTGTAGATAATAACCGTGTCAAGATATATGCACGACTTGACCCGTCGCTGCAACTGTTTGAAAAAGGAGGAGTCAAAACAAACCCAACGCTACTGACAGAAGGCAACTATTCATTTTCTCTTCAGGCTACAGCACGACACAACGTTTCATCTATGATAGGTCTGATTCAAGAAAGTCTTCCAAATCCTGATGATATCTTAAAGGCTTATGCAAAGATATTTATAGATAATTGCAATGGCAGTGCATGTTCTAACGGCGACAGGACTGTAGTAACTGATGACGAGAGTTGGAACCTTGGCGTTCTCTTGACTATGAATAACATCTCAGAACCCCTAATTCTGTTCTGGGCCAAGGATAAATCCAGAATCAAAGTTCATAATGTCCATGTAGACTTTGATCCAAGTTTCTCACTGAACGACTTTTCTCTTCAAGCAATAAATGATTCAACACCATCAACAGCTTCGTGGGATATAAATCTATTCATCAACGGTCAGTTGAAAGGTCAACATGCTGGACTGAACATTCAAGGATACGTTGTCGCCTCTGTGTTCTCCTGGAACAATGATGGATATATTCCACAAGTGGATGATCCGTTTGACCCATTCACAACTAACCTACTCCTGTCATCACTGAGACTACCGCTCCCGCAAATACACCCATGTAGGTACGGACGGGCATTTTATGATTCACAGAGCGGGATCAAAGATATTTCCATTGGTCTGTCAGATTCTCAGAACACAACTGCAAACGTAGTACCTTATACGAAACAAATGTCATTTTGTGTTCCTTGCAAAGATCTTTGCAAAGAAAGTTGTGGCTTTGAAGGTTCCTGTTCCAAGAGTACAGACCAACAGGGATTATCAGTAAGGCATTTCCAACTCAGCAACTTGACACTGATTCCCTCTCGGATGACTGATCGAATTAACTACACTGATTCCCAAGCCAGTGCCTACTATTTTGATGTGAAAGTAACTGATCATGCTGGTTATGAAAAACAAATCAAGTCTAACGCAATCATCATTGACACAACACCCCCAGTGGTGACTGATGTCACTTGCTTTGATCCGGAGTACTCGCTGTATGAACCTGCACTCTACATTGGAAATGATCATGCTGTCAGTGCTAAGTGGGAGATATCAGAGGATTTCAGTGACATCAACGCTGTCTTTGTTGGAATTGGAACAAAATGTGGACTAGATGATATTGTTCAAATACCCCTTCAAAACAGACTGAAGAATGTAACACTGAATTCAACAAAAGAAAGTCTTCAACAGGATCAAAAGTATTTTGTCGGTGTTACCGTAATAAATTCTGCTGGTCTCAACCACACTGCGTGCTGTCCATTTGTCATTGATATTAAATCTCCCACAGTTTCCTCTACTGAACCAGTGCCACTGTTTGTCTCAGCAGAAGATGTAGCCGGACTTAACGTTTCACTTACCGAGTACAATGATCGAGTTGGAATCCAGTGGGATGATCCTCATAGTGATGTGGACTATTTTGGTGAGACAAACCCTGACTTATTGTTTCTTCTTTGTACCTAAATGCATATGTTATATTAGATGATACAGTGTCAAAGTTGGAACAGCTGAAATGCTCGATCACTTTGGTGTTTTTCCCTTTGAACATTTTGTTATTGGGTCGACTGGACAGGTGTTCTGAAATGCCGTACTTCTATCTATTTCGTACCTACGCTGGGATCCACCAGTCCCCAGTTTGAACCCAATACGTCTCCTGATTATGATCCTTGATTTGTCAACCTCAAACATTGTGCATGGTTCAAGGTTACCATCTGTTTCTAATTTTAAAAACGTTTCATTTTCCCACAGCTATGCTTATGTCATTTAAATGATGTTTAAGACTGGCAGCTGGCGAGTGAGGATTCAGCAGACGAAATATATCCAACAATGCGAGTCGGTTCCAACACAACTCGACGTGTCGAGGTCCTGAAGGGAGATATAAGTCTTTCGCATGGCGCTGTCAACGCTTCAGTGTCTGAATTCCTTAACAGAAACTTCTCTGATGGTCTTAAGAGTGCCGACTTCAAGAATAGTCCACTCATGCTGGAACCAGGCAAATGTGTCATCCAAACCGTGACTTCTGTCAGTAGAGCTCACAAGAGAAAGGATTTGACGTCACAGAAGACCTGCATTAAACGTAATGTCTTTCTTTAGGTATATGTTGATATTTGTAACATATTTCAACACATTATTCAGCCTCTGCTGATTCCGGGTAATCAACACGGATGGCTTATGGATTTATATCCTTCACTGGTTTGCCTAGTCCAGATTCAGTTATAAACAGCTTTTGCGAAAATATTCCCGAGAGGCATTACAAACAACATTTTATCGTTCATATTAAATGTGCAATCAGTTACTTATTTACTTATTATGATGTGGCTTTTGTATTGTCCAGGCAAGAAAGACATGATTGTGAAACAGGGTACCAACAAAACACTTGTGATTGACGGCGTTGTCATCTCCGAGTCATTGGCAAAGAACAATCACTCTGTTTGCACAATATCAGTGGAAGGTAAGGTGATCAGATGATTAGATAGTAGCGTCAGTTCCGTCAAGCACAAACTCTGCAGTTAATACTAATGTATTTACATGGTTTGATCCGACCTAAATTTCGAGACAATTACGGTATTTGTTTTTCTGTATGTTCTGCAATATGTGCAATGTACCCATACTGTTGTGTAGTTTCCAGTGGCGCCCTAGCGGTCGGTGTACTGAGCAAGACAGATCAACACATGGCCTACGGTGCTCCAGCCGCCGTGGATTATTCCCCTTACATCGTCAGCCCCGACATCACCTCGACACAGCTGTCCCGGTTTCTCACTGGAAGGTGAAGTTTTGTGTTTTTGTCTCTGAAGCAAGTGCGTGTACACATATCAGAATTGTCAATGCATTGTATTTCTGTTCACATGAATCATGGGATATCAACACCACTTCTACAAAAATGTTCACATCCGCAGCATGACATAGTGTAGCAAATAATCATTATTTAGATTTTAAGCATGTTCATTTAATTTGTTTGTTCAGAGTCTACAGTTTTGTTAGTCCTGCATTCTACCTGTCGCCGATCAGCAATGTACAACTAACAGAAGACATCAACGTTGATTTGCCAGCATCCCCAGCTGATGAACACCAGGAATCAGCGATCATTCTGTGGGACTCAGGTACAAATACAACTGTATAAAACCCTTTAAGCATATCTGCGTTCTTTCGCATTTTGAAAGGAACGAGTTGGTATGGTGTTATGCCACTTTTAACTATATTCACATTTTATGGCAGGATGGCGAAAATGGGCTCACTTAATTTACCAATGGGGGGTCGAAACCAGTCTTTTTTCGAATTCGATTATATCCACTAGGCTATCCTGCCGCGGCCCATTCTGAATATTGTTCATTATGATACTAATCGAGTTCCTTTCTGTACACAGGTGACAAGGTCTGGCGCCATGTCAGTGAAATCTGCGGTATTGTCCCTTTCAAGAGCAACGCCACCACGCGTGATCCTCATGCAATACAGGTGAGTTATATATGTCGGTATGCACTGGTGCATATACATATATGTTTGGGCACCTAATGGTATTTATGTCGAGGACAATATACCATCTGATCCAATTTATATCTTCTACGTGTCTCAGTTGGTTCATTACATTTTAGAACGTGCATATTATATGCAACGAAAGACTCAATTTTCTTACTCAAAAATAAAAACATGAAGAATGAAAACGTATGGCTTCACGTCAAATTTTATACCATATGGGTAGGATAAAGCAAACGAATGTGTTATGCAGGTTGGTGCTATTTTCAGTATTCAAAAACATGGCGTTGCCCTTGTCTGTTGGCTATTGGGTCAGAGTTCACCATCGGGAATAGGGAAAATAACTCGGACAATAGTCATTTTTTAACAAAAGCTGTTTAACAGCGACGTATTTATAACCGTAAGGTACACTGCATCCAGATTGCGCGCCGTAATCGCTACTTTATTTTTGCTGAACTAAGTGTAGTTTAGGCTGTGTTGAAACTGGACTTTTTGAGGGATGTCACGTCCTGTTTGATATCGATCTGCACGTGTGATGACCTCTATCAGATCTGTCTTTACCAATGTACCTTTAGGTTTTCGGGCACATTATCATGCTATAACTCATGTGGTATACTGTTTAAATCTCCCTTTAATGGCTATGATAGTATTGATTAGTGGCGGATGTAAATCGCCTATTCCGATCACCTATTCATAATGAACATATCTCTTTGTTTTCAGATCTGCAATTTAGTATTTAAGAGAAGCTTGACAAAATCAAATACACGTGCGAAGAGGGCAACGCTTCCTTTCTCGAGTCCAAGAATGTTTTCCGGAGCAATTGTGTCTAAACATGTGAACAATACACCTCCCATCATTGACACCAGTGTTATCCAATGTGTCGAGGACAGCTTTGTGGAGCAAGTCATCAAGTACCACGATCTGCAGCATGACAATTTAACATTTACATTAGAAGAGCATCCTCATCACGGCGAAGCCAACCTCACAGCAGAGGGAATGCTATCCTACCGACCAGAGAAAGATTTTAATGGCTATGATAGTATTCTTGTAAATGCAACCGAGGTATTCATACATGATCTGGGAATACAACCAGCTACATTTACCAAGAGAATACACATCAACGTGTCAAATGTTAATGATCCACCTGTCACTTTCTACCAGAGGGACACCCAGTCACCAATACCATCATTTGTTGAAAGTATTCACAAGGTATATGTTGAAGGCAATCTAACGGATCACTCTCTGGGTTCGTTTTGGGTCGCAGATGTTGATGACCCTGAAGATTTGACAATCATTCAAAAGGATGTAAGTGGTCTGGCAGCCAACTTTACTTTTAAACAGGTTGATGCGGCTGGGGAAGATGGAGAGACATACAGAAACATGTCCATGATCTACTCAGGAAACACTATCACCAAACATGACTTGAAGCTGAAGACCCTCAAGGAATTCCACGGGAGCATCCAGTTCTCACTACTCACTGTTGATACGAATAAGAGCTACAGCCACGCCCTGTCCATCCACGTGTTTGTCCTCATCAACCCATGTTACCATGGTAGCTGTGCTCCAAGAACCCCGTCTTTACCATGTGAACATCCAGACAGAGCAAGCAGCTTTCAGGCCTATCACTGTGAATGTGTAGCTGGTTACGAAGGACAGTTCTGCGAGAAGGAAATCAACGAATGTCTGAAGGCCACCTGTTCCCTTCTGTATGATTGCGAAGACAAACTGGCGACCTATGAGTGTGTCCTGAACATCCCGAAGATTCTTGCTATACTTGTCTGCATTCTTCTGCCCTGCTTAGGTGTTACCTTTTACATAAGTCGCAAGTACAAACACATTCGACACCAATCAAAGGTCTGGTAAGTAGCATTTTTTCACTATTACTTTGGCTTTTCTTTTAAATTATCGCAATAGACATGGTAATATCTGATTGGGCTTTTGGCTGATTAGGCAGATCTGACAGTCATCACTTGTTTACAGTTTGTTTTTATATGTTGCACACTTCACATTGATAGTATCTCAATACGTGTCTAAATGTGCGTTTTTGTGGCGTCGATATTTAAGGTGTACATTTTTGTTTGAAGGAATTTGCCAGACAACACTCCAGATACGCAGACGAATCCTGTATACCTAGCAAGATGCACATCCACCACGGAAGAAGTAAAGGAGGAGACGACTTCCGGGTCGGCTTTCAGCAAGCAAGAAGTAATTAAGGACGAGACACCTGCTGCTTTTCAAGAGAATGGCAGAAGCACGCCTGCCTTGTTCATGGGTCCAGGACACGCAAGGATGCCTCACAGGAAAACAAACTACTTCACCCAGTGGAGCTCAGATAAAACCCTTCCTAGAGTTGTTGATTGAAGCAACAGTATCCAAAGTGTCGAATTTTGCAGTGTTTGCAGTGTAGATGTTCTAATAAACGCTAGTCTTCTTTTGTAACTCATATTAGAGGAACCCGAATTGGCCTTTGTGTGAACTTTCACATTTCTAGTATCAGTATTCGATCATTTACTTCAGATACTAATAATGCGAGTGTGTGTCTTTGAGTTAACGCTATCCATATTTCGAAATATTTTATATATGTATATGAAATGGAAATCATCTAAGACACGAAATATATTTCATTAAGAAATAAAACATCTATATGGACAATTTGAAAGTGTTAAAATTTAAGCTATTGATAACCTGTATATGGATAAAGACTTACTTAAGGTCATATTTATAATGTCCATGAAAGCCAAGATTGCTCAGATTGCCCTATGTATATTGAGATGAGTGTGAAGATGTACAAAATATAATCCCACCATTGCTAGAAATTGTTCATAACATATATTGCCTTTTTGCAGATTGAACCCGTGTTTGACAAAATGCTGTTGATAATATTGATCCGAGTTATCTATATAATTATATTAGTTGTCAAGAAAACCGAGTGTGTGCCAATCTGAGCCTAAGGTTTAACTCAATAAATATTGATATCGCCTTCTTTGTTATTATCTTGATTTGATACCGAGCATGGTTATAATCACCACTTGTTTTAATTGGCTACCATTACTATTAGATCATGCAATGTTATTTTTCTGGAAAAGACTGTTACCAGAGATCTATAGCCAACTTCTGTAGAAGGATGGACTGACGGAGAATCGTACAAAAGTGATTAAATGTAATCAGTACTAGCACAGCCATAAGTGGCTTTTCAACATTGCCACCATCAAATTGAATATTCAGCTTGAACAGAAGGAGACATACGCTACCTTTATTACAATCAATAGCAATGACTTGTAACAATTGCATACAGTTTAATTCATCTGAAAGAGCATCATCGTTTTTCCACTGCATGCTTCTTGTAGTTCAAGAGGAGTTTCCACATATTAGTACTTAAATTGGCCAAATATTTGGCTGTTTATTTGCAAAAAATCTGTAACAACAACAGCAACAACAACAAACTCCATTGTCTTGCTCTCTTTTTGTTGGTGGACAGTGACACAAACAATCAAGGGTCATTATATTTCAAGGTCAGACAGTAAATAATCGATCTTCTAGTCAGGGCGATATAGCGATGGCCCGAACCAGCCGCCATTCCCAGGACTGTTCGTCATTCGATTTCTCGGAAATCTATATTCTCCGGGAACACAGATTGCGGCTGAATATACTCTTCTTTTGACATGATCTGAACACTCGCCTTTCTGTTGCAAACGCCCTGAAAAGAAATTCAATGGATATTTTTTTTCCACACCCGTGATGTAGAGGTTCCTTTCAACTTTCGTTCACAATCAATGCTATGCATGAATATTTTACGCAAGTGTGTGTATATGGATCGGTAACATCTCATTACGTAATGTTTGTATCTACAACACTTGATCCACAGGGCCAGACCAAGCAACCCGCCAAGATTATCGACAGCTAGATTGCACGGCAAAAGTCTATTTGTATCCGATGACAACGATGAACTGCAAAGTAACCCAAAATCTTGAATAGTCTATTTAATGTCAACATGGTACACGGCATCGAATACCCTAAGTCTGACTGGCAGGTATCTTTTTCTGAATGAAGTTTATTAATAGCACGTCTGACTTCATTCTTTTCAAACTGAGTACTTTATCAACACTAAATGGATATGTTGTGCTGAAGCGAAGCCATATTAGTATATTTATATTTTTTCCATCATATCCATATATCATTTCAAGCAACGTATCGCTAGTTGTTGTTCCTTGGGATTCTGCTAAATTTGGATATGCTTTTTATACTTTAAATTAGGTGCATGTTTCAATGGTATCCTAAACAGTTTGTTATTACTGAAGCGGCTGGACTGTACACATCATCTACCGTTTCGTGTATACCGTTCCGAATGAAATGCTTTCTATGCGAACCGACAGCTACAGAAAATGGATGGTAGACCAGCACCAAATATGTCATATAACCACTTTGACTGATCTGTGGTGGATGGTATATATTATTTTTTATTATTATAGGATATTTATATAGCGCACGTATCCACGCACTAGTGCATGCTCAAGGCGCTCGTATTTTTCCCTCCATCATTGGATGTCAATCTCAACGTCATATCTTATTATCAATCTCAACTCCCTGGGGATCATACAACACTTGCACCCACTAGGTGCACCGAGTTATTACGGCTTTGCCATCCTTTCGAGGTACCCATTCACAGCTGGGTGGACTGGGACACATAGTCACAGTACCTTGACCAAGTTTACTGCACGTTGCTGTACCCACAACTAGGTGTTTGCACGTATTCATGTGGCCACCATCTGGTCATATGCCAACGGATTCGTGGGTTCTGTTAAGTGCACAGGGTTGTGTACTGTACACTAGCGGTTGTGACAACACTGAAAGAGTCTGCACATAAAGCTGACTCCAAGGTTTCTACACCTGGTCGCTGGATCACTAGCCTGACACCTTAGACAGCTCGCCCACCATATACCGCATATCTTACACATATATCACCGAGAACACAATATACATCATTCAGAGTGAGAAGCTGGGGAGAGTGTTTGTCGGATATAGTACATTGCTCAGAAGAAATGGTCGGAGAGGGTGTATATCGGATATATTACATCACTCAGAAGAAATGGTCGGAGAGGGTGTATTTCGGATATGTGATTATATCATTCAGAATGAAAGTGAGGTGGTGATTATCGTCGTATAACTCATATCACACAGAATGAAAGGAGGGCGTGGGTGTAGACAATATGTTTTATATATCACTCACAATGTTTTGCTACAAACATCTGCGGACCATAGCTAAGGTAGAACATCAACTCTTACATTGAGCTTTCGAAATCCAATTGTACATAATTTGTTATCCCATTCGACAGCAGTCCTGTCGTGAGCCTTCAAACTTTATAAGCATATAGTCAATTTTAAGCACAATACTTATGACACATTGTCTTTAATTCATGCATACGTATATTTGGTTCAAATCGAAGAAATGAATATTGAAGAAGTACAAAATTCGCAAAGCTGGTGCAAATACGCAGCCAATATCCATGTATTACTAACTCAAGGACGGTTTCATCCACGGTGACATATCGGGCAATAGTCTAGTAATAATCATATGTCCAGAGAATCTACGTAGAAAGAATTTACAGCTAAAGATAAAACACATGATCGGCCTATTGTCTGACTAAATCACAATTATCATTTGAATAGCGAACTAAAGTTCACTGGGAACAACCAGGTTCCCCTTATCATAAATTGTTTGTTGCCATGTCTGGCAGTACATGCCAGGAAAGCCTTGTGTTAATGAAGACTTGATCACTGTATGGACACGAAAGGACGTCGAAGCATTCAACCAAAGCAGAAAATCTTGAATTTTTATTGAATATAAAACACATACTGTATAAGTCACCATTACATTAAATTAGAGAAAAACCATAATATACTATCCCAAAGAGAAACGCATATGCGTTTTGTATTTTTAGAAATCTATTAATTACCTATTGTGGTCAGACAATCGTCAAGATATGTAACAAAAGTGTTGATAACATGGTTTTACACAATTGCACAAGTAAAAAATCGACTTTACCTGAAAATGTTGATTTTGATGAGATTTGTTACAAAGATTAAAAAGGCAACAGCAATCAGCGTCCAGTTGACATTGTGCAGCAAACAGCATGCATTGTCTGTCTATAAACATCCAGGTTACTTTCGGAAATCGGCATTCTTTTTGAAGGAGTTTCAAGGTCAAATGACTACGCTACGTCTTGACGCTGCGACACGGAACATCGCCATTGAAAGAATCTACGCTGGAGATTAACAATCTTCTGTTGCCAAGCGTCTGAATGTTTGTCTGAGAACGATATCACGATTTGCAGCTCCTTACTACCAAACAGGTACAACAAATGACAGTCCCCGTACAGGCAGACCTCGAGTCACCACTGCAGCCCAAGATCGGTACATCCGGGTACTACATTTGCGTGATCCTACTGCCACAGGTGAGAGCACAGCAGCCAGGGTGCCTGGGCTTCGGAGGATATCCGGTCAAACTGTACGGAACAGGTTAAGAAAGATTGGACTGAGAGCCAGGAGCCCCGACATCGGGACCGTGCAAGGTCGTCACCATCGCGCTCAACGTGTCCGTTATCTAAAATTATTCATTTGGTTGTATAGACATTTCCTTCTTCTGAACTGATGTAAAACTTCATGAACTAAAGTGTATTTGTAGGCGAGTTATACGTGTTTGAAAATACAACATTTTCGCAACAGATTTCTGGGTTATGCGTTTCTTTTTTTGAATAGTGTAGATGATGATCAAAAAGGTTTGCATGCCCATAGAATTTACATGTAACAACAAATTAAGTTTTAACAAGTAGTATGTAATATCACAGTAGTTCATTACTGCAATGGATTGTGACAGTTCATTTATACTTTGAAAACTTATAAGCGTTTTGAAACAGTGCATATTGATCACTGAACCACCAACTGAATGATTTAGCAATACAAACTGGTAACGTCTTACCAATACATGTATAATTCATAATCAAGGCAGGTTTACAGATGGTAAGGCTTCCTAAGGCCCCCGTGCAGCTGCACTGTCTTCGGTCAAGTGCTAGAAGGTATGTCTGGATCAGATCTCATGGAGTCTTCTTCAACACTCTACGATTTTGTTTGCTGACTTTGTTTACATCTCCGTTTATTAATCAGTTCAAACACAAGGACTAAGAGTGCTATAGCCACCCCCAGCCCCGCACTGTAGAAGGCGCTCTGCAATGCTGATAGATCCACTCTTTGCGTTTCTGCTTGAAGGCTCACACTGATGTTTGGGTTTCAACCGTTTCCACCACAGATCCAGAAGGCCGCTTTCGAATACCTTCAATATTCTGTGAAGGTAAATATAAAGTATAAAGATTATATATTGACAGAAAATTTGTACATCATACAATCTTACAAGAATAAAGATTTCTATAACAGTTATTTAATTCATCTTTGAGGCGGTCAGACCCAAAAGATGAAGCATTGTGCAAGGTTGCAATTTGCCTCCAGCAAGGAATGATGTTGTTAGATGTGACTAACGGGATCGGGCAGTTATGTCATACATGTTGCTTTTCTCGTATTCCAGTTGCGTAAAATGATCTTCAAGACTACATCTTCAACGTAAATTATTTTGGGAATCAAACTTTATGATAAAGGGATTGGCACGTAAAGACCCGGGTTAAAATTGATCTTCAGCAACCCATGCTTGTCGAAAGAGGCGATTACCGGAAACAAAATATAGGGATATGATCTCTCTCGTGTTACTTTGTACAGTAAATATCATATTACATATTTACCAAATTCTGCAAATAGTCTAAATTCTGCTAATAATTAACGGGGGTATATATCCCATTCCTTGACAGCACAGACCATAAACCGTGGCCACTGATAGTAGTCAGGCGGGATAACATAATAATCCGATTCAACAACAGTGCTGTCAAGTTGATGTATGGGTACATTCACTCACTCCCATACCCATAGCGATGTGTGAAATATAATCAATGCAAGAAAACCACGAATACGAAGCATACCGCAACACATGTGGTACTCACTGTTGCGAGAAGATATGAACGTGTTCGCTGTTTTGGGGTAGTCCAACTGCAACTGGCATGGAACGGAAGTTCTCATTCAGCATCTGTAACTTACACCGCCGTGGGTCGTCCCACATCTCCAAAGTAGACTCTTCTGCAATATAGACATATTGGGTCTCTGCAGCTCGGCGCAGGTGCTCGTTGCCATCTTCACTCAACCAATCAGGATCCCTTGCCGTCATTTCCTCCACACGTTGCCATATTTTCTGATAGACGGAAATGTTGGAGTCCTGAAAACATGTTTCGTATGTATCATAAATAATGTTATATCATCAACAAACAATGTAAACAATCTGGAGTGTCCCATTTACATACACATAACAGCTAATAGTAAATAATTAAACCACAGATGTCTAGTAACAACCGCCTGTATCGTCCTCGCCTTGTATGAAGGTTTTCTATGTGGTGATAGTCCTTGCGGTCAATACAGCATGGATACACCAGAAGCTGAACCTCCAGATCGGGCAACATGTGAGTTGCTTTGTCTGGTAATGTGTAATTGGCAATAAAGGTTAAGCTGGATAATGTTTAATGACTCGTCAAGCAAAAGATCCTATTTTGATACCGACACTGCCACAACGTGTGAAGTCTGCCAAGACATGGCTTACCTATTGCAAATCCCACATGAAAACAGATATACTTTTGACAAAACGTTCCTCAAAGATTCGAAACCGCACCCGTGGACCAGTGGATACAGCGTCTGCTCGGCAAGAAGAAGGTCTGTGGTTTGATTCCCTGATCGCTTTATACCAAAATATGTTAAAAGATGGTACTTATTTTTACCGTCACGCGCCCAGCTCAATGATTGAAGCTTGGTGTCGGTAAAATGTTAGGTTATCTGTGGCATGGTATCTCAGCATTGTAAAGCCATCAACAATGCGGACCAATACAAGATGCTACACACGCACCTGTTCAAACGTGGCTGCACAAGCGCAGTAATTTAGAACGTGACATAAAAACCTATCTTCCTACCTGAAAGAGAGTGACCAGTGATGTCCCGCCCACAAATCCCCACTTGTACGTGTCCTGCTGCACCATTTCAGCCAGACTGGAGAAGGGCGTTTTTTCTCGTCCGTCGGTGAGAAACGCTATGAGGTTACCACTGTAGGTGGCCGCCATTATGACAGCGAACAGCCACCAACAGCTGAGCACCGTGCGTCCGGACTCTGATTTGGGAAGGTATGCTCCTCCTGGAATACAATTATACGTCGATGCACATGTTTATGTAGCAGGGCGTGGTGTCATCCCACAGGTGACATCCTTACCTTGTCAGCTTGCTGACGGGGTTAACCTCTTTGGTCATGTGGACAAGGCATCCGACTTCGGACCAGAAGGTCCGTGGTTCGAATGCGAGCACGGGACTCGGAAATTTTATGGCCGCTACATTTACAAAGTGTCTAGTATCAGGATCGAAACGTCGCAGCCTGTTAACTTCTTATTGGCATATTATTTCACTGAGAAATAAAATCATCGGAACATTAAAAAAACAATTTGAATATTTAAACATTTGAGACTTTAATAACGGATCTGTGTCTTTTGCTTGAGCTCCTAGTGTACTTTCACTGATTTTTAGCTTTCAAATTAATCGAGCACCGACGAAAAAATTCCGCTTGTCTAATTTGGGGTGCGTCAGAGAAGGTGAGTGAGTTTAGTTTTACGCCGCACTCAGCAATATTCCAGCTATATGGCGGCGGTCGGTAAATAATCGAGTCTGGACCAGACAATTCAGTGATCAACAACATGAGCATCGATCTGCGCAATTAGGATGGGGTACGTCAGAGGGGGCTGGGGGTAGGATATGTGTAGTGTGTGTGTGTGTGTGTGTGTGTGTGTGTGTGTGTGTGTGTGTGTGTGTGTGTGTGAAGGCCCCTGATCGTATGGGGAGCCTAGTCAACCGAACCATCTATGCCGCATTTATTCAAATTATTCTGTAAGTGAGATTAAAATCTAAAAAAAACTAGGAAGAAAGGAACTACAAAATAATCAATTACACCATCATGACTTATCAAATAGTGAATCGAATATGAATATACAAATTATTCAATTAAAGTCATGTTATATACCCAAATACATTCCAAATGATATTTTAGAATGTTTGTTATTGAACACTGCTGATTTACCCTTCGCTATAAGAGCTCCAAAATGATACCAGAGTATATCTCCATATCGGGTCAGCATATCCGTGGGTCTGTCGTCCGTCCACGAACGGACTGGTGTCACTTCTTCTATCAGGAAGAGGAAGACAGTGGAGAAGATTAGTGAGACGAGGATACACACAAGAACCTCGTAACGGAATGGGGAGAGTAGAGTCATCCACTTGTTGGTGTTGGGATTTTGTTTGCTGAGAATAAGAGCCGAGTTGGCGTAGAAGTAAGGAACTGTGAAATCGATGACTGTGCCTCTGCTGTCTGTCATAGTCATCGGTGCCACAATCATATCAACTTCCTGGAAGTATGGAAATAACAAACATTCAAACTTTGCTTCGTAAGTCAACTGTAGATATGCGTGTAAAATACGTTCCATGTTCGGTAAAACTGTCAATCTTTGTAAGTTGTTCAAGTAATACATTTCTGTCTGCTCGTTGACCTTCTGTTATGTAGAGAAACATATTGCTTACAGAAATGACTCAGATACAAAGTGTCGCATTTACAGTTGTCTAACTATATTACAACATACAACTTGATTACCCTACATACAACATAGAACATAGTACCCCTTCCTTACTCAGTGAATGGACAACAAGTTACGAAACATTGTATATTTACAACAAAGACGTTGTTAGCCGTAATAATTCTGTTGGTCGTCCAGGTTCTCTACTATGAACATCTGCTGGTCGTCCATGTTCTCTACTATCAACATCTACTTTTAGTTTATCCACGTTCTCTATTTTGAACATCTTCTGTTGTTCGTCCACGTTCTCTACTATGAACATCTCCTGCTGGAAGCCCACGTTTTCTACTGTCAACATCTGCTGCTGGTCACCCATGTTTTCTACAATCAACATCTACTCTCAGTCGTCCATGTTCTCCACTATCAACATCTCTTGCTGGTGGCCCACGTTCTCTACTATCCTCATCTACTGCTGGTCGTCCACGTTCTCTACTATGAACATCTCTTGGCCGTACGCATTCTCTACTGTGAACATCTCCTTCAGCTGGGAACAACAGATGATGCCAGCATGCTAGACACACCCACCACGGCCCTGTGTATTATGATTGTAACGTACCTCATTACTAAGCAGCTTGACCAGTCCAGTCCAACTTCCATTGCGTACCCGCCCCCACTCCTTGTCTTTGGGCTCCATCAGTCTGTAACTAGCAAACAGACAAAGTCTTGTCACAACCTTTCAATACGTTCTAGAAAAACTTTGTTTGACCTTTGTTGAGTTATACTACAGGTATGATTAACCAGAAAAAGTACGCGTACGCAAGTACACACGCATGCACACACACGAGCGCGCAGATAATAAACAATAAAATACTGAAACCTGAAATTGAGTTGTTTCGCCAGTTCCTGCAACAGCTGGATGCAAAGACCGTCGAATCTGACAGAACCGTTCTCCACCCTCTTGATAACAAATGGCGCCCACTGTATCAATATGACAACGTTGTCGTGAAATACCATACAAATACCATGAAATGTTATGGAAATTTTGTCCCGAATATTTCATATGTATACTCATAGAAACGAATAAGGGAACGCGTGAAAGTACAAGTTTCCTTTATTCATTTCCAGAATTTCAGTCACAGTGCAATGCATACCTTGTGAAGAAACCTGAAAAAGAATAAAGGAACACTTGTACTTGTATGTGTTCCCTTATTTGTTTCCATGAGTATATATTTCATATTTTGTCCTGTGATTAACTTCAACAATTCCACATTTCTTTTACAAAATACGATGAACCATATTCTAAAATCCACTGGTCGCTTATACATAGCTGCGATTCATACCTTCGTATTGTTATGTGGCAGAGGAGACTGACTGGTGTGTCTCCAGTGATTGGCTGAGACGCCCGTAAAATATCGTAAAATGTAATACTTGTCATTCTGCATTGGAAAGTTGTTTAGAGTTACCTCCATTGGGGTGTCATTGACAAGTGATGCAACATCAGGTGAAGAACAGAAATCGCACATTAATGAAGCGGGATCTTGAAATGAAGCACATCAAGGGCAAAGACTTCAAGGGCAAAGACATGAAGGGCAAAGTTCTTTTTTTAGTAGGTTCTTGGTGCAGTTGCATGAGAGCGTTTTGAGGTCATTTCGAAATGATGCCTCTATGAAAACACAAATTTTATGCCAGCTTCCAACAGTACTCTGAATTCATGAGCGGAGAATTTGTTACTTACTGATTGATTCCTGCCACTTTTCTACCCATTGTATTGATTCTGGCGATTATGGCCTTAAAACTGTTAATGTTTTAGTATTATTCGTTAATTATTTAGTTAATTTTACTTAAGTCTGATCCTAATTTGGCACCGGTCATCATAAGCCAATTGCTATTTATATAACATCGTTAAAATATTTACACTCACTTGTTATCAACTGTTTTAGCTTTGAATGCAGCCAAACCTTTCCGTATCCGTATTATCGTTTAGAGACTGAATACGCGAGGACGATCACAGCAACTGTTGTTCTGAGTTTATGCAGTCGTTCTTCAAACATGTTATAACAACTGGTACAGAGACAAAAACTTTGTAATGTCGACTTAATCAACAGCAACGGAGTTTCATTTTGTGTATTAAAACCGCCGCCATATAGCCGGAATATTGAGTTAAACAACAACCAACAAACAGTCTTGGTGTAGTTGCATGAGAGCGAGATGAGAGCGTTTTGAGGTCATTCCTGAAGGACACCTCCATGAAAACACAAATTTTATACCGGCTTCCAACAGTCCTCTGTATTCATGAGCGAAGAATTTGTTACTTACTGACTGACTGCTGCCACTTTTCTACCCATTGTATTGATTCTGGTGGTTGTAACCTTAAAACTGCTAATGTTTCAGTATTACTTGTTATTATTTATTGTTCTTGTGTTGTTATGTATTGATTTCACAGTTTAGTTCTGCACGAATCGATGTCTGGGTTGACCTTTGATTTCAGTTGCCTCGTAAAAATCATTTTAAGTTTATCTGAAGTCTGATGCTAATTTGCAATTTACATAACATCGTGGAAACATTATACCAGCTTGTTATCAAATGTTGTACTTTTGAAAACGCCCAAACATTTCCGTATTAGTGTTATAGTTTAGAGACGATCACAGCTACAGCAGTTTTATGCATCAATCGTTCTTCAAACATGTTATAAACAGCTGATACAGAGAAAAAGACAAACAACTTTGTAATGTCGACTTCATGAACGGTAACAGAGTTTCATTTTGTGTATTACAATGCCATGGATCTCTAATCCGAAATATAAGATATGTTACATTTGACCACTTTCTAAATGGCATTGTGTAATCATAGGATTAAACCAGGCTATCCATCCCTGATAGACTTGAAAGTAAAGTGAAAGGCCAAAAATCAATGTTTCCAGTATTATGCCCAGTTGCACTTTCTTCACACCGGAACAAAGCAACACAACAGGAATAACCCCAGAATCCCGACAATTAACTTTCGGTTGTGAAATCAGAAAAAAAGTGATTCTCTCAATAAGATCTTCAAGTGAACTGTCTACAATAACGACAACAGAACAAAGCAACACATTTATGAAGTGTAATTTACATGCCTCTAGAGTCCCGACAGTTAACGTATGGTTGTGAAATCCATAACTGCCTAGATGATAGAGCTGATGCTTGACCTCCACGGAGTGATCTCTCCCTATATATGTTCCAGTTTGGCTTCTGCTGAGCACATGGAGTTTAGCGGCGGAATCTCTTACAATCACAGGCTGCAAATGTATGCATTCATATCTTCATTCCTCTTATACAACAGAGTAGATAAGATATATAATAAATGCCCGATGCTCTTGTGTCTTATGAATTTTTCTAAACACAACGTAAAGAAATGGTACTGATGCATAAAATATATAGAGTTGAAGATCAGAAGTAGTACATATAAACAAATCCACAAAACCTGACGCAATACATGTACAAATTTCCCTTCTCCGTGTTTCAGCTTTATCTTAACTTACATATTGTAAACAGTTACAGATACTACTGTCATGATACATATGTAGACAAAAACACTCATTGCAACAGTGAAATCATGGGGATTTATACTGTAAGTTCTCTGGTGTTGCTGAAACTTTATGCCTAAGTCAAACTATGTCGATAGACTGTGATATAATTAGCCAGAAGCTAAATGACGCCATATTGTGGTCACCCAAACCATGTGAGTCACTCTTTAGCTTTGGGGACGGAGGGTAGCTTAGTGATTAAAGTGGTTCACGCTGAAGACACGGACTTGATTCCCCACATGAGTACAATGTGTGAGAAACATTTCTGTCGAACTATGTTGATAAACTGTGATACAATCAGCCAAAAGCTATAGTCTGTTTGCAGTGAAAACGTATTGATGAATTTCACTTTAAACAAAAAAGTAAATCAAATAAAGTGAAAATAAGTTTGCGAATTCTCATAATTTTACCTTGCGAATTGAACATTTAAATCTCAGAATTTTATTCATATTAGAATAAAAGTTGTTTAACAGACGATCATAGTTTCAAACCGCTATTATTGGTTTGTATTACAAGGGAGTATCCACATTAAATGAAATCCCAAGAACAAGTAGGGTTTGTCTAAGTTAAAAAAAACTCTTATCACGTTCCGCACGTGCAATTGTTACACTGTTCCAACTACTGTTCTTAACCCCTTGTAATACAAACCAATAATAGTGGTCAAAGTGGTTCACGCACGCTAAAGACCCGCACTTGATTCACCAGATAGGTACAATGTGTGAAACCCATTTCTGGTGTGCCCCCGTCGCTAAACGGTCACTCACTCACTCGGATTTTGAGAACATTTACCTTCGGTATCTGTTCAGCTTCCTGTTCTGTCATATTACTCCTTTGCTGGGTGATAATCTCCAGGTTCTGTAAATATAATAGCTAACAAATATCGAAACATGATGTCATTAAATCTAATAACTTCCAAGAGTGTTAATTAAGTTGAAGTAACACTAATGTGGATGCTAATAGCTCAGCAGTGATACGAGTTCTTGTCCTTGGTGGGTGTAAAGGAATTTACATATTTGAATGATGCAGAGTGGATATTGTCTTTTTGACACTGAAATCACTTCACAACAATAGCACAAGAATACACCAAACAGTTGCTTACCAGTGGTGCATAATACCTCGAGCAGGCCATAAACTCCAGAAACACAACACCATCAGTTTTGAACAGCTCACGATTGTGAGCAATATTCATGACACTTCCAGCTGAAGAAATCACCAGCCATTTCGAGGCCCCAGTTGCCTCCTTCATTGTCAGGTTTAATTCAATCGAGCGAACCTGGCGAGAAACACATATGTACTTCATACCATCCACTCTTTGATATGCCAAAAGAGATTCTTTTCTTTTATGAAACATTGAATTCAGTACATGACTAGCATAAAGGTATATTTTTGAATTATGTTTAATCAACTTTTTAAACCCAATTTGTGGTATATGTAAAGAACTGATACATAATTCGTATAAGGCCCGTTATAAATAACCCTAGCTGTGGAAAAGTAATTTGTTTTGAAAAGATAGTTTGTTGTGTATTGTTATTGTTACTTGATATAAATGACTTAAACGGCACATTATATTGCTTTGAAAAATGAAGGAGCAAATCTAAGTACTTTATACCTACAGTAGATGTAATACTCGTGGTACAAACCCGCTCTATCCTATTATGCAATAATAGACAATGAAGGTTACAGACTCTACCTGATTGAGGAGTTTCTGTATACAGTCGGAGGGACACATCACAAGAAGGTTGAGGTCCTCCCCCGGAAGCAGCTGGTAGATACTGGCCAGGTCAATACTTTCAAGTGGATTGTTGGGATCATCT